GAAATACCGTTGGAAATTTCCAACCCAATTTTTCAATTGAATACGTTGAAAATTCCGTTAAAAATTTCCAACGGGTGTTTCCAACGGATACCCGTTGAAAATTTTCAACGGAATTTCAACGGAAATCGTCGTTGAAACGCCGTTGAAAACCGTTGAAAATCCGTTGGAAATTTTCCAACGGACAAATCCGTTAGAAAATCCGTTGGAATTCGAGGATTTTTTTGTAGTGAAAAAACATGACTACATCTGTCAAAATAGAGGGAAACCATGTGAATGGCTGTCTCCAAAATTAAGTTCATCTATGTATTTTATTAACTAATTGATTCACCGATTTTTTCATTTAACTAAAAAGAGAAGAAAATATCATGTAACATGTTTCCAAATCCACTAAAATTTCCTACCCACTCTCTCTGCCCACCACGAAAAGTGTTTGCACAACAAGTGGCTTCAATTGATACAGAATTTCATATTCAAAAATTACTTGATTGAATCTATCTATCTATCTATATTTACATATATACACATATATATTATGTATGTGTATTCTTTTATAGGAAATTCTGTCTTGCAAGTTTACCAAAAAAAACATACGTAAACAAACAAATACTACACTAGAATGTTGTAAAAAACCATACGTAAAAATGGGTTGTAGTAGGACAAAGACAAATAACCTACGGGTTTAACTACTACACTTGTGCAACTTTTTTCTCACTCGTCGATTTTCATGTTAGGTTTTATATTTGGTATTGGATGGGTTTATTTTAAATTAAATTTTATGACATATACGTAATTAGTTTTTTTGTTAATGAATTAGTTTTATTTTGATTGGTCATGAGACCTTTTTTGGTAGAGAGAAATTTCATTATATATCACAGAAAATTCCTCATTCAACACACTATGGAAAGCCTTAGTCACCTATTAGTCAAGTCGTCAAAAAAAATCAAGAAAAAAAAGAGTTAGTTATAATATTTTTCTCATTACAAAAAAATATTTTTTTCTAATCACATAATATTATTTATAGAAATTCTGTATAATAAAAAAATATTTACATGGGACAGGGGACCGATTCTTTCTTCTAGAAGCAGCCCATTAAAAAAATATACAAATGCCATCATCTGGTTTCCATTCTGGAATGGATTTTGTGTTTTTTATATTATATTATATTATATTATATTATATATGACATTGATGTTCCATATGCTGTTTGTTCCATAAATAAAGATACATATGCTGTGTATACATACGTTCGTACATATATACATACATCTATGCGTGCTTCGGTGCGTGTAAAGACTATTCAACATCAATTTTTTTTGTCATGTAATAAAAAGAAAACACATTATTCATGCATTGGAATCTGACGTAGATATTTTATTGCCGACATAATCATAGAAATACTGTTTTTATTAATTTAAATTATTTCTTACTGTACTATACGCGTGTATCTACGTGTTGAATCTACGGCTGGTGGCACACCAAGAAGTGGATAATGTTCTCTCGAGAGAACGAGATCAAAATATTTTTTTGAAGGAATTCTCTTCTTTTTTTTAAACAAATACATTTATATGTTAAACACGAGGATATTATTAAAAATAAAAATAAAAACTTCTGTACCAGAAACTCGGAATATTGACATTCAAATAGGAAAACAAACACTGTGGATTGGTCGTACGATCCGGAAGATATAGAAGATAAGCACATTCATGGAAGAGAATGAGACCGCAACTGAGGATACCAGTTGAGTTAAGATCAAACAAATAAAATTGGGGATTGTTTTTGGCAAACATCATTAGAAGGGTTTTCACCTAACAACAAAACCATGAGGACATTATAGAGCCATCATTAGGAACTGGCAAAACCGACATGGGTTTGCTGTAAGTAAGCCAGAAAATGCATTGGTATACAGTCTCATGGTCTTACCTTATGGGATCACAAAAAAAAAAAAAAAGGAGTTGAGGCAAATCTTTAACTTACATGCATCATCCCCTTTCTTATTCTCAACTTCAAACTCATTGAATGCTTTCAGATTTGTATCAACCAAAAAAAAAAGAACTCTGCAATGTTTTAGGAAGAGGAGAAGGAAGGAGCCGGCAGAAAAGGGAAGGGTGCAACAGAAGCGTAGGCCACAGGGGGGCGACCCTGTCCCTGTGTGGCCTTTCTCTTTTTCTGACTGCGAGTTTTATCCTCACCATCTCTTGTTTCATATGCTGAAAGCTTCGTTAAACCGACTTCTTCCAGGCGATGCTGATTGTTACCAGTTTCTCGATGCAAAAGGAGACCCGACATGAAAACGGGGAGGAAGAGAAGGCTTGCATGGAACATCTTCCTTGCTTTCTGAGTGGTTCGGTCTCGGTAGAATGAAAATGCTGTAGCAGCAATTGCAAGGGTGAGGACTGTTGATTCCATGCAAAACCAACCTGATGTCAAACCCCCTGTCCAACGTATTCAAATAACGAAGATGCCACCATCAGGATCAGAAGCTCATGAACAAACCCAAGGCCAAGAATTAGAGAAGGAAAAGAAGCAGTAACACTAGATGAATCCCGAAGGTAAAACAAAAGAAATGGCACAAAAAAAACCGGAGCATGACTTACAATCATAGGCTAAGAAACCGAGAGGAATCATGTACAAGCAGTTCCTAAGAGCCACTGCAGCTGTCCTCTGTCCAGAAGGATCAAAAAGCGAGAACATCTTATACCTGAAAACATGACAGTTAAAAATCAAAACTTTGGGTTTGTTGCAATGGTGGAGCTTGCTAGCTTCAGAAAAGACCAATGTGATTTTCAAATCTAGTCTAAACCAAGACAGGCAGCACAAGAATTCTTATTGACATTCTACTATATTCTACTTCACTTACGTTGACATCTACACCAGGACTCAACTAAAGAAAAACACTAGGATCATCCAATCAGATCACATTCCTTAAAGACTATAAACACCAGAACTCATAAAACAAAACTGAAATGGGAGCATAAGCACATACCCTCCTGCAGCATAATCATTACGGCACAGGTATGCAAGGGCCATGAAGTGAGGGATCTGCCAAAAATATAGAGCAGCCGGAAGAATCATTGAATTGAGTGAAATCTGACCAGAGGCTGCAGCCCACCTGAAAACTCCAAAATACATGACCATAAAAAAACGTTGGTATTCAAGCATGAACACGCAATAGGAAACTGACAACAAAGTATGCTGAAACTCGAAGATCAGATCAGATTGGTAATGTAACCACATAGTACTCAAATAGACAATCATGAATTCAAATGGAACATCCAAGAGAGAAAGAAGAAAATTACCCAAGCAAGGGTGGGATAGCACCAACAACAGCCCCCACCCATGTATTGATAGGGTGAAGCTGCTTCAACGGAGTATAAACAAAGGCATAAAGGAAAAGATTGGAAGATGCAAGTCCAGCAGCCAGAATATTAGCCTGCAATAACCTTGTCCCAGAAGCATAAGATAAGAGTCTAAACTTGTATCACTAAGACATATTACTACGTCCAATCATGCATAAAAAAAAACAAGCAGTTACCTTGCAAGCCAACAAAGAAGCACCAGCAGCACCGGCAAAAGATGCCCACGCAACAGCATGTGGTACACTGATGCGTCCTGAAGGCAACGGCCTTTGCCTTGTCCTCTTCATCTTGGCATCATTGCTTATCTCAAAAATCTAATGAAGGAGGAGGGTGTGGGATTAGCAAAAACTCACAAAGACCACCCAGGTAGGTCGGGAAAGCTAAGATTTTTTAGCACTTAAAAGGCTTAATATACTACCAGAACCAGACAAGGACATTGGCAATTTTGCAACTTAAACGACAAAAACGCAGAAAGATGAAAAGAGGTGAAACCTGATTCAAGGAGTTAGCAGAAGCTGCAACCATCATCGTACCAGTACAAGTGTAACAAAGCCCGGCAAAGTCTATTGCAGCATCTCCAGTTCCAAGAATATACCCAGTTCCAGAAGTCGCAACAACAAGCATGCTACAAACATCGAACAAGGTTTTGACATAACTATACACTTCCGAGATATGATTTCCATCCTAATATCGACGATAACCCTATCGCTAGTTACTGAGAAATGAAAGGCACACATACCTGAGTCGGGCTTTAGAAAGCTCCCAATAGCAGCGAGCGTAGTGGTTCCCTAATCCTACCGTCGCCGCAACTCTCGACGAAATTTCACCGGCGGTGGTGGTTGATGCAAAAGCTCGAACCCTATCAGACGTTTCCGCCGGAATCGCAAGCTTAGCAGCTGATTCCGACGAAAGCGGAGGATCAGAGACGCTGTTGACGGCACGAAATGCGCAGGACCAGGGAATCAATCTAGGGTTTGGCGAAGAGGAGGACAAGGAGATCCTCGAAGAAAAACACGAAACAGCAGATCTTCGCCACATCGTAATTTCCGGTCGGCCCTGATCTACAAGGCGATAAACAATGGGGAACAATCACGGATACCTCATCGCCTGTGTTCTCAATCCTGATTAGCGATTACTTCCACGCTTCGGGCCACAGCGACTTTGATCACTTTCAGAATGACTTTTAGGGCAAAAATGCAATTACGTGAGACTTTGGGGGGCATTTCTGTAATTAAAATGTTTATCGCAGTGGAAGCATAGTTACAGTTGAAATTTGTTAATTCTTCTTTTTAATAATTTTAAAATTCTCAAGTATCATGGTTGTCTTGTATTGTATTATATATAGCAATTGTACAAAAAAAATGTATCCCATTTTTCCTTTTGTAAGACAACACCTCACCATCTTAATTTATATGAAGATGAATTATGAAAAAATGTGCCTTTTTTTATTGTACAACTCTATTCGTATACAACACCGTATGTATAATTACAGTACAAATAAATCAAATCAAAGAATCGTTTCATATCCTATATAAATCTACTCCCACCTATAGTAAAAACATATAAGCCTCGACGATACGATACGATACAACGCCGTAAAATCATACGTACATATATACGCAGGGAAAAGAATAATCAGAGTGTACGGACAAAAAGAACATCGATCGCCGCCTGATGGGGAAACCGTCAAAAGACCAAAACGCCCTTGGACTCGAGCACTCTGATTTATGCGTCCGAGTGACCCGCTGAGTCATTGCACATGCACTCGGGGATCGGATGTTTGGTCACATCCTTGCCGGCTTTGCTTGTTCTGATCTCAGGTTGTCCTAAGGAATCTCGGTGAAGCTCCTTCACGATCATGTTGAACTCTGCCTCCGGCAAAGACGAGTTCATGAAGTACGGAATCATCTGCCTCTTCTTCGGCGTAATGTACTTCTTGTGCCCAGCGTATGCTCTTTCCCCCTGTAAATGATCATATCGGTTAGCAGAGGAAGATTGGTTTGTGTGTGTATGTGTTGGGTATATATATATATGTATAATATACCTGTAGAGCATGACCCATGTTTCCTCCATGAGAAGGCATGAACACGTCGCTCTTCTCGCAGACTATATAGTCGATAGCCGCCATTACAGATGCTTTCTTGGCAAAGGGTTCCAGTTCATGGAGCAAGGCAAGGTCTTGCTTGTTGTGTAAGTGAGGGAATTCACTGATCAATGGCTTTAAAGCCTCCTTTCCGCCCAGAGGCTCTCCTCCCGCCCAGTATATCCTCGTGTTTCTCGGAGCATCCAGCGCTTTAAGCAGCCTTTGATCACAGAAAAACCAATCAGAGAAAGTCATCAGATCGTTAACAGAATCGAACATAGCGGGATTCGTGACCGAGAAGTGGATTTTTGTCTACCTGGTGACTTCCACGGCATTCAAAGGGCAGAGGCCGGCGAGTTTTCTCTCGTGATAAGTCATGTTCGATCGAGCAGTTAGAAGCTCGGGATGGCGTTCTCTTTCGCTGTTCACAATCTCGTCGTACTCGGGAGTCAGACCAGGGAGGCAACCTGTCCGAACCCAAACATCCTTCTCCATTCGAAGATGAATTGCTAGGTACGGCCCCTGGCTTCGCATCCTCGCAGCTAGCCTGTCACCAAGTTCTTGAATCCTAGGCGAAAATCTCAGTGCCTGGAAAGCAACCTGAGAAACATGACATGAAAACTAAGGTTTCCAAAACGGCTATTTCACAAACAAAAGTAACTAAGCCAAGAAAGTCTGAAAGGGGTATGTATACAAAGACAAGACCATAACCTTGCAGCGGAGTTTCTGGAGATCTGAGGGAAGGTCCTTGGAGAGTCTTGAATCGAGACCACGTAGAAGCAAAACCCTTTCCCGGTTAATCTGCAATAACAGAGGAAATACATGTTAATCAATGCACCAAAATGCCAAGAACTAATAGAAACCCTCCAACATAAATAAGCCAAGATTGGTAGAAGTCTTACCCTTTTGAGGTAATGTGATCGAATCCAGTCAGGGGAAGCGTGGAGGGGAGTCCTCTTCTCTTCCACGGGCCTCGTCATCACGTGCGTTGAAGGCAATGATGAAACTATATGGACATCATCAGCTAGAACGCTCTTGAAATGTTCCAAATCGAATATATCAGCGAATTCACTGCACAAAAATGGCAAAAAAACATTGGAGAATCGATTCGAACAAGGATGTGAAAAGTTCATAACTTTTCTTCAGAATCTTTTAATCTACCTTTCGTCGCCCCAGATGACGTTGACCTGCAGAATGGGAACAACAAGAGAAGCTCCGAGGATTCTGGCGATGACAACAGCGTCAACAATCTGATTTCTCTGCTGATTCATCCCACCAGACACCACGACAATCAGATACTTCCATCTGTTCTTCAGAATCGTCGAGCTTTCTCTCTTATACTGTCTGCTAAATCTCAAGCAGGGTTTATACCCCATCCCATCAGGCTGTTTCCAGAAATCAGTCAACAAAGATTCGTTCTTTCCGCTGTCCGATTGAAATCTCGTATCCGATTTCGAATGCCCATCAGAAGTTTCCGGCTCCGTTCCGTTCGTTTGGGCATTACGGGCAAAACCCAGATGGGATTCAACGGGTTCTTCTCTGCCAAAGCTTTGTGGTTGATTCGTGGAACATGGGTACCGCGTAAAAGGGAGCGGGATCGGGTCAACGTTGAAACCGAACTTCATCATGCCGAAGAAGGAGACGAGAAACAGAGCCAAGAACCAGAGCCTGGGGTTTCTGAAAGAGAGGCTGAACTTGCTGGAGCATCTGGAGGATTTCTTGGGTGAGACAAGAAGAGATTGCAACGAGGAAGATGATAAAGAGCTTATAATCTGCGAGGGGACCGATATGTAGGATACTTTCTTCTTGCTGTTGCCGTTCTTGGATATCGCCATCACAGAGAATCGAGGAAAAAGGATGAACAAGAAATCTCAAGGATTGTGAAAGAATGTTAGAAGAGATGTCGAGGGCCTTTTTTTTAATATCCTCACTGTCTTCGTTTAAGCACAATAAAGAAAAGGAGAGAGAGAGATAGAGATGGGCGGCGGGAACGCGAAGTCTGATCAAAGTCTGCAACGCGTTCTTTAAGGAAGTGAGAGAGGAGGTGATTTTTGAATAACGTGGATTATTTTTTATTTTTATATGTTCACAATTACCACGAGAGTTTTGGTGAATTCCCTCATTTTCAATCAATGGGTCATGTGTAGTTTATACGGCATGACGTCCATATCACAATTTTGTGAATTCAAACTCGATAGTAACACGTATAGACAATTAGACATCCATTTACATGCCTCCCATACATTTAAAAAAAATCATCTTAAATCGTACAAAAATCAAAATGATATCGAAAAGTTATGCGTGTTATTAAAATATTTTGGAACGTAAACAATTGGGTTTTACATCATTATTGATATTTAAAGCAACGTCTAGCAATTAAGAACATATGCTACTTTGAAACCGAAGACAGAGAGTGTTATGGTTGTGACGTTTACATCATTGATTATTGAAGCGAAGTTTCTATCATTTACTTGCTTCTCCCATGGTTACAAAGAACACTAACCAAGTCTGTGTCGTGTTCTGATACGTCCAGCTGTTTTTTTTTTGTTGGCAGCGACAACCCTCGAAAGAAAAAAAAAACAAGACAGAAATAATAATATGAAGAAAAAAAAGTTCACGAGCCAGCCTGTGAAGGCATCGTATATATTGCATTTAAAAAATTCGTTTTGTTTGGATTCTCAAAGGAGCAAAATGAAACCATAATCATTGTTTGAGCTTATGGAAATTCATACTTTTTTTCATTTCTGTTGAAAGATCGATTATGGACATAAATAGATAGATGTACTACATTGAATGACTATCCGTCCGTAAATACTATTTATCTTGGGAATGCACATTATTTTATTTTTCAGGGTATTATATTTATTCGTTTTAATTTTTTTTAAATGTTTTATATTTTGTTTGAAATCAATTAATTTCATTTTAAAATATTACAATTTAATCGTTTTTTTAAATAAAAAATAATCATTTATTCAATCTTATATATCTTAAACCATAATAATAATAATAATCTATTCATGTTTCTACACATTTTTTCATTTTTTTTAAAGTCAACTATAACGATATTTTGGATGAGTATGAATTTATTTCATCCTCAATCCGGTTAAAAGATTGGACTAGGCATTTTACGCTCTGCCCATACCAAAAAAATAATATTAGGTTAATGTTTTTGAAAAATACTTTATCGTTAGGATATTTAAAACCCCATTTTTTTTAAAAAAAAAATGGAAGCTATGTATTGGGGGCAAAAGGGAGTCATTTGAATAAACTTGCCTTGGGGGCACATCTATCCCAATGGACGCCAGCTGTAATCCATTTGACACGCTGGCATATTCTGCCACGTGGGACTAACAATGACTTCTCAACATCTGCCACGTGGACTCTGGTCCTCTCACAGGTGGCGGGCCCGCTTTTCGCTTTGCGTACCCGGGGAAAAAAAAAGATTACATATTTTTTTTATAAAAAAAAATGGATAGATACATGTTGTTATGATATAACATGTGAATATTAGTTACATGTTATAATGGATAGATACTCATTTTCTTTTTCTTTTTTTTTTTTGTAACCGATACTAATTTTCTTTATAGTAATGTGGTTAGCAACTTGTTAACATCACATGATGTGTTAGCTTGAACGGTCCAAGGATTCTGCATAGTGTTATTACCTTTTTGGCCTTTGTAAGATCACTCTGTATTTTGACTATCGATTTAAATCGTATTTAATAATATTGGAAAACCAGAGAACGAAAGCATCTCGCCTACCGGTCCAACTATACTTTATATTATGCAATTGATAAAAATATGTATACGCTCCCAAAGTGTCATTTGTTGACAAGGCCAATTATAGTCACGCGTTTCTTAGTTGCCTTATTAGTTTTAAATGAATTAACAAATTGTTTATATATAGTGGTGATATACTGTTTCAACTTTCAACTAATATGATGATAGCTGTGCAATATTACCAACTTGGACTTGGAAGGTTAAAACAAATATCCACATCAGCTACTTATTATAAATTATCAATATTTGTGGTTTTTAAAATAAAAATTATTTATATTGCTCCGGATTAAGGTGTTTTCGATTTTATAAATATTATGGTGATATATATAATAGTTGCATTAAGGACTAATTAGGCTATCAAATGATCTAATTTGTTCTAACATTATTGATGAACGTTGTCATTCAACAACTCCAATGATAATCATTTTTTTTATAACCAGGATAGTTTCCGGACCTTCGGTCCAACTACATCCATCCTAGACCTGGGACCAACCTTTATATATAGACCATTTTGATCCAAAAATCACATCCCTTCCTACTAGTGGAATCGAATCCATGATTTCGATGATGACTTTGACACCTCTCACCCATTGGGCCACCAACTGTTGGGTTTCATATTAATTTTCATTTAGCTTGGAATGGTGAGGCTTTTACGATGATTACCGACGACAACGATGAGTTGAACCACCAATCCACCATTAAGACTTTTATTAACAACACTTTCAGAATTTTATAAAATATGCATGCATAATACTTATAAATATACAAATATGTGAAAGGAATGTGGTTACGTACGTTACCCACAAGTTGTTCAACCATATTAAGACATTTTTAAAAGCTATCATTCACTTGGACACTCTTAAATTATTAAAGAAACATATTAGAAATACATTGTCGAGAATTACAAGTGTAAGTGTTACTTAAAGATATAAAAAGTAATGAATTGAAACTTGAAAATTAAGATAACATTATATCTTGAAGAAAACGAATGGAAATTACCCCTCCATTAATCTAAAAACCAAAGTTTCAATCCCATTAAATAATTTTCTAACGATACGTATCGTTGGTCCAAATTCCAATGAAATTTATTTAAGACACGAAAATTCAATGGGACCATCGTCACGTGAGAACTGAAGACTTTGCTCTCTTATCCAGATCTCTCTTAACCGATCATTGCATTATGTATCAGAATTCACATTATTACATTCTCGGGTTGTAGAAAAACACGATGACAAATAGGCAAAGGTAATGTTTTGGGTCTGCAAAATGGGCCCAATGTTGCTATATTCTACAATGGAGGCGAAATAAAAAACGATGTGGGTATGATAAATCGATTATTTGATAATATACATGGTAGTTTTCTAATAAAATATTTTCAATTGAAACAAAAGAATCAAATCTAATAAAAAATTAAAATAACGTATAAAATTTAAAATTGTGTAGTTAATATGTAACTTATTGGCCAATCATACGGAACTTCGCCATTCTTATTCATATAGTGGTCTGTCACTTTTTTTTTGTGTGTGATGGAAGACCATTGCGTCTTCTTCCACATCAGCCTCTAAGTTCGATGAATATATATATATATATGTCATATCAGCATTGATAAGAAAACCCACCGAGTGTCTTTTTTCTTTTTACTTCTAAATTCACTACAATAAAACAAAAATGTGATAAATGGATAGGATTACATAATGGAACAATTGCAAAAAGGGGGACAAGCTAAGCTTTTGGTATGTGTGGAGGGTCCTCCACAATTGAAGGCTCAGTAACCGATACTTATTTTCTTTATAGTAATGTGGTTAGCAACTTGTTAACATCACATGATGTGTTAGCTTGAACGGTCCAAGGATTCTGCATAGTGTTATTACCTTTTTGGCCTTTGTAAGATCACTCTGTATTTTGACTATAGATTTAAATCGTATTTAATAATATTGGAAAACCAGAGAACGAAAGCATCTCGCCTACCGGTCCAACTATACTTTATATTATGCAATTGATAAAAATATGTATACGCTCCCAAAGTGTCATTTGTTGACAAGGCCAATTATAGTCACGCGTTTCTTAGTTGCCTTATTAGTTTTAAATGAATTAACAAATTGTTTATATATAGTGGTGATATACTGTTTCAACTTTCAACTAATATGATGATAGCTGTGCAATATTACCAACTTGGACTTGGAAGGTTAAAACAAATATCCACATCAGCTACTTATTATAAATTATCAATATTTGTGGTTTTTAAAATAAAAATTATTTATATTGCTCCGGATTAAGGTGTTTTCGATTTTATAAATATTATGGTGATATATATAATAGTTGCATTAAGGACTAATTAGGCTATCAAATGATCTAATTTGTTCTAACATTATTGATGAACGTTGTCATTCAACAACTCCAATGATAATCATTTTTTTTATAACCAGGATAGTTTCCGGACCTTCGGTCCAACTACATCCATCCTAGACCTGGGACCAACCTTTATATATAGACCATTTTGATCCAAAAATCACATCCCTTCCTACTAGTGGAATCGAATCCATGATTTCGATGATGACTTTGACACCTCTCACCCATTGGGCCACCAACTGTTGGGTTTCATATTAATTTTCATTTAGCTTGGAATGGTGAGGCTTTTACGATGATTACCGACGACAACGATGAGTTGAACCACCAATCCACCATTAAGACTTTTATTAACAACACTTTCAGAATTTTATAAAATATGCATGCATAATACTTATAAATATACAAATATGTGAAAGGAATGTGGTTACGTACGTTACCCACAAGTTGTTCAACCATATTAAGACATTTTTAAAAGCTATCATTCACTTGGACACTCTTAAATTATTAAAGAAACATATTAGAAATACATTGTCGAGAATTACAAGTGTAAGTGTTACTTAAAGATATAAAAAGTAATGAATTGAAACTTGAAAATTAAGATAACATTATATCTTGAAGAAAACGAATGGAAATTACCCCTCCATTAATCTAAAAACCAAAGTTTCAATCCCATTAAATAATTTTCTAACGATACGTATCGTTGGTCCAAATTCCAATGAAATTTATTTAAGACACGAAAATTCAATGGGACCATCGTCACGTGAGAACTGAAGACTTTGCTCTCTTATCCAGATCTCTCTTAACCGATCATTGCATTATGTATCAGAATTCACATTATTACATTCTCGGGTTGTAGAAAAACACGATGACAAATAGGCAAAGGTAATGTTTTGGGTCTGCAAAATGGGCCCAATGTTGCTATATTCTACAATGGAGGCGAAATAAAAAACGATGTGGGTATGATAAATCGATTATTTGATAATATACATGGTAGTTTTCTAATAAAATATTTTCAATTGAAACAAAAGAATCAAATCTAATAAAAAATTAAAATAACGTATAAAATTTAAAATTGTGTAGTTAATATGTAACTTATTGGCCAATCATACGGAACTTCGCCATTCTTATTCATATAGTGGTCTGTCACTTTTTTTTTGTGTGTGATGGAAGACCATTGCGTCTTCTTCCACATCAGCCTCTAAGTTCGATGAATATATATATATATATGTCATATCAGCATTGATAAGAAAACCCACCGAGTGTCTTTTTTCTTTTTACTTCTAAATTCACTACAATAAAACAAAAATGTGATAAATGGATAGGATTACATAATGGAACAATTGCAAAAAGGGGGACAAGCTAAGCTTTTGGTATGTGTGGAGGGTCCTCCACAATTGAAGGCTCACATGCACATGCAGCATTCTCATATGGCTTGATGAGGCATTCAAAGCAAAGGGAGTATTAATTACTCTCTCATTCATAATTCATAATTTACACATGTATATATATATATATGTGTGTGTGTAAATTGTAATATTGATGATTAATAGTGGCAAAGGGAACAAAAATAGTGGAGGTCATGGAGGGAGGGAGCAATATATGGAAAAGGGCATGTGAGCTTTGTCTCTCTTTCCCATGTGCCCTTTTCACTTTAATTTGAGGCACTCCCTTCATTTTCTTGGCAAGCTATGGTGCACCATTCCCTCGCATACCATATATTATAAATTATTATTTAATATTTTGTATACTTATAATTGTTTTTCTTTTGTTCTCTTCAAAGTGAAGAAGCTCGCGCGGTTGACATTAATGCAAGAGATATCCTATATGTACGGTTCCATATATATATATATATATATAGCATATGCAAATGATATATAAATATTGATTGTCTGCATCTCTCATTGCAATGGGCTCTATGATCCGAAGCCCACAATATTAAACATACATCGTTCATACTTGTAGGCTTTCCATTAGGGTTCTATCTCGGACATCTTACCATGAAACTCGACCTGGACGATAAGAATCTTTGTAATCGACTCAGTACAGTCCGTACACCATTTATAAATAGATTTTCCGATTGGCTTCTTGACCAACACAATATACACGTAACATATTACAGATTTCTCTCCGTTACATTAAATTTTTATTAAAGAAAAAAAAAACGTACAAAGAAATGAATTAATTAAGTTTATTTGTTAACCACATTATTTAAAAAAAAAAGAGAGATTAAAAGAACAACTCCAACGCCTTAGAGGATTCGGACATCTTCACCGAGAAACAGAAACTCGAACCGGTTGATGATAAGAATCTCTTGTCTTCGACCACACTATGATTACTCTTCTTCACCAACCCTAATTCCCCATTCAAATCCTCATCCGCTGTCTCTTGGTTTTTCTTTAGAAATTCTCTGAACCACATAGCCGACATTTTAGGGTATCGTTTAAGGCCGTTGTTGTAATCAACGTAGAAAAGGCCGTAGCGGACTTCGTATCCGTTGTTCCATTCGAAGTTATCGAGCAACGACCACGCGAAATATCCTTCCACTTGGCACCCGTCCTCGCTGCAAAAACGTTCGTTTGTGGTTAACACGAAATCTCATCGATGATCATCATGCACATTATTAACAAGAAACTGATATTTTTACGGGTAAACTATATATGCTTACTTGATGGCTTGCTGCAGTTGATAGAGATGCTTCTTGTGGTACTCTGTCCTCTGTATGTCCATCAAGTCGAACAGCTTTGGTTTTTTGTCGCAGCTCGGATCGCAATATCCTGGATATAATTAATTAATTTAATTTCTTCAGTTTAAATGGGATAATAAATTAATAATTACGGTTTTTATTAATTTGAATTATACGGGTTTTTTTTTAATACCGTTTTCAGTGATTATAAATTTGTGGTTCCCGTATTTGTTCTTGGCGTAATTTAGAACTTTTCGGAGTCCCTGCGGATAGCTTATCACCCACTCTGCACCACCCTGTAGAAATATCATAGCACACGTCAGCGCATGCAAAGTTTACGTACAATTGTATAAGATAGCGTATGAATATATATATATATATATATATATATATATATATATGTGTGTGTGTGTGTGTAATGAAAACGTAAAATTATTGCAGCTCATTACCTGAATACCAATGGCCTTTCCCGCGACATTATGTTCTGTAAGAGAAACGAAGAAAACGAAGAAGCTTGGAAGTTAAGATGCGACAAATCGTGGACGAAATTTCTGAATTCGGGAGTAGTGGGTTTGACTTTGACTTACTTTTCCATTCGACGTGTTGGTCCGATCTGTAAGAGAGTTTCTCAGGGTCAATTTCGTCAATGTTTTTCGCGTAAACGCCGCTGTAATAATTTATTCCCACGAAATCGAAGGATCCTTTCAGCTTCTGAGATTGCGCTGCGGTGAATGACGGTAATCTTTCCCCGACTATTTCCCTCATGCATTCCGGATAATCTCCGTACACGGTGGGACCCATATGCCTATGAAGAATATAAATAAAAAACAAGTGTTAAAAACACTAATTATGTAATTAACATTCTGAATATTTTAGCTTATTATATATATATATATATATAAATATATACACGGTAATTATAGCAATAAAACTTTGTGTATAAGAAAATAAAAAGTGGCTTACCATCCGAGCATGAACTCCATGGCTCGGTCGGCTGCTTCAACATCTTTAACGCAGTTCCAATCATAGGGTTCGTACCACAAGGGACAGTGAGCGATCCCAATCTTCCCATCTTTGCACTGCAGCGAATGAACCATCAATTTCAATATTTCTTCAAAGAAAGACAACTAAAATAAAATAAAAAATAACGTAGAATTTAATGTTTTCATACGTTTTGGAAACTTCTGAAGGCTTCAACGGCTTCGGCATGGGCTAGAAGCAGATTATGGCTAACAATATAGACTTCATGACCGGAATTTCCAGCCTCACACGCGTTGTTGATGTACTTTGAACCACGTCCGGGCGCTTTCCGGCCCATGTCGTAGCCACCGTTACTGTAAACCCACGGTTCGTTGATGGTGACCCACAGCTTCACCCGGTCACCGAATTCTTCGAAGCATACGCTAGCGAAATCGCGGAAATCATCCCTGCATCCATCACGAATACCGTATTAGTTGAGATGTAATTCAGTATATAAAGTTTGGATTTGTTGGGAAGAATGGAAGATGGCGATATACTTACACAACTTTCTCGCTCAAAAAGCCGCCATATTCTTCTTCTAGGGCTTGAGGAATGTCCCAATGGAACAAAGTGGCGAGAGGAGTAATTCCTGCTCATTGTGTCACAAATAGATGATGTATATCATTACATAAACTTCATGACTTTATATATCGTTATAAGGAACTATGTTTTAAAATTATAACCATATATATATATATTGGAAACAAAGATTTTGTACGTACCATTTGCAAGGAGTTCGTCGATAAGGTCGTTGTAGAATTTGATTCCCTCCTTGTTCACTCCTTTGCTTCTTTTCCCATCTGTTTTCACAACATATGATTAAAAAAAGAATTAAGTCTTCCGTTTTGGCAAAACTGTCATAAAAAGAACAACAAAGATCGAGGGTGAGATTTCGAGCTTACCGGGAAATATCCGAACCCACGAAATCGAGAATCTGAAGGCATTCATGTTGATGTCCTTCATTCTTTGGATATCTTCCTGTCATATTTTCAGCACACATATAAATAAATAGTTAGATATCAAGTTTAAACTAAGTACGTCAAGACGCCATTAAAAGAAGAAGAAGAAGAGAAATTGTGCATTGTGCAGTTACCTTGTAACGATGATAGAAATCAACCGCCTCGTCTGCGTTGTTGTAACAGTTTCTTTCTGCGAATTTCGAATGTAATGAAAATTTGTTAAACTCGATTTAACCCAAAAAATAAAATGATTGTGGTCGATCGAGCATGGGGAAGGTAGAAACCTGGAAATTTGCGAACAAAGTTGTCCCAAATGCTTTCTCCGCGAGAGCCTTCGTCCACGGCTCCTTCATACTGACATCACAAGTGCTGTGTTAATTGTTTTCCTTATATATATATATATATATATATGCATGTGTTTATTATACATTATACATTATACATGATAACTTTGAATACATATATATGTATTTGTATGCAGATTTTACGTGAAATTAAGCGTTGTTTTATATAGACAAGTGTACCTGGTAAGCTGATGAAGCAGTTCCAAACAGAAAATCCTCGGGGAAGGAGGCTCGGCTGAACGATTTGTTACCAGCAACACGCATTTTCTTAGCCCTAATATATTATCAAATAAAAAAAGTTTAGAAAACTTGGTGAAAACTAATCTCACTGCTCACGCACACCATATATATATATACATATACACACACACATATATATATACATGTATATAAGAAGAACTTATTGAAGAAGGTTGCACTAACAGTGTCATTGTTACAAGAATTGATCGGTCTTTTTGCCTTGGAGAGAAAAAAGAACAAATGTATTTGTCGTGTGTTTTTTTTTCTTACAGCAAAAAAATAAATGAATTAAAGAAGAGAGATTATTGTGAAATATGAAAGCTTATGCTATGAGATTGTTCTGAGAGAAACAAGGAGCATATGGGCGCTATATATAGACTTGGGAGGGGGGGGAAGGATCTGAAAAATAGGGCAACGCAGTCGTTAATTTCAAGTCAAACCACTTACGTATGCATATTCTATCAAGATGTTTGGACTGCCCTACCACGTTTAGTCTTTTTGTGCGAACTTTGTTATTAATGTGCACATGCCCGTGAGATTTTTATTTTTATCTATCTTTAGTACATTTTTTGGATATTACAATAGTTGTGCTATATTCAAGATAATAATAATTATTTATTCATTGTCAAATAAATTTAATAATATATATATTATTATAAAACATTGAATTAATTTTGATCATTGATTGGTTTTCTCATCCAAAGATTATGGGCTATACTTTTCCAAACTTGACTAATCTGCCTATTGTTCCGTTCAATTTCGTTTCGTAACTTTAGTTCGTTAATTAATATTATAATAAAATTGTAAATAAAATAGCTATTTAATATTTGGGAGACTCAAATAATTATGCCCATGCATGACTCGCCCTTCAAAATTAATATTCAGCTTTTAAAAAAAAATATATTTATTCAGAATACTAAATAATCAGGAAACAATAATTAGTAAGTCATATATATATATATATAACGTTAAATCGTGTCCTCTTTTTGACGGGATATAGCATAACAGATATGAATGGCCCTTATTAAAGCTGTATTATATATAGGTCACTTTTTTAGACCGGTCCTTTAAACAATATTAAAATAACGGTGAAATGAATTCAATTATCTTGTTATTTTCCCGTTGTGGCACCCAAAAATGTACGTGGAAGACGGCGGTATCTTTACGTTGCCGAAAAGTCATGAACGAACAACACGACATTTTCTTTATTTTGTTTTATAATTTTATTCACAACTGCTAAATTTACGTAGCAAATTTCTTCGCTTCTGATTGATTAATTCCCTCCAAAGTATTTGTTGCAAAATTCGTTAATTCTTTTATATGACGATGCTATGATTTTACATAATTTTTAGATTTATTCTTAATGAGTTTTATCGTTATAAAATCATTTCGTTTAATCGTATGATTACAATGCTATATATGTACTAAATATATAAGATATTAAATGACTCATCATGGGGTGGTCGATTGGTCGATTTTAGGATGCAAAAGATTTGAAGGTCGAGTGTTCGATTCTGTTTGATAGAGAGATATAAATTTTAGACCAAAATGATTCATATGTAAAAGCAGATCATGTGTTTATGGTGGATGTAGTCGGACCGAAGGTTTGGGAACCATTCTGATTATAAAAAAATATATATTAAATGTGTTACGACTGAAATTGAAACGAGTTTGGTAGTGAATCTCTAATTTATATATATAGCTTTCGATAAAATAAATATTTTCAATTAAATGGAGTGAATGTCATCATCATAGAATCTCCTAGTCTATCAAAGCGTGCTAGGGCTCCGAAGGAATAGCATATTTCCCAATAAAGACGGATTTGATTATTCTAAAATTTTCGGACAAAGAATTTTCCCGCGTAATTTCGCTCGAACACATTGGTCAAAATTAAATGACATAAATTTGCGATATTAAATTAACAGTCCTCAAAGTCTGTAGATAGATACACTATGGTCGGCACGTGTCATGCCCATGCATGCAGAGAGTAAGGTAGGTAGAAACGTGACAACATGGCCGATAGAAACACGCAAACATGTTAATATTCGTATCCATCAAACATTGTACTTTCACGTTTTTCAAGTTTGAATTAGAAATTTCTTTCTGAAGCCCCATTTACTTGAACAACATGACGCAATGAATTATTATTATTATTATTATTATTATTATTATTATTATTATTATTATTACTAGCATCAGAATTTGGATTTATTATATTATGTTTTTACACGATATTAATAATTCATTATATCCTATATCGTCTGACAAAACATTATTATGCGACTTAACGTTATTTTTTGAATGGTGTATATATATATAGCAAAAAAATATTCGATAATAATGTTTTTTCATGTTAAATATTTTCCAAATTTCCAGGAAAAAAAACAAAAATCGGCAAAGCGATAAGAAAATAAAGTGGGATTTACAATTACTTGACAAGGAAATTTGAAGTAGTCAAACACGTGACTGAGCGAGTTTGAACATTTTTGTATTTATTTTTGTTACAAATTAAATTCCAATAACATGGGTAAATAAAGTTTAAGCTTGACAATACATATCGATTTTTATATATATTAAAAAATGTATTATTTATTAAGGCCTTTATACCTACCATCCGTATGCAACCGATTTGGACCGCCAGCCAATTAATTCAACTAGGAGTAAATTTTATTTTTCTTTTGTTTATTTAGGTCTTGGAAGCGACTGGGAAGTTTACTCCTCCGCTTAAATTTCTTATTTTATTAGGTATATATATACGTATATGTTTTTAGATTTTATTTGGTCTTATGTTATACACACATGCACCTTTAACAAAAAAAAATGTTACACACACACACACGCTAATACAAACAAAGAAAAGTTGGTGTAGAGAGTGGCAAAGTGTTGACCCTATGTGTGTTTTGGGTGGTTGGCTAAAATGGCAACTCCGGTCCACACTAATATTCTCTCTGTCTTATTTTATAGAGTATTTCCATGTCCGAATAGTAAAGAGTATATTATTAATGCAGTCCAATTAATTAAATATATTCTCCCCATGGATATATATATATATATATATATATATATATATATATATATATTTATTAAGGTAAATTTGGTACGGTGGATAATTAGTGCGTAAATATATGTCATAGCGGTTAAATATACATGTTTCATTTTTAGCAAGCCCAATCGTGCCATCGCCTCCACCATCCAAATTGGGCCTTTGAGAGCCCAATTCGATGTGATTCATGGCCCGAACCAACAATTTTGGGCGTGAAAAAAGCCCATATTGATTTATCCCCTCATCGAATTCAATCTTGGGCTAAGGCCGTTACGATTCATGACCTGGCCCACTTCATATTTTTTTATTCACCATCTAATAATTCGGTGCTGGCCGAAGCCCATCGTGATTTTATAATCTAATCTTCACTTTTTTTTTGCTCTTTCCTTTTTAAAAGAAAAATTCTCCATCATATATACACACACACACACACACACATATATATATATATATATACAGTTATTGAATTACCTTTATAGGCACCGGTTTTGATTTATTTATTCTGCATGTGTACCAAATTTATGATCTTCATATCTTAAAATAAAAGCTGGAAATAAATTTAAAATTTTTTCAAGCCGCGTGCGATGGAATACGCAACCGTCAAGGGCAAAATAGTAATTACGGAAGGTAAAGCGTAATCTGGCTTAGATTGTGTAGACACGTGGAACCACGGCATGGCGGCCAGACCCGACCCAACCTCACCGACTGCGGGAAGAGTCGTGCTGACGTGGCATCGGCATCCATTTTAACCAGTCTTCGTTTTTTGTACAATCACTTGCTCGCACGCAAAGAAAGTCGGAATTTACATAATCTTTGGAGGGGAGAAATATGATTAAGGCCCATCTTCGAATATATAAATATATATGTAAGTATATCACTACAAGAAATACAATCGATTATTCTCCAATATTGGTAAATGACAAAATTTTGTAAAAAAAAAGCCTTAACAATGGGGGAATGAATTTGAAAGGAGAAGCCATAAGAGATGATTTCTACCGGTCTTCGTTTTTTGTACAATCACTTGCTCGCACGCAAAGAAAGTCGGAATTTACAAAATCTTTGGAGGGGAGACTCGTTCTCTCGGTTCCTCAAATCGATCACGTTAATTACTGTAAATACGAGTGATAAATATGATTAAGGCCCATCTTCGAATATATAAATATATATGTAAGTATATCATTACAAGAAAATACAATCGATTATTCTCCAATATCGGTAAATGACAAAATTTTGTAAAAAAAAGCCTTAACAATGGGGGAATGAATTTGAAAGGAGAAGCCATAAGAGATGATTTCTTTTGTCTATTTAGTACGATAACGCGTTCTCAGGTTGACAAAAACGGCCATTAGAATAATCGAAAACTGTGCAGTGATCCTTTTGTCCTCTCCATGATCTGTTCACCATCAGTGACAGAAGAGAGCTCGACGTGGACGGAGCCTCAAAACCCTCTGTCTCGCCCAGCGTCACGTTCCATCCCTCACGTGACTCCTCACGTGATATCACTTGGAACTCCTCCGGCGGCGTGACGACATCATCATCGTCATCTCCGACCGGACTCCCCCTCTCGAGGAACCGCTTGAACCACTTTGCCGAATCTTTTGGATGACGTTTCAGATCATCGTTGTAATCCACGTAGTAAAGACCGAATCTAGCGGAGTATCCGTATTCCCACTCGAAGTTATCCAACAGCGACCACGCGTAATACCCTCTCACGTCGCAGCCATCCTCTCTGATAACAAAAAAAAAAAATTAAATTCCACATTCGGTGCCAAACTATAATATAAGATTTTAATCAAATCCAAATAATTGAGAGAGATTATAAGAGCATACACAATGGCCTTGTGGAGCTGCTGAAGATGTTTCTGATGGTACTCCAATCTAAATTCGTCCCTAAGAATTTCCTCCTTGGATGTGGTGCCGTCATCATAGTCGTTGATTCCTGTAATTTCACGTCGATTACAGCACCAAACAAGTTATATTCACACAATGAAACGTGTTCATTAATTAGAGATATATATATATATATACACGATATCTTAGGAATTCAAAAAAATTCTCACCGTTTTCTTTGATGTAAACTATTGGATTGTTGTATTTGTCTTTAATGTAGTTTAGAACCTTTCTCAGCCCTTCCGGAACTGAAAACAGAAACTTTCTGGGTTCCTGCAAGAAAAAACAAAAAATGTTGGGGGACTTTCGGATTATAATTAACAATAACAAAGCCGCATTTGAAGGACATACCCATGGACCGATGTAGTGTCCGGTCTTGTTCGTCTCTGTCCAAAAGCAACAAAGAGGTAAACGCCGGTAATCTACTCCCGACATACTTCTTCATCAACTCGGGATAGTCCCCATGGACCACCGGACCGAGATGCCTACATATACGTCCATAACATTTTATGATTTATTTGTTACAAAGAAAAAATGAAAATCTTTTGGAGGATTATAAGAAATGTTTGATAACCTACCAATCGAATTCTAACATAAGGGCTCGTTCTACTGCTTCCTTGTCGGCAGCGGATTCCGAATCATAAGGCTCGAACCACCTAGGAGACAGCACTATCCCAATCTGACCATCTTTTGGAATCTGCAACATTGAAAACCAAATCAGCAACCTGCTTTTATACATAATTACGATAATACCCTTACACGACTATAGTGTGTCACCTTATCGCATTTTCTGAACTCTTGAACGGCGGCGGCATGAGCAAGAAGAAGATGGTGAGACGCGATGTAAGGCTCTGTACCCGAATCACCGGCTTGGCATCTGCTGTCCACCCATTTCGAGCATCTACCGACGGCTTTATTGCCGTTGTCGTAACCGGCTACACTTATAATGTACGGCTCGTTGATCGTGGACCACATATTCACCTTGTCCCCGAACTCTTGGAAGCATACTCTCGAAAAGTCTCGGAAATCTTCACTGTTTTCACGAATTTTGATTTACATGATGAGTTTGAATTCATGCGCTTTTTTTGGAATTTGGTAAACTAATTAATGGTTACGTATATATATTTGGTAAACGAGGTTACGTATATATATTTATTTTGGCTTACATGATTTGAGGGCTTAAAAATCCTCCATACTCGTCTTCTAGTGCTTGAGGGTGGTCCCAATGATAAAGGGTGGCCGAAGGTTGTATGCCTGCATGTTTCATGATAACGTCAAAACATAACGATTAATTTTGATTAATTGCAATCGCTAAACACTTTTTGATTAGAGAAGTGATTTACTCATATATCATATATGTTACCATTAGCAATAAGCTCGTCTATGAGATCCTTGTAGAATCGTACCCCTTCTTGGTTTACTCCATCCTTTAACTTCCCACCTATAAAAAAATATTGCGAAAGATTAAAAAAAAATCCACCGATATATAATAATGTTGCTGTTAAATAAAATTAACAGTTGAAACTTACTGGGGAGTATTCTGGCCCACGAGATGGAGAATCTGAAAGCGTCCATGTTCATTTCCTTCATTAATTTAATGTCGTCCTGTTGTATTTTTTTTTTAAAAAAATTTCACGTAACAACATATGTATGAGTCAAAAAGCTAACAAAAATTATATGGATAATAAATAAATAAATAAATATATATAAATTGCACCTTGTAGCGATGATAAAAGTCAAGTGCAACATCTGCATTGTCCATGTTGGTCCTATCTGGCATTACATAAGATAAAGAAAACAAGATTTATTAGTCGTCAACTGTTGGAGCCTTAATCCTAATTTATATCACATAAAAAACGTGATTAACTGTATTTAGGCGTAGTCTTTAAATATACAGATTATATGCGGTCGTATATTCGAATTATAGGTTTGTACGGACCTGGGTAAGTGTGGGCGAAGTGGTCCCATATCGTCGTCGATTTTCCGCCTTCGTTGGTGGCTCCTTCGTACTATACGCAGATGAATCATACGTACGGCGTCGTTTAATTAGTATCGGACAAGGAAAATACATATACAAGCATTTACAATTAAATATTAAGAATTATAATTATATATATTAAAATCCTAGTATTACATAAACTCATGATATTTTTCAATTATTTCATCACATCTTTCTTCATCACCGTGCGTATCTAACAAAAATGTTTTTTTTTTCTCTTTACAATCTTTCTACATCATTGAAGAGATTGTATGGGACTTCCCAACACTTTGGGATTGTCAACGTCACACAAATAAATTTGTATAAGGCAATGATATATACGGTTGCAATCAGAAACCAAATAAAAAAAATTTAATCTTTTACGGCTCAATATGTATGTCGAACACTAACATTATGTATAAAAGATTAACCCTAACCATATAATAAAACAAAATTAAGAAGCGAGATTCTGATAACAATGCATGGAATTCGGAGTGGGAACAGTAAATTACCTGTAAGGCGGAAGAGGCGGTTCCGAATACGAAATCTTCGGGAAAACTATGGCGATCCAAGGGACTCGAAAAGGGGATCACATGTTCAGATTGGGACTCAATTGCGAGCCATGACGTCATCAAAATGACGATTGCATAATAACCCTTAATCGCCATTATTCATATACGTTTTTCCCTGTGAGGAATGGTTTTGTATATACGCTCTAGGATTCGATCGAGTAATGTAGATGAACACTCAGAGAGAGAGAGAGAGAGAGAGAGAGAGAGAGAGAGAGAGAGAGAGAGAGAGAGATCTTGTGGAGTGTTTGAGAAACTGGTGGATATCGCTCTTCTTATATAGAACTCGGTGTACGTGGAATTCAAATCCACTACTATCAGATCCCACGAAATAAAAAAAATGAAAAATAAGAGAAATTATTTTGGGTACGTGTAAAACATATCGATAAAGAAAAAAAAAATGGGGTGTAAGATCTTATCCCTTTTATAGATGGATTATATTTAATTGTATAATAAACCGGGAGTTTCTTTCCATGTTTGCTACGTTAATACAAGGCAAAGACTATTTATTCAAAATGACAAAAGAAGCGAAAACCGTTTTGGTTTCGTACGTTGTGGTGACTTGGCAATTTTGTATCTTTTTTTATAAATAAGGTTATTATTTTATTTATTAAAAAAAATGAAGGAAGGAAAAAAAACTTTTCAGAGCTTTGAACGTACAAACTCAGGGATCCGACCGTCTTCTTAGCTCTTTTGTTCGTTCCGAATGAAGCCGGAATAGTTGCCCTTATTCAACCCTCTAATTAAATTTGGGAGTGTGTGTATATGTGTATATGTAATAATAAGGTTGGGGGTGAATGTGGTCATGATCGGGGCTACGTTCACTGTTCTACAAACATTTTGCATGCAAAAATGCGTTTTTGCATGTGGGAAACAGTTACAATGCCTCGTTTGTCTCGAGCTTTTACGAATTCTTGACCACTGATGCAATTCTATCCACTTCCACTGTATGTATATATAGTAATTAAATATTTAAAACATTTTCATTAAAAAACATCCTTTGGTTTTCTCCTTGATTTGATAAAAATATCATCAGATTGCTTAAATTATATCGACCAAAAAAAACCGAGTGAATATAGCGATTAACAGACTAAAATCTTGAAAGAATAATTTGTGTGCATCGTTATCGTATTTTTTTTTTATAAAAAAAACAACAACAGAAGATTGAAATAGATCGTAATTGGAAGATTTAATATATTTTAAAAATTATATCGCTTGAGATAAATGTTCCGTTCTTGGATAATATAATACGAGAACTTTATCGGTAAAAATGGAAAATTGGATATATAATCGATTTACATTGGGAAAACAATTTGTTTAATTTCCTTAAAAAGAGTATAAAAAGAGTATTGAGACATTTTTTTCCTTTTAGATTCGACAGCAGTATAAAAGTTTTATAGGAAAAAAAACTTGTATATATATTTACATGTTTTTATTTATTGGCCAATTTAAGTATATCTATAAAAATGTGAAAGGATTTGTTTCTTATATATTTAAAAGGTATTTTAAACATTTTTTTTTTGGATTTCTGAGGACCTGAAATTGAGCAGCGAAATTCTGACTCCATGCATGACTTTCAAAGTGAATTGCAAATGTGATTGGAATGCATGTGGTTGCAATCGTGTCTATATTCGACTGTTCATCGTGTAGTTCAAGTGCCCACTTGTGTGCGTAGCTATATATATATATATATATATCGATGCAGTACATATTTGTCTGTAAAAACAAAAACAAAAACAAAAATCCATAAAAGATTTATTAATTCATAATTTTTTATTCTATTTTCCTAATTCGACCAGACATTTCATTTTAATGGAATATATTCCTAATTCAGCTGGTTTGTCGCCATTTTTATATATGTTCACATTTAAATTGGGCAGTTTAAGCCACAAAAAACATATTAATCTACAAATTTTAGTATTATATAATTTTTTATATTTACTTTTTTATATCTGAAATATATGCGGCAATAGAAAAATATAAATTATTTATATAGGTTACCGGGAAAATATTTTTTATATTTAAATTGAACATTTAATCGACTGAAAATAAATATTAATATTACTGAAATTACTTTTGTTTGAGCTTTATCTATATTAGGATATACTCTATCTAAAAAAAATACTTTTTTAAAACATTTATTTATGTAGATAAATCTGATCAATAGTAATAATAATAATAATAATAATAATAATAATAATAATAATAATAATAATAATAATAATAATAATAATAATAATAATAATAATAATAATAATAATAATAATAATAATAATAATAATAATAATAATAATAATAATAATAATAATAATAATAATAATAATAATAATAATAATAATAATAATAATAATAATAATAATAATAATAATAATAATAATAATAATAATGAGAAAAACACAAAAAATCTGCTGGTATCCCGCTGGGATTGGGACACTAGTTTCAACTAAAATGATCTCATCTAAAACATTATCAACATCGGAAACATTACGCATCTCGAACAATGTCTAATACAAACGAGATTCAAAGTAAATCTTTTTAAAAAAAAGACAATTTCAGTGAAAATAAATATTAAATATGAGCAGATTTACCAAATAATTTATTGTCTTTTTTTTTTTCATGTACATGTGGAGTTTGTATATAACTAGAATACTCGACCTAGTTGAATTTAAAAAAATACACATAACATATTATTTAGACGACCAAATCATCTCCTAATAAAAACACATTAAACATATTTTAAACAATGAAGGAATGCATTTATATACGAAATCGGGTTCGCTCAAATATGCAAAACAGAGAACATATAACCGAATCTTTTTTTCGTGTCATGTTATTAAGTAAACCAATGAATATACACAAAAGGCTTCACAAAGTGATTAATCCAATTGGATCGAATTGCTTGATTATTTAAAATTAAAAGACGAAACAGATAATGGAATCAGTTCTGCAACTCTTGAACATGGGCACGTGGCTTCTTGTGTCCTTTGAGGATCTTGCTGAACCACTTGGCCGATTTCTTGGGGTACCTCTTCTGCCCGTCTTTGTAGTCCACGTAGACCAGCCCGAACCGGACAGTGTACCCATCTCCCCATTCGAAGTTGTCTAGCAACGACCACGCGAAGAATCCCTTCACATTTGCCCCCACCCTATACGGTTTTTTTTTTCCCGACAACGTTACAAAATACGTATATGTATTATGTTATATATAATATTTCGTTGTTATACGTTGAAAAGATAACAACTTACTTGATAGCTTCATGGACCATCTTAAGGTGGTGAGCGTAGTAATCGATCCTCTCGTTATCCTTGAGGAACACTTTTCCAGTGCTAGCCTCATCGACTCCTGCATCGCCAAAGCGTGGATTTATCGTATCTATATATATACACGTTCTAATACTCGAATATTAAGCTGTAAAAAGCGTGGAGTTACCGTTTTCGGTAATGTAAATGACGGGGTCCTTGAACTTGTACTTGGTGTAGAGGAGGAGATCACGAAGGCCCTTGGGGTAAATCAAGAGCCAGTCCGATGCAGCCTGTGATGAAAACCACTCAAAATATTAATGATTAGGAGTTTGGACCATTACCCAATTCATTTGGACAGAATTTGATTTACCTTTGGGCCAATCGGCACTCCGTTTCGTTCACCTACACGCAGACCAAAACACAGTTGAATCCATGGACTAGAAATGTCTTTATATACATATATATATATATATATCAAGAAGATTGTCATGAAAGGGACCTGTGACTTGGACACAAGGATCAGTGAACAAGGTGACGTTTTGGGTGGTGCAAGGAACGTCTTTGGCGTAGGAGGACGAGTAGTAGTTGATACCGATGAAATCGAACGATCCTTTGAGCGTTTTGGACTGCTCGGCCGTGAACACGGGAAGGCGGCCTCCTTTGACGTGGCTCACCATCTCCTCCGGATATTTCCCCGAGACGAGTGGCTCCAAGAAATAGTCCAATGTGAAGGCCATTGCCCTTCCTGCCGCCACCCTATCCGCGTGTGAGTTCGTGTAAGGTATGTTAAAACCCGCGTTCAAGGCTATCCCGACCTGACCCTTTTGGCTCGCCTGTCCGAACAAAGTTCACATCGTTATCAGAACTCACATCGGATCAAATCGAATTCTATTAGATATATTGCTAGAGCTAATACTTTATATAGATATATACACACACACGGAAGTATGGTACATCCTCATAACCCACAACTCCTAGATTATCAGATTCTGATATCATGACTCTAATATTGTCTATATATGTCTTTAATAAATTCATGTTTCTTGGGTGACAAGTTACCTGGTATTTCTCTCTGTAGACCTTGACGGCTGCTGCGTGGGCGAGGAGGAGGTTGTGGCCGACGATGTAAGGCTCGGTGGCTCCATCGCCTCCGAGGCATTTAGGGTTTGTGAACTTGGAACATCTTCCGGGTGCCATAACACCTGTCACATAACCTTGCTGCACGACCGTCAGTGGCTCCCTCACACGGCTCCAGTGCTTCACTCTGTCTCCGAACGTCTTGAACAGCAGCTCGGCATAGTCCTTGTAATCGTTCCTGTTTCATTACAAAACACGTTTTATCTCATTTTGTCTTGTTGTCCCGTTTCTTCTATACGATTTCATGAATATAGTGTGGTATTATATATGGTTTTCCAGGACTTACACAATTTGGGCACTGCGGAAACCGCCGTAAGCGTCTTCGAGGGCTTGTGGAGTGTCCCAGTGGAAGATCGTTACGAAAGGCTTAATTCCTAATTACATAGCACAAGAATAGTTCAATCCAAACTAATTGATTCATCTTGAAACTATAGTGAAAATATTGAGAATATGTATATAATGGTTGGCCAATTGGAACCGTCGTCTAATTCTCTAAATAACGACTAACCTTTTGACAAAAGTGCATTGATCAAGTTGTTGTAGTAGTCTAAACCAGCCTGGTTGATCCCTCCCTTCAGAGTCCCACCTATGTGAAAAAGGAGAAATGTATACAATCGATTTTCGGCCAAATACCGTATCCATATATGAATGGTTCAAGGAGGAAATTGTCCTTACGAGGCAAGATTCTGGACCACGAGATGGAGAATCTGTAGGCGCCGAAGCCGATGTTGTGCAACAAGGCAACATCTTGCTGTAACAAACGATGGAGATTGATTTAGCATTGGAACACCTAATATAACCTTGTTAGAGAATGTGTTGAATTACCTTGTAGAAGTGGTAAGAGTTGTCTGCCACAGACCCATTGCCGCGGTCCTTTATCTTTTCTGTAACAATGAATAAAAACATTTTGTAATGAACATTGAATAACAATAATAATATCCTATATATATATATATATATGAAGTAAAGTGTGTTAATACATGTTGTTCAAAGTGGTTGGGATTTTACGCTTATGACACTACCAATCCAAATCTAAACCATAACTCTATAAAACCCTTGAATTTGTTCATCTACCTCTCTTTATGAACAAAAGTAGCAGCAAGTAACACTTTGGATCTAAACCCACTTACTTAGAGATCCTGCCTTAATCGGCACAGAGAGAGAGAGAGAGAGTATGAACAAAGCTCTTTGTATCGATTAGCATAAGCTTCTGATAAGTTGGAATAGAGATTAAGACAAACCAGGATGTTTCTCAGAGAAGGTGTCCCAAATACTTGGTCCTCTACCATCTTCATGAGCAGCACCTTCACACTGCAAAACCAAAATCCCATCTTGAGAAGTGGATGCTCAAGATACACATACATATACACATACATACATATACATCATGAAACTGCAGAAGAAAACAGGAAGAAGTAGGAATTCGTTACTAGGTATATATTGATGGAGAACCCAGAAAGAAAGGATTGAAGAAAGGGACCTGGTAAGCAGCAGTTGCAGCCCCGAAGATGAAATCTTTAGGGAATTGAGCTCTCCTCACGGTAGGCCTCGACGACTTCTTGGCAAAAGCTCCATTGCAAACCAACGCGATCGCAAGCAATACGACGAGCCCTACCCTTTTCATTCTCTCTCTCTCTCTAGAAAAAAAAACAAAACTTTGGGATTTGACGTTGATTGATGAAACGGGAGGGGGGGTCGGCTCGATTTATAGCGAAACCGAGATGTCTGAATTTGGTAAATATCTTTAAATAGATATCGAAAGGTGGGAGCTCAATCCGAGGAATAGAGAAAAACTGCTGCGAGTTTTCGAATTGTCTTAAAATTAGTCAAAGAGACGATTCGAAATCCTATCTTTTGATTTTTTTTTTAAAAGAGGCGAATTTCTACCTAACGTTAACGTAATATTCTTTTTTATTTTTCAAAAATAAGATTTTGAACTAAAGCTGAGATTCGCCTCGTCTTTTGCGGGCTTGGACGTTGTAACGTTCAAAAGCGAGAGAGATCCTTTCTCCTCCATGCACGATTCAGCTTCTCCTTTTGAATTTGAATCAGTACTACCTTTTTTTTTTGAATTCGAACGTATATTTAAAGAAAATTTAAACGAATTAAAGCAAACCCAAATTATAAAATTCAATATATAACATAAAAAAATCCATGGATATAATTTTTTCAAATAAAAAAAATCGGGAATTCGTATACTAGTAAAGTATGGGTTTTTACTGTACTATTCCATGTTTGGAAAATATGCTGTTCAAATACCCAATATTTCTAACCTAACGCTGGAAATGAAGAAACTAAGTCCATGTTTGGTTTGAGGTTATCTTTTGGGTTTTCGAATCCCTTTTTGGAATTAGGTTAATGAATTGAGATTCTTTTTTGGAATTTTTATGACTGTTGTTATCCCCTTTTACGACGACTCAAAAGTACGTGGGCCGTAACTGAATATGGGCCTATTAGTATTTCTCAAGGCCCATAATGGCCCTTCCCACATGGGAGGGGACTCAGGCCCATCAATTTTTAAATAAGCAAACACTTAAAACATGAAATTAAATTAAAAATGTTATATACCATAATTATATATATGAACCCGTAAGCCGATTTGAATAAACCCAAAACTTCGCCGTAAAACTGCGTTTTGAGTCGCATCGCTGTTTGCGCCTCTGTTCTTCTACTCATGGCGTTGTGCTTCGGAAAATTTGCAATTAGGTGAAATCACTCCCCTGGTGAAGATTCAATATCTTCGACGGAGGAAGGAGCTGAAACGCCGTCGTATCGGATCGCTGAATTCGAAACTCGGAGACAAGGCTCAACGGAACCGAGTGTTCCGGTCAAATCAAATCCACGTCGAATTGTGCCTGATGATCCCTTCTCTTTCTATCTTTCGAGCTCGTCTCCAGCGTAGTTATCGGAAGGCTCGTAAGCGGTGGGATGTACTACGAATCGTATGACAGCAGCGGCGAGTTCCTCGAGCAGTTCTCTGCTCTCTCTCTCGCTCGCAGAAATTAGGGTTTTTCTCTGTCGTAGTTTTTGTGGGTCGATGTGAAGTCTCATTTTTTTTTAATTCACATTTTGGGCGATTTGTAAACTGATGGATTTAGGGTCTTCGAGTTGTGGATTTTATTGCAAGCAAAGCATCACGTTTCCTCTCTAATATAATTTTGCAATGTCATAAAAATATTTTGTATATGCATAAAGTATAATGCCAATATGGAAGATCAAATTCACCAAATGGGCACTTAGTGGATTTGGTTCGTCCTTAATTCTGCTTCGTAACAGGTAACTGACTTCTTCTATGCTTATGTTCTCTTCAGGAGAGAGGAAGTCTAATGACAGAAATCGTCCAAAACCATCCGAGCCAAACGAACCGAACCTCAAACGATCCGAGCCGACTCGTTTGACACCCTATTTTTAAGGGAATCGAGACATGGGAATGGGCAAAGAACCCGACCGGAGGAAAAACAGGCCAGATGAGGTCATTAAACCCCTGAACTATGATTGTGACACCTAATTCAGTAATTTCTTAAAATCAAGAAAGAATACTGATTCGGAAAGCCAACACTCCTACAAATTCTATCACTCCTCCAAAAGCAGACCACATGAACTGATACTGTTACATAAAATATACAACACAATCCCTAAACCATTTCCAAAAGTCACCTTCTTTTTCTTTTTTTGGGCTGTTTGCCTGAAGATTCCGCGACCTCTGCCGCCTTCTTCTGTTGTCTCCCTCTGCTTCGTTTCAATGGAGTGTTATCTTCTTCGACCTTCTTTTTACCGGCATTGTTGCTCCTCAGTTCTCTCTGTCGCGTTTTGGTATCTTTATCTTTCTTACCGTTATCACTGCTCTTTTTCTGACCTTTCGACCTGTTTCCTCCTTTCTTTGGAGAGTTCGCTGGAGAGTTCTTTATTCTCTTCAAGAAATCTGCTACACTCTTCTTCTTATCGGCTTTAGCAGTCTCCTGCTTTTTATCGGTTGGTGAGTTCGTTTTGGAACCCATCTGCTTCTTGTTGGTCTTGGTACTCGTAGCGAGAGCAGGAACCCCTTTGTTGGTTCTCCTCCTCGAGCTTCTTACACTGGCGACAATCTTGTCGTCTGCCGAAGCCTGGTCTGATGTCTTCTCCTCTTTTAGGATAAAACTGGAAGAAGGGGAAGAAGGCTTAGCTGAAAGCAATCTCCTTTTCTTGCAGGGGACCAGAGGGTCTGAAGGTTTCTGCCTCGTGAGCGACGAGTCTGATGTTTCAGGGTCTTGTTTGGCAGTCAGTTTTCCGAATTCCTGGTTGATTTTGGTGGAGACGAGGGTTCTGAGTTGGTGGGCGGCGATGGATTCGGGGGAAGAGTTAGGGAAGAAGATGATGGCGTTGGTGAAGAGAAGATGGAGGTCTCTGTAGAAGGAGATGATGGAGGAAGCGTAGTATCCTTTTTCCAGCTTTTCCTGTATTGTCTCCATGTCCAAATGCTCTCTAACCAGCCTCTTGTATTCCTCCGTCCCCTGAAAGATGGCAAAAAAAAAAAAAAAAAATAAAACTCGGCCCAAATAAGCCTAGATGTAGCCGGCCCAATGACTCGATTAAAAAAAGTCAAAAGGTGGCAGAAAAATTCAAAATCAAAAAGCTAATCACCGCCACGTGTCACTGATATGTGCCCATCAGCGACCATGATAGAAATGGGAGGTTTGGGGCAATTGCCCAATTATTATTATTATTATTATTACCCAGTATCAGAAGCAATAAATTTCTCTGCATGTGTGCGTGTGGACAAGAACCCACGTTAGGTCCATCCATAAAACTATATCTACCCGCGACAACGTTTCAGTGACCAACACCAATATTTCTACGTAACGATCCAAAATTTTTTATAATTCGGGACATTACTAAATTCAGTATAATTTTTTAGATATAAATTTAAATTTATTAGGAGGTATGTAGTAATTTTATCTAGAATTTTATGATTAAATTTGATATATTTTATTTTAGAAACGGGAGTACGTGACCCATTGTTAGCATGCTGGGTCATGCATATTTACAATATTGTATTAAAATACATAATTTAGGGAAGAAAAATTGGGAGTGGCACCGACTAACTCCACCATAAATGGATCATTTCATTGGTCGTTCTTGATTTTCTTTAATGGATTACCAAGAACCAAGAGCAACGTATGTCTACCCTTTCCATTCACAATCATATACTTATTCTTATTTATGATTTGTTGTTTAATGCTGTAAATTAAGGATTGTTATCGATATAGTATAGACATCGAATATATATATATATATTTGCATGTTTTATCGTTGTGAATTTTAAGAGTGATGAACTCGTTAAAAGTTTTCATAAGATGCGTATATTAAAATTCAAGGAAAATATTGCGTACCTGGATTCGAAGCCGGCGCTCGAACAAGGATCCACGTGGATGGGCACGAATCATTTCAAGGAATAAAATCAACGGCTCTGATTCACCCGCGACCGTTCTCATCTCTCCGCCGCCGCCCTGACCTTCCTTGCCGCTCCTCTTCCACGTTCTCCCGAATCCTGCCGACGTCCCCGACTCGCCCGAGTGGCTTACTTCCGATCCGTCCTCCGCCGCCGCCTTACAAACCTGATCGGGATCCGGATTCCCCGAGTCTTCGCGTGCACGACTCGTTTCGTCTCCGTCTCCGGCGAGTTTCCCGCCGGAAGCTGTCGAGTTGGACTCGTTGATGGACCCGTTCTCCCGGTCAGACTCCTTCTCCTCCGCCATAACCGTGTTCGGTCTAGCCGGTTCAGTTACATCGTTCTCTGATCTCTCCCCCTTCGAGTCGTCGTCCAGATCTGGTTTCTGGCATCCGACGCTCCTGTCTCTCTCCTCCTCTAATTTCTTAACTTTCGACTCAAGTGACCTAAAAAAACAACCACGAACGAATTAAAAAAAAAACTCAGATCCATCCAAAAACGACGGATAAAGAGAGAGAATCCGTACAGTATCGAGACATCATATCGCTGAAGATCTCGCCGTAGCTCCGCCACGCGAAGGCCCCGGAGCTGATTGAGCCAGGGGATGTTATCGGCTTTGTCATCTCCGTCCTCCGTCTCGTTGTCCCCTACCCCGTCGTCCTCGAACCGGCGCTTGAGATCTCGGTACTTGTGCTTGCAATTCTGGGCGGTGGTGAGAAAACGGGGGAGAGAGCTCCGGGACTGGACTTCCATGGCGACGGAGTCCCAGTCATGGAAGCCGTGCCGCTTCACGGCGCATGCCAGCAACAGCTCCTCCCACGTGCTCCATGATTGGCTATGCTTCCTCTGATCAATGTTATCGTCTCCGGTATGATTATCCCTGCAACTGTAATTGATGATGTTATTATCGTCCTCGTCGTTCATGCCGTTGGGTGTTGCCTCTGCTGCGTTCATCATCCCTCCATACTCTCTTGTTCAAATGGAGAGCCCTCGCATAACCCAAACAAAACGCTCGCGGTTTAGTGATTGCCTTTTCTTCCTTTGTAAAAAAAAAGAGAATAATAATTATCGTCTTCCTCCGCTCTCGTCTGTGTTTTGGCCATTTTATATTATACGAATTGGTTACTCGCATCTTTTAATTAAAAATAATTTTATATTCATAGATTCACGTATATGATTTCTGGATGCGCCAAAAAAAAAAAAAAATGGATGTAATGATACTCGGAAGGAAACGAGCCCAACCCAAGACGCTTCGTCCAACCGTCTGCGTGTGAGGCGGTGTGGGTGATATTTACAGAAATACCCCTATACCAGATCCCTACAGGTCCATGGGCCTTTTAATTAATAATACATAGGCCCATTATGAGCGTGGCCCGTTTCGGACAATGGTCAATCGAACCGGTGACTAATACATTACACCCATACCGAGTTTCGGTTTATACCGGTTTGGATGCAGATTCAAACCGTATTCACTCGTAAAATATGTCTAATGTTCCGCAGATATATAGGAACAATGGAATACGGCAACAACACAAGACATCTGTGACAGTAAAATGAAGTAACCTAGAACATGAAGTTCTTCTCTGTAGCAATAGCATGTCAGTAAAGATGTACATTACACCAACTTGGACATACTATGGTCGACAATTAATCAGCAGGCGACAGATTTTAGCAACTTTGTTCACAATCATCTCAACCTTCTCCTTCTGGACCTTGTCCGAGGTCCATCGTCAACCTCTGGAGTTTCTGTTCTCCTCCTCGAAGATGGAACTGAAGCATCTGCGTGTGCAGTCTGGTTTCGCATCTCCCTCAGGGCATCAGATACTACAAACTCTGCGGGTAATGCGACGGGAAACGAGACCAGAGATATTGCCCGAGAAGTCGTATCAAAGATACGGATGTTTGGTTCGGCAGAACCCGCGATCCGGGCTGAGTTTCTATCAGCAATGCGAGAAGATCTCCGACGGTTTCTTCTCATGTTACTTGTGTCCATATAACTACCAAGAGTACCGATTGGCTGCTCCAGGTAATCAACTGAAAAATCCAAGAAAGAAGAAAACTGTGGCGTCGAAGGAGGCAACAACCTCAAAGGTCCGAGGGGTTGGTTTTGCCAATTCCCATTTACTATCGTATTGTTCATTCCGATATCATAACCTCGAGGCAGTGTTTGCTGTTCTATTGCATCAATAGCCCTTCTCATTTGTTGGATCGTTTCATGTGTGGGAAGAAACGGGATTGCCCGATTACTGACATTCTGGCGGACACTTTCAACCCTCTTGGCAGATGGCCTTGGAGGGACCAATATACCACAGTCCTCTGGCTCTGACTTGGGCTTATTACCATCACAGTCATCTCCATTGCCATATATCGGAGTAACCTCATCGTCGGTCACTTCTCCATCACAGACGGGACATTCCTTTACATTCAAATACGAGCAAGGCAACTGATAGAAGCATGACCAGCAAAACAAGTGCCCACAACAAGTCAATATCGGATCCGCAGCTCTCTCTAGACATATGTTGCAGTCGAAGTACGTACCAGCGACAGCAGTTGTTTTCTCCATGCCTAATGCCTTGGCTATCAAATAAGTATGATAGGTCTTGCTAACCATTCTGTTTTCGATCCTTGAACGCTCATTTATATATCCAGTAGTGGCCTCCGGATGTTCATCAGTGACCAATCCTGGAGTTTCTCTTACTAATGGTCTCGACAGTTCCCGTTCCCTGATTCTTGAAACTATGGACTCAAGCTGCCTCAGACGCTCTATCGGGATCCGGATTCCCCGAGTCTTCGCGTGCACGACTCGTTTCGTCTCCGTCTCCGGCGAGTTTCCCGCCGGAAGCTGTCGAGTTGGACTCGTTGATGGACCCGTTCTCCCGGTCAGACTCCTTCTCCTCCGCCATAACCGTGTTCGGTCTAGCCGGTTCAGTTACATCGTTCTCTGATCTCTCCCCCTTCGAGTCGTCGTCCAGATCTGGTTTCTGGCATCCGACGCTCCTGTCTCTCTCCTCCTCTAATTTCTTAACTTTCGACTCAAGTGACCTAAAAAAACAACCACGAACGAATTAAAAAAAAAACTCAGATCCATCCAAAAACGACGGATAAAGAGAGAGAATCCGTACAGTATCGAGACATCATATCGCTGAAGATCTCGCCGTAGCTCCGCCACGCGAAGGCCCCGGAGCTGATTGAGCCAGGGGATGTTATCGGCTTTGTCATCTCCGTCCTCCGTCTCGTTGTCCCCTACCCCGTCGTCCTCGAACCGGCGCTTGAGATCTCGGTACTTGTGCTTGCAATTCTGGGCGGTGGTGAGAAAACGGGGGAGAGAGCTCCGGGACTGGACTTCCATGGCGACGGAGTCCCAGTCATGGAAGCCGTGCCGCTTCACGGCGCATGCCAGCAACAGCTCCTCCCACGTGCTCCATGATTGGCTATGCTTCCTCTGATCAATGTTATCGTCTCCGGTATGATTATCCCTGCAACTGTAATTGATGATATCGTATTTGACACTTGTCGATTTGGTGCTGCGTCAGCACAACACCATTAATGATTATATAAAATATATCTATTTTTTTTTTTGCGTAAATACCATAAACTCTTATTGGTGCCCAAAAACAAGTAATATTTTTTTTGCCGTATAACAACTTTCAGCGGATGCTAACGTGACATTTATTGAAGGATCTGAATATAGAAACTGTATATTTGATATCTGCAAATCTGTAATTGATTTATTTTGTTTCCTTAGATTACGCTAGGTCTGTTTTGATGCTTTTGTATAAAGCTCTGTACGAACCATTGAGTAAAGCAGCAGAAATTCATTCCCAGACCTTTGAATTCTTTTGTTTATATCATGGTATCAGAGCCCTGAACAAATAAAAGAACAGAAATCCATTTTTTTCATGACGAACAACGTCTCTCCATCGAACCCCGACATGACTGCTCCCTCGACAACAACCCCGACAATGGCCCAGCAAACCCCAGCCACCGAAACTCTGTTTCCTCCGAGGCGAACGATTTCGCCTTATGATCTGACTCCGAGCGATAACCCAGGTTTGGTGCTCTCTCAACCTCTACTTCGAGGAGAAAACTATGACGAATGGTCTGTGAATATCAGACAAGCGTTGAAATCCAGAAAGAAATTTGGATTCGTCGATGGGACGATTCCAAAACCGATCGACACATCCCCTGATTTTGATGACTGGGACACAAACAACGCACTGATTGCATCCTGGATCAAGAACACGCTGGAGCCGCATCTGAGATCCGATGTTGTCCATCGCGAACTTGCTCAGGATCTGTGGGATTACCTGAAACGAAGGTTTGGCTGGTCCAACGCTCCTCGTCTCCTCAAGATCAGAGGTGACATCGCAAACTGTCGCCAGCAAGGGATGATATGACCCATTGAAAACGCTCGCGGGTTGGCTCACCAACTAATCTATATTTTTTTCTAGTCGGATTCACAATATTTGAAAAAAAAAATCAGATCAAACGAATCGATCCGTCACGAGATAGACTCGTGGTAAGCCAATTCGTCACGAGTCGGCTAGATCGCGTTATTTTTTAACTTTTAATATTTTTATATATTTTAAAATATTTTTATATACAAATTATATTTTTATTATATATTTAGTTTGTTTTTGTTTAAAATTTTAATTTTTTATTATATTTTAAATATTTTTAAATATTAAAATTATTTTTAAATATTTTTTAATATTAAAATTTATATATTTAACTCGCGGACCGACTTGTTTGATTCGCGGGTTAAGACGATATGAATATTTTTGACTCGCTAAAAAACGAGTTGGGTTGGATTTTTCAGATCGGAACGAGTCGGACTGGACTGGGCCGGGTCAGTCCATTTTACAACCCTAATCATATAAAAAATACCTTCTATTTACTATTTTGACTTCAACACAAATCCTCTTCTAATTGATGATCATGCATGTGACCCGAAATATAGTGTGGTCGCATCTTGTGTTTATTGATCATAACGTTAAATTTATGGTGATCACACTAATTTATTATGTTCATATCTTATATATCTCACTAATCGTTTGATTAAAACATTTGGGGGTGGCCATAGCCGTTGCGTCCTGGAGAGAGAGAGAGAGAGAGAGAGAGAGAGAGAGAGCGTCGAGGTGCCGTTAAAGACAGCAGAATTTCCATCTGTAAATAAATCGTAATACATATGAAAAAAATGCTAAAAATTCGACGAAATATTTTTTTAATTTTTTTTATTAAAAGCTAGAATTTCATTGGTGAAACATAATAAAATATTAAAACTCTTAAATTCAAACGATAGAAAAGAAAACTCTTCTCGTATTTGACACTTGTCGATTTGGTGCTGCGTCAGCACAACACCATTAATGATTATATAAAATATATCTATTTTTTTTTGCGTAAATACCATAAACTCTTATTGGTGCCCAAAAACAAGTAATATTTTTTTTTTTGCCGTATAACAACTTTCAGCGGATGCTAACGTGACATTATATCATATCTAGGGTGTAAAACGCTCGCGGGTTGGCTCACCAACTAATCTATATTTTTTTCCAGTCGGATTCAAAATATTTGAAAAAAAAAATCAGATCAAACGAATCGATCCGTCACGAGATAGACTCGTGATAAGCCAATTCGTCACGAGTCGGGCTAGATCGCGTTATTTTTTAACTTTTAATATTTTTATATATTTTAAAATATTTTTATATACAAATTATATTTTTATTATATATTTAGTTTGTTTTTGTTTAAAATTTTAATTTTTTATTATATTTTAAATATTTTTAAATATTAAAATTATTTTTAAATATTTTTTAATATTAAAATTTATATATTTAACTCGCGGACCGACTTGTTTGATTCGCGGGTTAAGACGATATGAATATTTTTGACTCGCTAAAAAACGAGTTGGGTTGGATTTTTCAGATCGGAACGAGTCGGACTGGACTGGGCCGGGTCAGTCCATTTTACAACCCTAATCATATAAAAAATACCTTCTATTTACTATTTTGACTTCAACACAAATCCTCTTCTAATTGATGATCATGCATGTGACCCGAAATATAGTGTGGTCGCATCTTGTGTTTATTGATCATAACGTTAAATTTATGGTGATCACACTAATTTATTATGTTCATATCTTATATATCTCACTAATCGTTTGATTAAAACATTATAAATTTAACGTTAAGATCAATGAGATCAACATTTGACCATATTATATTTCGGATCATATGGGTTATAAGGTTACATGTGAAAAAAATGTATGTGTTGAAGTTAAAATAAAAAAGGGAGTATATTTTTTTATAATGCACCTGCTACCGTACACCACTTTTAATACATTCTTCAAATTTGGCACATTTCAAATAATACAAAACTATGACATTATTTTTTATCCTTTCCAGATTTCAATGGGTCATATCATTTTGTTGTTATTTTTTTTAAAAAAAAGCATAGTCATTGATCCATTCCACTCGCGTAGTAATCGATTATGAAATATCTGTAATCATACTTTTTCAAAATAATTTTATTATTATTATTATTATTATTATATTATTTGGAGTTGCTCTTGTTTTTCTTTCGGATAAGGAAATGATTTACGTTTGCATCCCTACAATGTGTTCAAGTGTATAATAATGATTAATATAATAAGATGAAATGATTCGATAGAGTAAATTATATTCGTTAAAAAGAATAACATAAAAATCTTATTAATTTCGGCAACCTTGTTCGTTGGTAACAGTTAGAGTCTACATTTTGCATGCAATCCGTAGGCTAACTTTAACAAAAGGTTTCCCGGGGAAGAAAGCGTCCAAGCACTCGTCAGCGTTACCAAGAACGGCTCGGCAACACTCTCTCGACATGTCCTTGAGTTTGAAAGATCTGACGGCTTGTTCGCACCCCGGAATCGGCCTAATTTCATCCCAACATTTCAGCTGGTTCGGTAATACCCTATTGTCCGAGGCCGCAGATTTCGCCTCGACATTGTTCGCTAATACACATTCCAACACTAGCAAAACTGTAACAACTGTGAATACCGTGATCGCCTTGTTCATCATCATTTAATATTTTTTTTCGTTTCTTTTATTTTTTTTTTTGTAAATATATTGTTTCTAAACTTTAAAACTTATATAAATATATATAGACATGCATGTACAATTGTACCAATTTTTAATTGCTCCAAAATCTTACCTTTCGTATGTTTTGAGTAAGAAATATACATAGTATCAAGATATATGAATAATAATATAGAAGATCGTCATAGGAGATTTGAGAAGATTATAATAATATTACGTAATAGTTAGATTTGAGAAATATACATAGTATCAAATCTAACTATTTACGTAATATTATTATAATTTTTCAAATCTTCTTTGACGATCTTTTTCTTTTGATACATTGCTCTTTTAAGGTATGTTAATGTCATTATTGGAAAGATTCTATAATTTTATATATTTAATCTTAATTTGTTGACAATCTTAACTAGGTGCATATCCTCACCCAATATTACGAGAGATATATCGTATGGTAGTCTTATAAAGGAAAATTGTTAGAGTCCAACTTGTAGGTAGGGGTGGGCACGGATACTTGACATTCGTGGGTCTTCGGGTACCCAATTTTACGGATAGTCGAAACACAGGTATACTCGTTAAGTAGCGAAGACGAAGACGGGTGTGATGAAGCCGAAAATGAGAATCGCGGGTTCGGATTTAGATTTTTTGAATGGTGACGAGTTATTGTACCAAGAAATTACCACAAAGCTCAGTAACATACACAAGAGAATATTCACGCATCAACGCCACACATACTTGCAAGTTGCAATATACGACTTGTTTTGGATAGGTGAACAGAGTACCTGTTTAGCCAAACCATGGAGTGGCCCAGCTAAACCATTTAATGCAGCTGCAAATGAAAGATATAAACATACATATATATATTTTTTATCAAATATATATATACAAATATAATATATATATATATTAAGTTTGTATTTTAAAATTTTAAATATACAAATATATATACATATACCTATATACCTATATACATACATACATATATATATTTTTTATCAAATATATATATATATATATATTTGTATATATATTAAGAAGATTTGAGAAGATTATAATAATATTACGTAATAGTTAGATTTGATAATATAGAAGATCGTCATAGGAGATTTGAGAAGATTATAATAATATTACGTAATAGTTAGATTTGAGAAATATACATATATATATAGTATCAAATCTAACTATTTACGTAATATTATTATAATTTTTCAAATCTTCTTTGACGATCTTTTGAAATGTTTTCATATCTCTTTTGATACATTGCTCTTTTAAGGTATGTTAATGTCATTATTGGAAAGATTCTATAATTTTATATATTTAATCTTAATTTGTTGACAATCTTAGCTAGGTGCATATCCTCACCCAATAGAGATATATCGTATGTAGTCTTATAAAGGAAAATTGTTAGAGTCCAACTTGTAGGTAGGGGTGGGCACGGGTACTTGACATTCGCGGGTCTTCGGATACCCAGTTTTACGGATAGTCGAAACACGGGTATACTCGTTAAGTAACGAAGACGAAGACGGGTGTGATGAAGCCGAAAATGAGAATCCCGGGTTCGGATTTGGGTTTTTTGAATGGTGACAGGTTATCTGCGGGTACCCGGAGATTAATACAATGACATTTATATCCTTTGTCATTTTAATGTATTTACAATAATACTTAAATATAATATCAACTAAAATTACCTAAATACCATTAAAGTCAACAAAAATCAATGAGTTTTTTAAAGAGTTTGGCAGGTTTGGGTACCCTTGGGTTTAGAGTTTCGCGACGGGTATCCGAATCGCGGGTACCCGGACTTCACGAAAACGAAAACGAGATAATTATTTTCTAAAAACCGTGAAGACGAAAACGAGGTCGGGTACCTCTAAAAATCAGGGTATCCGATCCATATTCATCCCTATTTGTAGGGATAGGCACATGCGGATATCCACGATTTTTAGAGTATTCGATCTCGATCTCGATCTCGTTCTTTGGATGAAATTTTGTTGCAACAAAGAATGTTTATGTTTGTGTTTATGTATATGTGTAGTGTATGTGTATGTAAATGTGTATGTGTGATTATGTGATGTGTGTGAATGTGTGAATATGTGTATGAATATGTTGTGTGTGTAATGTATGTGTATGTGTGTGTTTATGTATGTGTATATATATGTATATATGTGTGTAAATTTATGTGTATAATAAATATATGTATATATGTTTATGTATAATATATATATTAAAGACGGAAATATTATATGAGAACAATCTTATTGGCACCGAATATTAAATAAAAAGAGGAGTGAAGTAGTTGATTCTACAACATTTTGCATGTAACCTGTAGGGTAAGCTTGATGAGAGGCTTTCCGGGGAAGAAAGCACCGAAGCACTCCGAGTGCTGCACTCGTCACCAAGACCAAGAACGGCTCGGCAACACTCTTCCGACATGTCCCTGAGTTTAAAAAAAAAATAGGATGACATTAAAAAATAAGAACATTTTTAAAATGCAAATATAGGCATGTGTAAGTAAATGGAAAAACTGAATATATATATATATATATATATATAGAGAGAGAGAGAGAGAGAGAGATGCGGGTGCGTGTATATAAACAAATAAATGAAAACCAATAAAATTTAACTTAAGATAACTAATAAACAGTTAAATTGGAAAAGAGAAAAAAAAAACGTCTATTTGTGAATCAATATATTAAAGAAGAGTAATATATATGTTTGTGTGTGAGATTCTTGTTATTAGGCGACAAATGTCATCGTTTTGATGACATGATAATTAAATGGAAATATTTTTTTTTAAAAAGAAAATATAGGTAGATTTAAATGGAAAAGAATAACTATATATAAACAAATAAAGGAACCCCAATAATTTTTTTTTTTATTTAAAATAACTATTGTACAGGTAAATTGGGAAAGAGAAGAATGTTTATCTATTTGTAAATCAACATATTATTATTAAAGAAGAGTAATATATACATACGTATATTATAAAGTCTAGTGTTGGCATTTTTCATACGTTTGATAAAATAAAGTAAATCTCTACAATGCTCTCAACTGATCAATATAATTTTTTTTTTTAGAAATTTGTGTTGTATTTAATTTAAAAATGTAAAATTTAGAGAATATCACAGAAAAACTAAATTGCATTTTGGAATTGAAAAGATATATATATGTAGAAAAAAAGGATGAAGTAATTAAAGAGTTCAAAACCAATAGCCATTGTCACAAGAAAAAACACTGAACATGTTTTATTACTGTGTGTTGCAATTTATTCAGAGCAGAAAACTGACGCTCCAATACGAATTCACAAATAGTTTACATGAAAAAAAAAAGAAAAAAGATAGATCGACCTTTCTGTCGAAGTGTTAAACGCTATCCGAAGGACGGGGAAGAAGAAGAAACTCGAGCCAGCCAGGGCTTTAACCTGAACCAATCACGCAGTGTATTAAGCAGATGCAGCTTTCTTGCAGTACTTTTCAAGCCAATCCATCGTCACGCTCTTCGGCCTCTCGAGTGCCAACCCTAGAGCCCGGTCCCATATCAACTGAACCAAAGTTTTTACATGGCAGATGCTTGTGAGTCAGTTCTAAATTAAACATGGATGAACATGGTAAGAATGCGTATATATATATATATGTGTGTGTGTGTATATATATACCTGTGAGCAGATCCCAAGGCTTCTCGAGACACCAAACAGCACAGTGTAATACCTGTCATCCGAGTTTATGCGAAGAGATAGAATACAAATGCACAAATATCTGACTCTGATAATGCACAAATGAGAAGCAGCTTCGTTCTTTACCTTGCTTCAGTTAGGCCATCCAGGGTAATCTTATAAAGAAAAATTGTTAATATGCAACTTGTAGATTCTTGTTATTAGGCGACAAATGTCATCGTTTTGATGACATGATAATTAAATGGAAATATTTTTTTAAAAAGAAAATATAGGTAGATTTAAATGGAAAAGAATAACTATATATAAACAAATAAAAGGAACCCCAATAAATTTTTTTTATTTAAAATAACTATTGTACAGGTAAATTGGGAAAGAGAAGAATGTTTATCTATTTGTAAATCAACATATTATTATTAAAGAAGAGTAATATATACATACGTATATTATAAAGTTTATTGTTGGCATTTTTCACACGTTTGATAAAATAAAGTAAATCTCTACAATGCTCTCAACTGATCAATATAATTTTTTTTAAAAAATTTGTGTTGTATTTAATTTAAAAATGTAAAATTTAGAGAATATCACAGAAAAACTAAATTGCATTTTGGAATTGAAAAGATATATATATGTAGAAAAAAAGGATGAAGTAATTAAAGAGTTCAAAACCAAGATAGGAGGCGCTTCATGTGTTTACCTTGCCACTGTTCAATGTTTTCCAGACATAGTCTTTCAACTGTTCTTTGGTAATATTTTCTCCACATTCCTCGACAACTGACTTGATCCAAAGCAAAACTTCCTGCAATCGAACCAGAGGGTAGAAGAATATTCATGCACAAAAAACAATGACTCACTTGTACCAAGTAATTACCTCAAAGCTCACTAACATACACAAGAGAATATTCACGCATCATCGCCACACATACTTGCAAGTTGCAATATACGATTTGTTTTGGATAGGTGAACAGAGTACCTGATTAGCCAAACCATGGAGTGGCCCAGCTAAACCATTTAATGCAGCTGCAAATGAAAGATACGGATCTGAAAGTGCGCTCCCGACCTGGAGACATACGTATTATTAGCAAGAAAATTGGACAATCAGAAAGGTCAAAGCACAGGGACCAAAAAGTTGCATGAAATATGAATGCACAAAGAACTGCAGATGGAAGCGTCACATCAAGAAAACCATAAATTCACAGTTGGTAGGTAACAAGAACATGTAGACATACCAGGTGACCAGTGTGTGCACTAACATATATATATATACCTGTGAGCAGATTCCAAAGCTTCTCGAGACACCAAACAGCACAGTGTAGTACCTGTCATCCGAGTTTATGCGAAGAGATGTAGCAGCAGAAGAATACAAATACACAAATACCTGACTCTGATAATGCACAAATGAGAAGCAGCTTCGTTCTTTACCTTGCTTCAGTTAGGCCATAATAGTTCAGCAGTACACCACTGTGTGCATCAACGTTTGGCCACGGGTTCTTGACCTATATCAGGATAGGGGGAGAAGTTCTATATAAGCCAGCATCCTTCCATAGTTCCATATATACAATCAAAGACCGTGCTGAATGAGAAGAGACCCAAAAAAATACCTTGCCAAGCTCGGTTAGGACAGGAGGCACCACCTCATACAACTTTGAAACCTATTGATTCGTAAGCTTTATTATTAACCCATTTCAGAACATTAAGAACATAGCAGAAGAGGATGACTAGGAGTACCAGCTGGAAGAGCGGGTCATCGGGTAAATTGACACATATATCTTGGGTCAGTCTTACGAAGAACACCATGGCCAAATCCCGGAACAACCTGCAGAACAAGAAGACCCCCACCATTAACAGCTTGGTAAACTATTATTGTAAGAGTCACAAGATGAACCAGGAATCATGGATGGCAAAAGCTAAAAGATGATCCAAAACCGGCTACAAAGCTGTCAGATGAAGCTAGGAGGTGCTTCATGTGTTTACCTTGCCACCGTTCAATGTTTTCCAGACATAGTCTTTCAACTGTTCTTTGGTAATATTTTCTCCACATTCCTCGACAACTGACTTGATCCAAAGCAAAACTTCCTGCAATCGAACCAGAGGGTAGAAGAATATTCATGCACAAAAAACAATGACTCACTTGTACCAAGAAATTACCCCAAAGCTCACTAACATACACAAGAGAATATTCACGCATCGTCGCCACACATACTTGCAAGTTGCAATATACGATTTGTTTTGGATAGGTGAACAGAGTACCTGATTAGCCAAACCATGGAGTGGCCCAGCTAAACCATTTAATGCAGCTGCAAATGAAAGATACGGATCTGAAAGTGCGCTCCCGACCTGGAGACATACGTATTATTAGCAAGAAAATTGGACAATCAGAAAGGTCAAAGCACAGGGACCAAAAAGTTGCATGAAATATGAATGCACAAAGAACTGCAGATGGAAGCGTCACATCAAGAAAACCATAAATTCACAGTTGGTAGGTAACAAGAACATGTAGACATACCAGGTGACCAGTGTGTGCACTAACATTTCCACCTTCATGATCACTAGAACAAAAACCAGTAGAAAAAACCATGATCATGTTACTGTCACAAAAGTTGCTAAAATTTTAAAAAAATAGAAAAAGAAAAACTACTCTATAGGTTTGACAAACATCTATGAAAACAAATAAAATCAACAGAAACCTGTGGATAGTGACATAAAGCCTCATAAGTTCTTTCATCTGGGGGTCATCAAATCCCAACATGTGCGAGAAATTTGCACCATAATCCAATGAATCATCTGAGGAAATGGTATTGCCCCCTTTATACATCCTGCCATAGTGGGTGAAAAGGTAAAGCAATGACATCGGAAGAAGTAAACTGAGCCATAAAGCAAATGTCCACAAGCTACAAGGCACATGAAGACAAAGTCACAAGGATTCACCCTTCACTAACCTCCGATAAACATAGGAAGCTACAACAGGAACACGGGCAATCAGATTGAGGCAGTCTTCGTAAGTTGGCTCCCAGTACCTGTAAGACAAACATGTTTGTTACACTGCCAGCTAACATAATACAACATAAAGAAAAAACTAGAAAATGTGACAGCAAAATTTACTTTGACTTGTGAATTCCCTTCTCATATGCCTTCTGAAACTCACTTTGAACCTGGATGAAAACCCAGGATAACCATCACGCCGCACAAAGATGGAGATTAACTACTTAAAATCACGGAAATAAATTGGACAAGAAAAACAAGCTGATAACAAATCAAGTTCGGAGGACCATCCACCTGGAGGGCCATGACACCACTAGCAAATTGAGTCATTGGATGAGCCGTGGAAGGCAGAGCATCAATCGCCTTGTAGACAAAATCTGCGATAGAAATCATATATTAAACCAGTTTTTCGTTTCAGTTTAACAACTTTCCCAGAAATAGCTATATACTGTTTTTTTTTTCAATTAGCCAAAAAAAAGACTTTGCATCGTCTACATTGAATTTAGCCAGACCAAAAAGGTGAACTATAGACCTGGGACAGTGGCTCGGTGAGCCAAATCTTTAGACACCGCATCAACTTGCTCTTTGCTAGGTACCTGTCTCAGGAGTAGGGAGAGAGGAGATTATAAGATAAATAAGGGAATTAACTCATATGGAAATCTCCGACATCTGCGTACAAATTGTAAAGACTGCCCACCTTTCCAGTTAAAAGAAGCCATAGAAGACCCTCAGGCAAAGGCTCTCCCCCAGGCTGTGCAGCAGGTAATACTTTCTGGCATTCAGGAATCGACAAGCCCCTAAAGCGTATTCCCTGAGATAAAAATGAGAAACTTTGTAATATTCTAAAGCTAAGATACGACCGGACACGACTAATATCTACAGCATAAATATGTACCTCTTCTGGATCAAGCAACGAGGTTTCCCAGAGTAATCCAGTCATCCCTCTCATCCCACCAATTACCTTAAAAAAGGTCAGACACCAAGACATGATATGATTTACTTATTCAAGTGAAAAAGCACTGATGACCAAAAAGAACAAAAAATTTCTCTCTGTACCATGTCGCATATCACATCAAAACATCATCATATTCATTCCCGATGGCTTCACGCCATAGTGTTAGCCGTGAACCCTGGTCACATCTCATGACCAGGAGCGCCTCACACGCTCGTCACATCGCTATAAGACAAATGCGACTATATTCATGTCAAGGTCACAAATATGATAACCAGAAAGATAACATCTTTGACTTAGATCCTGTCCGCATCACACATAGGCAAGACTATCACAGAGCGCAAACCAATCTAAAAGGGTTCCAACAGCTAGAAACGATGTCTGTAATAGCTTTCCATTAAGTCTTAGCTAACCTGCTGTTCCGGGATTAACTCTTGCAGCTGTGACTTGAGGTCCTGCAGTGCCACCATTTAAAGAAAATGAACAAATAAACCTGAGAGCATAGTCCCATAAGCAAAGCTAAAAGAACATGGACAAATTAAATGCTCTCTCAAGATTCAAGAAAGCTTCCATTTTGAAAAGATGGCTTTCGCTTATTAATATTTTTCCATTCGGTATCCGGCTCTAGCTCGAGAGAAAAGGCTGAAAACTTCATAGTCACACACATCTACGCACGCAAATCGAAAAGTTGTAGACATTGACCTAAAAAGATCATTACCATTTCGGAAGAGCTCTGCATTTGGAGCCATCTGACGGAATTGCTAAGCGAAGATTGCTGCCCCTGTTATGTAAGATCCGATCATCAGTCGATTAACGTCAAACAGAGTGACAAAAGCAAAGGAATAAAACCCGTTCGCGAAAATTTCGAATCAGGGGAAAGAATCACTCACGACACGAGACCGGAGCCTCGAGAGCGCCGATGCACTTCGAAAGAACACCATTCTCCAAATTCAAGCGGGTTACCTATCAGAATTCCACCCCAAAAAAAAAAACATTTCCTCTAAACAACGGCGATCCATGGAAAAGACGAACAATCGACCAACACCAAATCAGAGAAAGCAAAAGGACCGTGTATTCTATGCGAATAAAGTTCATCGCTAAACCGTATAACTCAGGTGAACACAAATTCGATCTCGGAACCCAATTCACGGAATATATTTTCAGATTTCAGCGGAAACGGAGAAACAAGAACTCCGAAATCCCAAAAGGGAAACAAAAACAAAAAAACAAGAAGAAAAAGATGGAACAAGAAGGTACCGAGAGATTGTGGACGTTGATGGAGAGAGGAAGAGTGACGTTGCGCGTGATAATATACAGTGATCTAATAAAGAACGGCGACGCGAACGAAATGGAGAAAACAAATGCAATTACTTGCAGCAGGAGGTGCTTCTGTCGTTTAAGTAAATTCCACTTATGTCCTCTACATTTAGCTTTATTTCGTAATTGCCCTTCCTGTGCCCTGGCAAGGCATCGGTTCTTTCTTCTTAACCAGACTAAACCGGAAATAATTATTTTCTTTTGGTATGGCTTGGTTTTGTACGTATTATATTATTTTCTTTTGTACGATTACAGAGGTTTGGTCCAACTTAAGCAGCCGCACCCTTTCAAAATCACAAAAAAGTCAAATAGATCGAACTTTTATAACATTTATTGAATAAAAGTGGCATAATATTAAAAGCAAACGGCTTTTTGGCCCTTGGGAACATTTTCACCCCATCGTACACGTTGCAGAGTAAATGAGGTTAAAAATATTTACTGCCGGAGTAGTAACGACATTAGTTTAGTTTTATTATGAATAGTAATATAAACCGGTCTGTATAATTACGTATACATTAGACCCATATTTCGTTATTGTTACCGAAGAAATACAATGCATAATATAAACCAATTTGTTTTTTTTTTTGCATCGTACACGTTGCAGAGTAAATGAGGCTAAAAAAATTACTGCCGGAGTAGTAACGACATTAGTTTAGTTTTATTATGAATAGTAATATAAACCTGTCTGTATAATTACGTATACATTAGACCCAGATTTCGTTATTGTTACCGAAGAAATACAATGCATAATATAAACCAATTTGTTTTTTTTTTTGTGAAATGTAAATATCATATTGCACTCTTTCTATTTGTTTTAAATGGAAATCTCATACGAAACAATTTGTTACTGCACTCTTTCTAGTATACAAACTTTCATGCCGGAAAAAAAAAATCAATCACAAAATACATTATGAACGGAAACATTCATTAGTACATGGTTTCAACCCAAATTCGAGTCACTATTTGGGGAGAGACATTCACATGAATTTTTCCGATCTTTTTATAGATAACTGGATCAAAGATTCGATAAATTTTCGAATTATATAAAAAAATTAGTATATCAAATTCAAGATTGGATACTTCAACTGATAAGAAAGGGAGAAAAGTTCATTCTCAATCTAGGTTCGAGTCTTTATTTGAGGAGATCCATTCACATGGATTTCTCCACTCCTCTGGAAGATGTGATCGGATCAAAGACATGGTGAACTTTTATATTATAAAAAAAAATAGTACACCAAGTTACATTTTATGTGCCCCAAGTAAGATTTTTTTTGGACAACGTGGGTGAGTGATATTTCTCCGACAAGGGCTGCACATAAGCTCTCTGCATTACACTCTGTCGGCAAAATCATTTAACCGGGTTAATTCCTCGTCGTGTACGTACCCATGCAAGAGCATCGAAATTGAGGCAATATATATATATATAGAGACACACAATGGAAAATTAGCACTAGATGTCGATTTGAGTTTTATACACCAATATATAGAATCCAAATATGTCAAGGCAAGTGATGACCTTTTGTCTGATCGGAGGCGTTGTTCAACATGAAACCATGATCCATGTGATGAGAGGGTTTCATGTGAAACGTGGAAAAACCATCTTCGAGATCGATCAAACCCTCCAAATCGAAGTCGACGTTTGGATCCGAAAACTCACCTAACGGCCGTTCTGTCTTCACAGAACTGCTGGCTAGCAAAGTACCGGAAAATCCTGCCAGCCTGTTGACCTGATCATGATCACCCGTCGAATCTTGGTTTGTGATAACCGGATTTTCCGGTTTGGTTCTCCTTCTACCGGATTTGGCCGCCTCAACGGCATGTTTTCCGGTTAGGCTCTGGACGAGGGCACGGAAGTTCTTGACGTCGGTCTTGATGATCTCCGGTGCAAATATATGGATTATACGAATCTTAGGCTTGGTCTTGGTCACGTGAGAGCTCTTGTTCATGGAAATCGGAACCCTAGAATTCTGAAGGCTTTTACGATGAGGAAGATGAAGATCATATTCGGACGCCATCGAATCCATTTGCACTTCAAGACAACACAAAAGGAAATGAATGAATGATGAAAAGGAGATCTGAACTTTTCTTGTATGGTATAAACAAATGTATTACACCATACGATTAGTTTATTACTGCGGCGGTTGATCTATATATTGATTGGAGGGGATTTGGTGGATATATTATGCATTAAAATATTAGATTGTTGGTCGGTCAACACATTAATTAATTACAAATACTGAATACGAAATTGCAAGAAGAAATAGCGGTGGACCTGCGCTCCATGTTGCATGCATATATATATATGTATATATAACAACTAGTTTTGAAACTATATATCAACTGTTGCATTTGCTTGGAGAAATTGGAAATTTAAGGAGCCTAAACAGACGGGCAAATTCCTCACAAAACTCCTATGAGGAAAAGAATTCATCACCATGTATGATAGTATATAATACAGTCATGACAATGATGACATGCCATATACTTATTTATACAAATAAAGCATCATATATATATAGGTGGAAAATTATATGTGGGTATCTAGATTACATCGACCGTCCAATTTATTGAAATTGAGAGGAAGGTATTATATCTATGTGCCCTCCGACAACCACCAAAGATACTCATCTCACGTACGTCATATGTGCGCTTTGTAAAATGGAGACGCAAATCGTATACCTCGTCCCGAATTCTAACTCTAATTTAGAGATAAGACATAAATTCTAATCATATTACTTATTCCATAAACTGAGATTAGCTTGGATCTCAATCAATTACATCCGGTTACAAAAAAAAACAAAACAAAATAAAACATGCTTTATAGTACCGTATGTAGGTTTAGATAAATCCTATATATATATGTTCAATACAACAAATCTATGGAGAAAAAATGTAACCATGATTATACAATCGAAACTTTTAATAGAAAAATTGTTTCTCGACGCTATATATTTTAAATGTATTTTTATATTGACTTGCTCTAAACTTAAAAGAATTGAAGTGTGAAACTGCTAGACATCACCGGGAAAGACTTTCGAGTTGCAAATGCTTTAAAAAAATCGTTGACTTTGATTTATACCAGCGAGGCAAACAGAGTGGACTTAACCATTTGATTGATACACGTTGGCTTTCCTAAATTTAATACTTGCAAAAAATACACCACGACAATATTATGCATGAATAATTCGAAATTAATTTGCTCAAAGTTATAGTTATTTTTTACTAATCAAGCGTCATCGATCACCCAATATATATATATATATATATATATATTGGGATTATGGGTCAAACTCAATTCATTGGCCTACATAACTTATTTAATATTTGCGTGTTGGATTATACAAATTGTGGCAGACTTAACATTTTTCTGCAGGTAAGTTTAAAATATATAAAAACTATATATATAGTGACATAATCTAAAAAAATATTATAGTAAGATACATAATCTCTCTGTTAGAGAATATAAAATCGCAATCATCGTTGATGGACTGTGCGAAAGATTGGTTTCTATAGTTCTGTAACATATGTGGCTCTGAAGCCCAAATCCGCTAACCATGACGGTCCATACAGAATCTAAATTTAAATAAGTACGGGTTGTATAACCCTCGATAATAATTCGAATATTTTTCATAAATCCGTTCCTCGAAAATTAAACATAGAAATTAAAGCGTTGCGTTTGATACTCAACAAGTGACTAATTTTAATTTCAATAGCAATGGAAGATTAAATCTCTTCCCTTATCCCTTAATTTCCCGTGCCGGAAACCGTCCACGAGAGCTCTCTCTCAGCCGCTTCCATCCCCAACCTCCGCCGCAGCTGCTGTTGCCGCCGCATGATTCGCCTCAGCGCGCCACCGATTCCCAACCAGTCGTCATCTCCGTCTTCGTCTTCGTCTTCCTCATCGTCGCCGTCTTCCATCTCCACCAGATCCGACCACCGGATCCTCGTCCCTGCCTCCCGACCGCCTCCGTTTCCTTTCTCCGCGGTGGGAAACTCGAATCGGCAAAGCGGACACGAATTGTGATCCGATAACCACGGGATGATGCAATCCGAGTGATATAGATGGGTGCAAGGTAACTTTCTAGCGGATTCTCCGATCTCGAACTCCTCCTTGCAAACGGCGCAGAGTATGCCGGAATCGGGATCGTCTACGGAGGAGAGCATGGCGGACGAGATCTGGACGGTGGGGATCGAATCGATATCTGGACACTTAGACGACGACGAAGAAGAAGAAGAAGACGATCCGGAACTCTCGGAGGCGAGACGGCGAAGGATGCGCTGACGGTAGGGGCTATCGACGAGGAAATTATCGTCGGAAACCGCAGGATCGACCAAACACCAATCATCGTCCTCATCTCCATCTTCTTCGTGTTCATCTAAATCGCCGAAGCTAACATCAAACAGACTACAACCATCCATACCGTGGAGAAATTCGAGCCGACACTGGGGACAGAGTAGAGGCGAAGGAACCGAAGAGGATAGAAGCTCGACGCTCATGTCGCATTCGTCGCACCAGTAAGTCTGCCGCTCCGGTAGGACGCCGGCAGCGGCGGAGGCGGAGGAGGACATTGGAGAAGTGGTGGTGATGGTTCTGGAAAGGGGAGCGAGGAGAGAGTAGAAAAAGGGGAGGAACCAAAGTTAGTGGTCGTGGTTATGATGGGTCCATGATTGGGTGAAGGCCTGTTATGCTATTTTGGAATTTTTGTTGCTTTCTCTGGGCCCACCAAATACTTGGCTTTGCTCAGAAGGTTCGGTAGTGCATCTCTCTCATAACACTAATTAGTAATTATCCCATTATACCTAAATTAATCATATGAAGCATACACTCTGTATAAATCATTTCCTTCTGATATTAATTTATTTTTAGAATAAAAAAATAATCGATAAACGTACAATCATGTCATAGCATATATATTTTCTTTATTGAAAGATACACATCATCACACACAGTCCAGACATTATGATTCTTACAAAATCACCACACGCGATAAGGTTTATACACATATATAGCTTATACAGCCTTTGTTAATACCATGGTCATATATGCGTATTTTTCATGGGCAGTTAGGGTTCAGACCAGAACCGCCATAGTAGAAGTAACTGTCCCATGATGTACCAGCAGTTCCCAACTGGACGTCGTAACAATTTGGCTGCTCGGCAATGGCTGCAAGTCCTGGAGTCGGCTGAAGAGTGTTGGATCCATCGACTATCTGAATGTTCCTGAAATAAGCCGCCTTTCCAAACCCTTCTTCCGCAAAACGCCCGCTTCCCATATCCGTGCTCGTGTGTTTCCCGTTCGTCCGTCGGTTCACAATCTCGCCTCCCCAATCCACTCGTGTCGCGCTGTCCGCGAGACCAGTGAACAGCGTCCCTGGCCAGTACCCGACGTTTATCCCTTGGACTTGGAGCCACCAGTTTCCGCTCGCCTTGTCCTGTATGATCAAGGATCGATGACTTTGGGTTAATTTGTTATTTATGGTCGCGTATACATGTATCGAATCTTGATGCTACGATTATTACCTTCCATATAAGTATAGTGTATTCGTACTGGGTACCTCCGTATATTGATGTTGGAGAGATGGATCCGCCCAGGGCGACACCGTTGTTGGTCTGAACAAAGCCCGGACACACATGATTGTAGCAGCCTGTTTTTTGGTATCCGTCACGCTGTTTTGAGTTCCAAAAAGATAGGGTAATTAATTATATTCATATCCAAGTCCACGAATCGATCAAGAAATAACCCAGAAAAATATGACTAGCTTCGATCAAACTTACGGTCCAGTAAACGAACAATCTCGTGTTAAAGTCTCTGTACAAGTCTGGATAGACCTATACATACATATATATATGAACAAGGGTAAAGGAAGAAAGAAGGTAAGTGCTTGAGAGACAACAAAATCGTGAGGAAAAAAAAAACATATACAGAGATAGTAAAGTTATGACAAGATCCGAAATGGAACAAACGAAGACCTGCCAACCAGCTTCAATGGTGTTAAGATCAGAACCATCACCGGCCCTAACCCATGTCTGAGCCAAACTGAACTCGGAAGACAACTGGACAAAGGGATTCCAGATGTTCACCATGGATTTCGAGCCGTAAAACTTGTCGTTCGCCACGAACGCTATAGAATGCTAAAGGATATGATTTGAGGATAACGTTAGAAAATGAGTACAAGAAGCTAATGAACTGCATATGGGTATATATATATATACCTCGTGACCTGTAAACGGATCATTTGATCCGGTTTGTGGGATGCTTTTCTGACTCTTTTTTCCGAAACTCTCGAAGGAAGTGGGTCCGAGGAGATCTTCTTTCTTTGTTCTTTTGATCGGAACCGTGTTTTTAGGGCACTTCCCCTTCACGTGCCAAAGCTGAATCAAAGGCTTTGTATTTTTCTTGGCGTTTCCTGCATGATCACCTTCCGGGTGGCAACTCGGCCTCATCTGCCCATGACAATTACCATCGATATATATATATATATATGTATATATATATATGTATATGACACGAGGGAGAAAATGAAAATCTGTGAAGAACCTGGATGGTGTGATTCTGTAGCAAAGGATGATCAAAAGCAATCTGTTTCTTGATAGGGACACAATCTATTATATCTCCATCCGGACTCTATTCAAAATATATACATTAAAGAAAAAAAATGTTTAATTAGTCTCAAACAATATATGTGAATGTTCATATAAAAAAAACAATATACGTGAATGAATTATTGGTTCAAGTTTTGTTGTGCTAGCGAATCACACAGTTATCCCAAAGTCTATACGTCCATAATTTAATGTTATAGTTGACATGCCTAGCAAGAAAAACAATAATATATGTATACATGTATATATATGATTGCATGTGTATATATCTTGATAGAACTTGTCGAACGTTACCTCGATAGATTTAACGGCCGGTTTGTTAAGTTGCTTCAAGAGTCTACGTACTTTACCCTCATGGATGTCGGAAAAGTTGTTTTCTCCGGCGGAAACTGTGATTACGGCGGGGGGCATTGCCACGACAAGCAAGCTGGCCGCGGTCAGATTAAAAAGGGGGAGACGAGAAGCCATAGCTAAACCCAATATATATCTTCCGACCAAACTAATTCCTTCAAGATCTTCCCTCACTAAATCTCATGCAAAACCATTGGAAATGTTGTGTCGTGTTTATATAAGCAAAGAGTGCTGAATTTTCTACAAGGACGTTTATGACATTCTCCGTTGAAACAATCAAAATGTCGACTTTTTTTTTTTTTTGTAGGTTACTATAATGTTTTTTTTCTTCTTCTTGCGGTGGAGTGTCGGAGTTTTTTTTTCCCCCATAGACTTGGTTACTATATTATGTTAGGCATTTGGAGTTTTGGTTTTACATTTCCTTTAGGTTCGATTTTTTAAAAAAGTTTTATTTGAGAAAAAATATATTTATATATTCATTTTTTTGTTTTTCCATTTTTTTTTTCCATCGGGGAAGAGAATGTTATTATGTTAGGCATTTGGAGTTTTGGTTTTACATTTCCTTTAGGTTCGATTTTTTAAAAAAGTTTTATTTGAGAAAAAATATATTTATATATTCATTTTTTTTTCAAATTTTTATTCGGTTTGTTTTTTTATAAAGAAACATTTATTTAAAAATATTTCTTTCAGTTTTTTGTATCAGATCCAAATCTTGTTAATCTGATTAAAAGAATCAGATCAATTCGATTTAATTATAATAATATACTATTCAGTTTAATTTTATAGGATGAAAAAAAAAATGGTGAAACTAAGTTGGAGTATATTAAAATAACTAAAGGAGCTATGATTTATAGGATGGAAAAAAATTGGTGGACACTATTACTATAAAAGTTCGAGTATATTAAAACAACTAAATGAACTATAACATTAGAGCATGGAAAAAGATGGCGAACTTAGGTCGAGTACAAAATTCTAGGATGGAAAATAAAATGGTGAAACTAAGTTCGATTATATTAAAATAATTAAAGGAGTTATAATTTTATAGGGTGGAAAAAATAGTAACAGTATATTAAAATAACTAAATGGGCTATAATTTTATAGAATGGAAAATAATGGTGACAATTAATACGAGTATATTATAAAAACCAAAGGTAAGACAACAAAATCCAACGAGAAACGGTGGTCCAATAATAATAATAATAATAATCGTTTTCTATATTACTATGATTTCGTTTGCATCATATTATATTACCAATTATATCTAATAAGGTTCGGTTCCTCCTCTCGGACACGCCATTCCACTGTGGCGTTCCAGGTGGAGTCAACTGTGAGACAATCCCACAATCTGCCAGTATTATATTACCAATTTATCTTGTTATAAATTTTCAAATGAGACTCGGTTATAGACTCAGTACATGGAATCATTGTTCCTTACTTTTCCTTAACCAAAGAAATTGGCCAATAAAAAAGGGTGGGATTCAAAACACAAAACGTGTGAGTTTATATTAATGACTCTCCACCATACGCTTTATACTTATTATTATTGTTCAATCTCGTTCGATTCATTTCGTGAAACTTGCCATTCGGCGTTCACTATCAAAGTTAATATATAGTTGATAGCTATCAAGTTCAATTAATTATTGGTTAAATATTCTATCTAATAAATTGATACGGATATGTTTGATAAGAAATGCTTATAAAGTCAATTATGAAATTCTCTGTCTTTCTCTATTATTATCTCCGGATTAATGCATTTGACGTTATTTATATATATATATATATACCGTTAAAATATAATGCAAGTCATATAATATATTTGATATATGAAATCTAGATAATTCATTATTATTCGTATCTTAATTGGAAACTTGATATGTGGTTAAGGGAATTATGTTGTAAGCTTGCCTCTTATGCCTTCAATTTATTTCAAGAATGTCTGTGCCTTCAATCCATGGAAGTACTCACAATCTGTAGAGAGACGGAGAAAACCGGGACACAAAATCTGAAGGTTCATTATCTTATACGACCTAAACACTGAATCGATATACATTTAAACCTACGGTATCTATATATATATATGTATATATGTATGAGACATTGCATATACACACACGTTCACGGGCAATCGGGGTTACGGCCAGGGCCGCCATAGTAGAAGAAACTTCCCCAAGAGCCGCCACTTCCACTTTTGACATTGTAGCAGCTTTCTTGTTCTGTGAAGACCTGAAGCCCATCTGGATCTCTCAGAGTGTTGGATCCATCCACTATCTGGACATTCTTGAAATAGCTCGCCTTCGCCCATCCTTCCTCGGCAAAGTGTCCGCTCCCCATCTGAGTCCTCGTGTGTCGCCCTTCATCCTCCGAATTCACCACTTCCCCTCCCCATTCTATCATCGATGCACTCTCCGACAGGTAAGAGAACAGCGAGCCCGGCCAGTACCCGATTACGTATTTCTCCCCGAACTGCAGCCACCAGTTTCCTTCTTTTTGGTCCTAAAGATCAAGATTTTCGAGGGTTAAGGCGTTGAGTTTCAGAGATTGGAGATTGAAGGGCGAACAGATTAGATTCATTACCTTCCAGATAAGAATGGTGATATCGTATTGGGAACCGCCGTAGTTTGATAAGGGGGCGATGGATCCACCCATAGCGATTTCGTTGTTGATTTGGACAAAGCCCGAGCAGAGAAGATTGTAGCATCCTGTTCCTTGGTATGCATCACTCTGTTTTCCAAAACGAATTCAAGAACGGTTTTAATAAGTTTGCCCGCCTATCTTGATAAAGAATAACCAGAACAAAACCGAATCGAATTCGCCGAATCTTACAGTCCAGTAAGTGAAGAGTCTTGTGTTATTATCGCCATACAGTTGAGGGCTCACCTGTTACCAACACAAGACAAGAGTTTATGGATCAGAAACATAGAAAAGACAGACGTATAAGAATCAAGAACAGGAAACAAGGGTGGAGAACAAGAAGACCTGCCAACCGGCTTCGATGCTGTTGAGATCGGAATTAAAATTACCACCCAATACCCAAATCTGTCCCAAGCTGAACTCGTTTGGCATTTCGACATCGGGTTTCCAGACATTCATCTTGGCTTTGGCGCCGTAAAACTTGCCATCTTCCACGTACATTATGGCATGCTATATCAGCTCCAAAACGACATAAAACAGAACATGTCAGTGTCTGTGACATACGAGAATTGGAAAAGACAGCGAAACAAGCCGATTCAAAGGCATATGGATGTATACCTGATGGCCATTCTGGGTGAGGACGCTTGCAGGATCATAGGACTTGGGTTTAGGGATGCTTTTCTGATTCTTTTTCCCGTAATTCTCGATGGAATTCGCTCGGATGAAATCTTCTCTCCGTGTTCTTCGAATCGGAACTGTGTTTTCCGGGCATTTTCCGTTGACGTGCCAAAGCTGAGATAGAATAACCTTTGACTGTTTCGTGGTGTTCGACGAAACCTTGCTCCCTGAGTAAACGTCTTCTGGGTGGAAACTCGGCTTCATCTACTCGCAGCAATCCCCAAACACGATGGCATTGCAACAATGTCAGAACACATACAGAGGGCGAGAGAGAGAGAGAGAGAGAGAGAGACCCTGAGTGAACCTGAATGGTGTGGCTCTTGAGAAGAGGATGTTCAAAAGCCGGCTGCTGAGATATAGGTACGCAATCTATGACATCTCCATCTGGGCTCTGTTCAAATACCGAAATTCATCCAAAATTAAGCAGAAAAATTTCCGAGAACACCCAGAAGATGATCATTTCGACGGAATTGGGGAGAAAAAATGTCGGCGAGCGCCGCCATTTCCCTCGAGGATCCACGACCCAGCGGAGAAACGAAAATCAAACGACGTCAATTCGCATTCCGTACATCGTACCTTAATGGATTTGAGGGCGGGCCTGTTGAGTTTCTTCAAGTGGCCGCGGACCTTAACCTCGTGGAGATCGGAAAAGTCGCCTCCGGCGGCAGAAGCTGTGATTATGGCCGGCGTCAAAGCTCAGCGTCGTGGGATTAATCACGGCGACGCGAGAAGGCATGATAGAATCCAGAAAGAAAAAAGCTCGGGGATTTGGCAGCGGAAAGTTTGAAAACGGGGAGAGGTGCTTCTTCCGTATAATTCTGGGCACTAACTTTCTCGCGCGTCCTTTTAGAAAGAAAGAGAGAAATGGGAGAAGACAAATGAGTGTTTTGGAGCTTTTCGTATAAATTTGTTTTACTTTATTACTTAAAATATGGCCGAGAATCTTCATGGAAAACGTCCAACGTAGATTTTGCTCATCTACCCTTTTCCAGTTTCAATACATATATACATATATACTGCATAAATTACTTAAGGTTATAAATTCGATGATGGTGATGATGGTGATGATGATGATGATGATGATGGAAGGTCGTGATTGGGTGAGTGAAACAGTGAGCAGGGAGATGTTGTCGGTACCCTTTCGTGATGGGACGACGCTGCCACTCTTATGGTACGTATTTCTTTCTGTTATTTTCCCTATAACCTCTTTAATCAAATCCGTCTTTCAAATCTTACAAATCACGGATCAAAACCAATGCCATTCCACTTTATATATATATATATATGTATTCTAAATAAAATTTGAAACAAATATAAAATTGGAACGAATTCACAGATTACTTCACACGTGAACCCTCGAATGTTTCTATCATTACCCAAATAGATTTTTTATTTGTGTTAATCAAATTCGTGGGGCCATGCAACATGTGGACTTTGATTTAAATCATATAATATAAAATAACATGGGGTTTTCCAATTAGGTTATGTCCGCTAACAACCAAATTGGTAGGCCAAATTGCATTTATTCTCCCTCGTCCTAATGTTCCACGGACAAAAACTTCAGCTACTGATATACTCCAACCAATGAATTCCATTGTGAAAAAAAAATGAGTAAAGTCTCCAGATTCCGTTCCAACTCACTCTTTTTCCTATATATATATATATATACATATTATGACTGGTTTTCATCCACTAATGCCCATTTCCGTTATATATACAAATATTCATCAAAACATAGTTACAAGTTGATAAACACTATACCAAAAAAAAAAAAAATCAAATCTAATGGACAGATGCATCTTGTCCATATACGGACCAAATCGCATGGTATATGTACGTATGCATTTTTTGTCGGTGCAAAAATACGTGCTATGGAAAGGAGTAGTGGAATTATCTTTGGGGGCTACGATACCATCCACTCGTGTGGAGGAAATAAAAATCAGATAAAATAAAACTCAATTCTTACGAGACGACGGCCACCGGTACTATTTGAGAGGAAATTTGATTGGAAAGTTTTGGGAGCATACGATACGTACGCCGCCAAACATTATCGCTTCGAACGACAAAAATAAACAAAAACGTGACGAAGGGAGTCCCGTGGCCGAAGGGGAATCTGGCGAATTATACTTTGAAAAGAGACTCTTGTCACGGGGGCTTCGACTTGTGAGTGATGCCGACCTCTCCTTTTGAGTTTTGGCCCGTCGCCTCTCTATTTTGGCTGATTCCCTCTCTCCCTTTGGGTGGAATGTTTTGATTCAATTACGCCAAATTCCACATTGTGAGGTTGGACCCTAAAAGGGGACGAGGGCCCAAATGAAAACGCGTCGATACGTTTACAGGCCCATGCCCTAAAAGGGACGCGCATCAGAGCTCCATGAAAATGGTGAAATATATCATAGCAAAGGCAAAGCAGAGTGCCTGAATTTTCAACAGGGATGAAGAATACAAAGCCCGCGAGGTAACGATCTACGGAGGTAACAATTTAGATTATAGAAACAGACTTTACCCACAATTGGGATGCTCGCGTTTCGATGATTAACCGTTCTCACTCATGTCCTGTAAATTCAATCAAGCACGGGGTAAGCAAAAAGTTACAATTTTTTTATGACCCATTTGCCATTTCATGAGATTAGTCTCTGGACATGTGAAGCCACTAACCTGGTGGTGTTGTTTGTATAAATGGACTGCATACCCACGCGGTGTGTATTTGCATCAACGGCGGAAGGCATTGCCTTCAGCCTCGGACCCACGCTGCGAATAGTAAGCTCTGCGACGAACACTTTCTTCGATAGTCGAGCTTCCGCCTTTCTCAGTTCCATTTAGGTCGTATAAGATAATGAACCTTCAGATTTTGTGTCCCGGTTTTCTCCGTCTCTCTACAGATTGTGAGTACTTCCATGGATTGAAGGCACAGACATTCTTGAAATAAATTGAAGGCATAAGAGGTAAGCTTACAACATAATTCCCTTAACCACATATCAAGTTTCCAATTAAGATACGCAGCGTCGTCCCATCACGAAAGGGTACCGACAACATCTCCCTGCTCACTGTTTCACTCACCCAATCACGACCTTCCATCATCATCATCATCATCACCATCATCACCATCATCGAATTTATAACCTTAAGTAATTTATGCAGTATATATGTATATATGTATTGAAACTGGAAAAGGGTAGATGAGCAAAATCTTATTACCAATTTATCTTGTTATAAATTTTCAAATGAGACTCGGTTATAGACTCAGTACATGGAATCATTGTTCCTACTTTTCCTTAACCAAAGAAATTGGCCAATAAAAAAGGGTGGGATTCAAAACACAAAACGTGTGAGTTTATATTAATGACTCTCCACCATACGCTTTATACTTATTATTATTGTTCAATCTCGTTCGATTCATTTCGTGAAACTTGCCATTCGGCGTTCACTATCAAAGTTAATATATAGTTGATAGCTATCAAGTTCAATTAATTATTGGTTAAATATTCTATCTAATAAATTGATACGGATATGTTTGATAAGAAATGCTTATAAAGTCAATTATGAAATTCTCTGTCTTTCTCTATTATTATCTCCGGATTAATGCATTTGACGTTATATATATATATATATATATATACCGTTAAAATATAATGCAAGTCATATAATATATTTGATATATGAAATCTAGATAATTCATTATTATTCGTATCTTAATTGGAAACTTGATATGTGGTTAAGGGAATTATGTTGTAAGCTTGCCTCTTATGCCTTCAATTTATTTCAAGAATGTCTGTGCCTTCAATCCATGGAAGTACTCACAATCTGTAGAGAGACGGAGAAAACCGGGACACAAAATCTGAAGGTTCATTATCTTATACGACCTAAACACTGAATCGATATACATTTAAACCTACGGTATCTATATATATATATGTATATATGTATGAGACATTGCATATACACACACGTTCACGGGCAATCGGGGTTACGGCCAGGGCCGCCATAGTAGAAGAAACTTCCCCAAGAGCCGCCACTTCCACTTTTGACATTGTAGCAGCTTTCTTGTTCTGTGAAGACCTGAAGCCCATCTGGATCTCTCAGAGTGTTGGATCCATCCACTATCTGGACATTCTTGAAATAGCTCGCCTTCGCCCATCCTTCCTCGGCAAAGTGTCCGCTCCCCATCTGAGTCCTCGTGTGTCGCCCTTCATCCTCCGAATTCACCACTTCCCCTCCCCATTCTATCATCGATGCACTCTCCGACAGGTAAGAGAACAGCGAGCCCGGCCAGTACCCGATTACGTATTTCTCCCCGAACTGCAGCCACCAGTTTCCTTCTTTTTGGTCCTAAAGATCAAGATTTTCGAGGGTTAAGGCGTTGAGTTTCAGAGATTGGAGATTGAAGGGCGAACAGATTAGATTCATTACCTTCCAGATAAGAATGGTGATATCGTATTGGGAACCGCCGTAGTTTGATAAGGGGGCGATGGATCCACCCATAGCGATTTCGTTGTTGATTTGGACAAAGCCCGAGCAGAGAAGATTGTAGCATCCTGTTCCTTGGTATGCATCACTCTGTTTTCCAAAACGAATTCAAGAACGGTTTTTATAGGTTTGCCCGCCTATCTTGATAAAGAATAACCAGAACAAAACCGAATCGAATTCGCCGAATCTTACAGTCCAGTAAGTGAAGAGTCTTGTGTTATTATCGCCATACAGTTGAGGGCTCACCTGTTACCAACACAAGACAAGAGTTTATGGATCAGAAACATAGAAAAGACAGACGTATAAGAATCAAGAACAGGAAACAAGGGTGGAGAACAAGAAGACCTGCCAACCGGCTTCGATGCTGTTGAGATCGGAATTAAAATTACCACCCAATACCCAAATCTGTCCCAAGCTGAACTCGTTTGGCATTTCGACATCGGGTTTCCAGACATTCATCTTGGCTTTGGCGCCGTAAAACTTGCCATCTTCCACGTACATTATGGCATGCTATATCAGCTCCAAAACGACATAAAACAGAACATGTCAGTGTCTGTGACATACGAGAATTGGAAAAGACAGCGAAACAAGCCGATTCAAAGGCATATGGATGTATACCTGATGGCCATTCTGGGTGAGGACGCTTGCAGGATCATAGGACTTGGGTTTAGGGATGCTTTTCTGATTCTTTTTCCCGTAATTCTCGATGGAATTCGCTCGGATGAAATCTTCTCTCCGTGTTCTTCGAATCGGAACTGTGTTTTCCGGGCATTTTCCGTTGACGTGCCAAAGCTGAGATAGAATAACCTTTGACTGTTTCGTGGTGTTCGACGAAACCTTGCTCCCTGAGTAAACGTCTTCTGGGTGGAAACTCGGCTTCATCTACTCGCAGCAATCCCCAAACACGATGGCATTGCAACAATGTCAGAACACATACAGAGGGCGAGAGAGAGAGAGAGACTCTGAGTGAACCTGAATGGTGTGGCTCTTGAGGAGAGGATGTTCAAAAGCCGGCTGCTGAGATATAGGGACGCAATCTATGACATCTCCATCTGGGCTCTGTTCAAATACCGAAATTCATCCAAAATTAAGCAGAAAAATTTCCGAGAACACCCAGAAGATGATCATTTCGACGGAATTGGGGAGAAAAAATGTCGGCGAGCGCCGCCATTTCCCTCGAGGATCCACGACCCAGCGGAGAAACGAAAATCAAACGACGTCAATTCGCATTCCGTACATCGTACCTTAATGGATTTGAGGGCGGGCCTGTTGAGTTTCTTCAAGTGGCCGCGGACCTTAACCTCGTGGAGATCGGAAAAGTCGCCTCCGGCGGCAGAAGCTGTGATTATGGCCGCCGTCATTACCAGAACCGCTGCAAAGCTCAGCGTCGTGGGATTAATCACGGCGACGCGAGAAGGCATGATAGAATCCAGAAAGAAAAAAGCTCGGGGATTTGGCAGCGGAAAGTTTGAAAACGGGGAGAGGTGCTTCTTCCGTATAATTCTGGGCACTAACTTTCTCGCGCGTCCTTTTAGAAAGAAAGAGAGAAATGGGAGAAGACAAATGAGTGTTTTGGAGCTTTTCGTATAAATTTGTTTTACTTTATTACTTAAAATATGGCCGAGAATCTTCATGGAAAACGTCCAACGTAGATTTTGCTCATCTACCCTTTTCCAGTTTCAATACATATATACATATATACTGCATAAATTACTTAAGGTTATAAATTCGATGATGGTGATGATGGTGATGATGATGATGATGATGGAAGGTCGTGATTGGGTGAGTGAAACAGTGAGCAGGGAGATGTTGTCGGTACCCTTTCGTGATGGGACGACGCTGCCACTCTTATGGTACGTATTTCTTTCTGTTATTTTCCCTATAACCTCTTTAATCAAATCCGTCTTTCAAATCTTACAAATCACGGATCAAAACCAATGCCATTCCACTTTATATATATATATATATGTATTCTAAATAAAATTTGAAACAAATATAAAATTGGAACGAATTCACAGATTACTTCACACGTGAACCCTCGAATGTTTCTATCATTACCCAAATAGATTTTTTATTTGTGTTAATCAAATTCGTGGGGCCATGCAACATGTGGACTTTGATTTAAATCATATAATATAAAATAACATGGGGTTTTCCAATTAGGTTATGTCCGCTAACAACCAAATTGGTAGGCCAAATTGCATTTATTCTCCCTCGTCCTAATGTTCCACGGACAAAAACTTCAGCTACTGATATACTCCAACCAATGAATTCCATTGTGAAAAAAAAATGAGTAAAGTCTCCAGATTCCGTTCCAACTCACTCTTTTTCCTATATATATATATATATACATATTATGACTGGTTTTCATCCACTAATGCCCATTTCCGTTATATATACAAATATTCATCAAAACATAGTTACAAGTTGATAAACACTATACCAAAAAAAAAAAAAATCAAATCTAATGGACAGATGCATCTTGTCCATATACGGACCAAATCGCATGGTATATGTACGTATGCATTTTTTGTCGGTGCAAAAATACGTGTTTAAGTCACGTTACGTCGTTTTCGGATTCCGTCAAATGTAACACAATTACCGTCTATGAGTTACTTTATACGTCATTATCAGTTTCTGTTAAATATAATGCATGAATGGTTGATCGATTATTTTCTCCTTAATTTTAGCCGAGGCTTCAACAAAGAAGAAGAAGAAGAAGAAAAGTAAAAGCAAGTGAGAAGAAGCTTTTTGGGTTTTTAATGTTATATTAAGGTTTTGTTGGTGTCCAGTTCAATGGTTTTTACTTGAAGAGAATCATTCAGTGATGATAGTTATTTAAGTTTACTTGCAGAAAAAAGAAGGGACCCCTGCAGCAGACGGATCCACCTTCGATTCCTGTTGTTGAACTTTTCCCTTCTGGAGAATTCCCTGAAGGTGAAATCCAACAGTATAAGGATGAGTGAGTTCACGCCTTTTTCTTCCCATCTTCCCATTTCAGTATGTAGTTTTCCATCTCAAGTTGACATTTTATGACATATGTATCTTTTATGATAGGGTTGCATTGAGAGTACCTCCTGTAGAGGAAATCTGCATTTCATGAATGTCTAATATGAGAAAATGATGTGTCTCGGAATAGGCAGAGACTATAGCTTTTGCCTTGTCTTTTGCTGGATTCTATAGTTTCGGTTGTCAATCACTTCGATGCTACGGCTTGTCATCGGTTATCCTGCTAGCTGAATATTTTTGTAGTGTCACTCTTGTTCAAATTTTGGTGCTTGACGTTTGCAATGTAGTAATCTGTGGAGAGTAACATCTGAAGAGAAAAGAGAAATGGATCGTCTTCAAAAGCCTATATATAACTCTGTTCGCCAGGCAGCAGAAGTCCATCGTCAGGTCAGGTTGCCATTTTGGCACATGTTTTTTATATAAGAAGTCTACAAATTTGTAATTAGCACATTATATTTATTTTAGTTGTTTTGGCATCATTTGTGTTTACATCTGTCTGAGAGATTTTTATCTACTGAATTTATTAGGTACGGAAATATATCAGAAGCATTTTGAAGCCGGGAATGTTGATGACTGATCTTTGTGAAACCCTTGAGAACACAGTTCGTAAATTGATATCGGAGAATGGTTTGCAAGCTGGTATTGCATTCCCTACTGGATGTTCCCTGAATTGGTTTGTTTTTGCTCTACGCGTGCCTTCTTCTTTCTCTTTGAGATCAGCTGTTTTTTTTCCTTGCTTTGTCCTTCGCTCAAATGGCTTTATCCTTCAGGGTTGCTGCTCATTGGACACCAAACTCCGGAGATAAGACCGTTCTTCAATACGATGATGTTATGAAATTGGATTTTGGAACACATATTGATGGTTGGTTTTTTTTGTGATTGTCAATTATGGTATCTGAAACATTTTAATCTTTTAAAACACTGAAAAGAAAATTGGTTTGCAGGACACATTGTTGACTGTGCATTTACAGTTGCATTCAATCCTATGTTTGATCCCCTTTTAGCAGCCTCACGTGAAGCAACATATACCGGTATCAAGGTGCTGATTCTGTTACCAATAACTAGTAGTTTCTGGATGTATGTTCCAAGTAGGATTTTATTATCTCTGCTATGGAAGTATGTTTGTAGAAGATTATGGGCCTAAGCACATACTGATATCAATCTTAACTGGTTTAGTTTGGTTTTTTCTCTCTTTTGATTCAGGAAGCAGGGATCGATGTCCGTCTTTGTGATGTTGGTGCTGCAATTCAGGAGGTCATGGAGTCATATGAGGTTGAAATCAATGGAAAGGTCTACCAAGGTACTGATTTCTGATTTTTCTTTATAGTTTTCCCCTAATTTGGGTTCAGAATCCTTTTTGTTGTAGTAGTTTTTTTTTTGTCGTGCTTGTATTCTCTTTGCCAGACTCGCTTTATTTCTGATGTGATGTCAGAGATTATAACTTGTGATCTCTTTTTCGGCAGTTAAAAGTATCCGAAACTTGAACGGGCACAGCATTGGACGCTATCAGATACATGCTGGAAAATCTGTTCCTATTGTTAAAGGAGGCGAGCAGACAAAGATGGAAGAGGGTGAATTTTATGCCATTGAAACTTTTGGTTCAACGGGTAAGAGCCTTTTATCCCATTTTGCAAAGTCGTAAGTTTTCTCATAATCGGGTCCCAAACCCGGTAATGACAATGACAGCATCATTGTATCTTCTTTGGATTTACCGGTGGAAAAAGATAAGTAACCAGCCATTTATAAACAGGGAAAGGATATGTGAGAGAAGACCTGGAATGCAGCCATTACATGAAGAATTTCGATGTTGGGCACATCGGTTTGAGACTGCCGAGAGCAAAGCAGCTCCTCGCCACCATCAACAAGAATTTCTCCACTCTTGCCTTCTGCAGACGTTACCTCGACCGCCTGGGTGAAACCAAATACTTGATGGCTTTGAAGAATCTCTGCGACTCTGGCATAGTTGAGGTAAACCAAGCACTGATATCAGCACTCGGTCCATGAACATTTTGCTAAGATCCGTCATCCATGTCAGAACTAATCAACAATGGAATCGCTCTTAAGGATTGAGTGATGGGTTTTTCTCTTTTCCTTCTGTTTCAGCCTTACCCTCCTCTGTGTGACGTGAAGGGAAGCTATGTCTCGCAGTTTGAGCACACGATTTTGCTTCGGCCGACATGCAAAGAGGTTGTTTCCAAGGGCGACGACTACTAAGCGTTTACTTTTGTACACTAGTTTTCTGTTGTGTTCCGACAACAAAGTTGAAGCCTTTTATAAGCTTCGACGATATAAAGGCCGCTCCTTTGTGCTGTTATTTTGTTACTGAACATGATCAAATCATACACACATGGATTCTGATGGTTCAATACAGATGATTCGTACCCCAAGTCGAAATCTTTCTGATTTGACCGTCCACGAAATGATAGTTCATAGGTCAAACAAGGGAAAAAAGTCAACAACACGAACATAGAGAGGGGACTCTGTGTGTGTATGATAAGAGAAGAAGCATAACTCGTAACTCGGAGAGGGCAACAACCACATAGTGGGTTCATCAACAATGGCGGCGGCAGCGGCGGCATTATCGGCGGGTCTCAGAGCCAAAGCTGGAATCTTCCCCGTGCAAATGCTAGTGACATCGCTTCCTCTCCGCCGTGAATTCGCTCGTTCCTTCTCCTCTTCGTTGAAGCCGACGGCGTCATCATACTCGAGAGCCGTCGTCCGCAATAACCACCGGCGATGGCCTCGGATCGCTCCGCTGTGCACGGTGGCTCCGGATGCCGGAGCGGCGGTTGCGGCGGAGGAATTGGAGAGTAAGGGCGAAGCGAAGGAGGAGGAGGAGGAGAAGGATGTGAAGGAGATAGCGAACCTGTTGGAGATAAGGGTGGGGAAGGTGGTGAAGGCATGGCGGCACGAGGAGGCGGATTCGCTCTACGTGGAAGAGGTTGACGTCGGAGAGGCTGAGCCCAGAATCATCTGCAGCGGTCTCGTCAAGTATATTCCTCTCGATCTCCTTCAGGTCAGCTTCTCACCATCATCTTTTCCTCTCTGAAGTTGGATTCTGAATTCGTAATCCGCATTTAGGATTGGGATTGTGTTGAAAGTTACATGGATTGAGATTCGAATTTCGAAATTGCTACTAAGATTCATTCCATAGATGAAATTGAAAATCTCTTATGGGTTTTCAATGTCAGTTCTTGCTTACTCAATGTCTCTGGTTGGGACTTCATATCTAGAGAGAATCATGGAATCAAATCTCATAGATATGAGAAGGGAGCTCAATGGAGTATGGATGTGTTGTTGAGTAGAATCTATGTATGGTAAGATTAGATGGGAGAGTGATGAGTGTATGTATGTATATATGTATATGTATGTGTGTATATGCAGGATGCAGCAGTAGTGGTGCTGGCTAATTTGAAGCCAAGGAACATGAGGGGAGTGAAGTCATTTGGGATGCTTTTGGCTGCCTCGGATGCAGCCCACGAGAACGTCGAGCTTCTCGTCCCACCTGAGGGTTCTTCTCCGGGAGATCGGATATGGTTTGGCATCGAAGACGACCTCCAACAGCTTCCCGAACCCGCAAAGCCAAACCAGGTTTCTGTCGGTTTCTTCTCCTGAAAACTTGGCATATCATATGCATGAATGGTTGATCGATTATTTTCTCCTTATTTTTAGCCGAGGCTTCAACAAAGAAGAAGAAGAAGAAGAAAAGTAAAAGCAAGTGAGAAGAAGCTTTTTGGGTTTTTAATGTTATAGAAAGGTTTTGTTGGTGTTCACTTCAATGGTTTTACTTGAACAGAATCATTCAGTGATGATAGTTATTTAACTTTACTTGCAGAAAAAAGAAGGGATCCCTGCAGCAGACGGATCCACCTTCGATTCCTGTTGTCGAACTTTTCCCTTCTGGAGAATTCCCTGAAGGTGAAATCCAACAGTATAAGGATGAGTGAGTTCACACCTTTTTCTTTCCATCTTCCCAGTTTAGTATGTAGTTTTCCGTCTCAAGTTGACATTTATGATAGGGTTGCATTGAGAGTACCTCCTGTAGAGGAAATCTGCATTTCTTGAATGTCTAATATGAGAAAATGATGTGTCTCGGAATAGGCAGAGACTATAGCTTTTGCCTTGTCTTGTCTGAATTGGACAACAGGTTCAGAAGAAGAAGATATGGGAACTGGTGCAACCACATCTGAAGACTGATGGGTCGGGCAATGCCATGCTGAAGGAGCACTTGATGAGAACATCTGCTGGTGTTGTAACTTCAAAGTCCCTCAAGAATGCCAATATCTCTTGATACCACAGCTCAATCAATAACAATAAAGATTTGATTTTTGAGTCATACATACTACTACCATCTTCTCTGTTGTATTTTGGATTTTAATTTGGTCTACAAATTTGTAATTAGCACATTATATTTATTTTAGTTGTTTTGGCATCATTTGTGTTTACATCTGTCTGAGAAATTTTTATCTACTGAATTTATTAGGTACGGAAATATATCAGAAGCATTTTAAAGCCGGGAATGTTGATGACTGATCTTTGTGAAGCCCTTGAGAACACAGTTCGTAAATTGATATCGGAGAATGGTTTGCAAGCTGGTATTGCATTCCCTACTGGATGTTCCCTGAATTGGTTTGTTTTTGCTCTACGTGTGCCTTCTTCTTTCTCGTTGAGATCAGCCATTTTTTTTCCTTGCTTTATCCTTCGCTCAAATGGCTTTATCCTTCAGGGTTGCTGCTCATTGGACTCCAAACTCCGGAGATAAGACCGTTCTTCAATACGATGATGTTATGAAACTGGATTTTGGAACACATATTGATGGTTGGTTTTTTTGTGTTTGTCAATTATGGTATCTGAAACATTTTAATCTTTTAAAACAACTGAAAAAAAAATTGGTTTGCAGGACACATTGTTGACTGCGCATTTACAGTTGCATTCAATCCTATGTTTGATCCCCTTTTAGCAGCCTCACGTGAAGCAACGTATACCGGTATCAAGGTGCTGATTCTGTTACCAATAACTAGTAGTTTCTGGATATATGTTCCTAGTAGGATTTTATTATCTCTTCTATGGAAGTATGTTGATTATGTCCCTAAGCACATACTGATATTTATCTTAACTGTTTTAGTTTTTTTTTTCTCTTTTTGATTCAGGAAGCAGGGATTGATGTCCGCCTTTGTGATGTTGGTGCTGCAATTCAGGAGGTCATGGAGTCATATGAGGTTGAAATCAATGTTGTTCACCGCCATGTAGGTTATAGACGGGCATGCCTTGCATTTCTCGACCAGTGTGTCTAAATTATCCTTTGAGCAGAAGAATTCCAAGTAAGCCTTCTGGTAGACGTATCCACCAGGACCACCCCATCCTGCAGAGTTTCATTCATTCGGTTAATGGGTTGTAAGCCATAACTAGGACAGAAAACTCAACAAACAAAGCTTAATTGAATTTCCCTTTTTACAATAACAGCATTGGAAACTTCAATTATTGGGTTAAAAATGAGCAAAACACCAAGTACTTGTAGAGAGACATATCTAGAAATACTATTTATGAGAACGAGGTACCGATTTCTTACCAACAGCCGGGGAATCAGATTTCTCTCCATTGACAGAGGGTTGGCTGTTGATCGTCAGGAAGCCCTTGGAGTTGATTTTGCTTAGTTTTCCCCTAATTTGGGTTCAGAATCCTTTTTGTTGTAGTTTTTTTTTGTCGTGCTTGTATTCTCTTTGCCAGATTCGCTTTATTTCTGATGTGATGTCAGAGATTATAACTTGTGATCTCTTTTTCGGCAGTTAAAAGTATCCGAAACTTGAACGGGCACAGCATTGGACGCTATCAGATACATGCTGGAAAATCTGTTCCTATTGTTAAAGGAGGCGAGCAGACAAAGATGGAAGAGGGTGAATTTTATGCCATTGAAACTTTTGGTTCAACGGGTAAGAGCCTTTTATCCCATTTTGCAAAGTCGTAAGTTTTCTCATAATCGGGTCCCAAACCCGGTAATGACAATGACAGCATCATTGTATCTTCTTTGGATTTACCAGTGGAAAAAAGATAAGTAACCAGCCATTAGTACTCCTTGAATTTCTGATGTTTTACAGGTTTTAGAAGTATTTGTGAGCGTTCCCGAGTTAAATTAGGCTTCCATTGCGAGTGAGGAAAACAATGTTTAGTTGAGTTGATGAAGGAAAACATACTTCCTGAACATCTTCGATGCTTTTCAACGGGACAACCCATTCCTGGTGAAGCCTCTTGTCACGAGCTCTTGGGCGCAAGAACTGCCAAATAAAAAAAAAAATTTAAGGTCAGGGCTATCATTAGCCATGATGAACACATAAGGAGAGTAGATTTGATAAAAAGCAGAAAGATTCGATGTCCAGCAAAGAAAGCAGCTTCCATTAATGGTAGGCTGAAACCAACACAGAACTTGGGCTAATGAAATTCCACAGTAGAACATACACAATTTTTACTGAATATGCAAGTACCTGATAATCTGAGAGTGCCCCATATGATGCATTGCTTACCTCGACCGCCTGGGTGAAACCAAATACTTGATGGCTTTGAAGAATCTCTGCGACTCTGGCATAGTTGAGGTAAACCAAGCACTGACATCAGCACTCGGTCCATGAACATTTTGCTAAGATCCATGTCAGAACTAATCAACAATGGAATCGCTCTTAAGGATTGAGTGATGGGTTTTTCTCTTTTCCTTCTGTTTCAGCCTTACCCTCCTCTGTGTGACGTGAAGGGAAGCTATGTCTCGCAGTTTGAGCACACGATTTTGCTTCGGCCGACATGCAAAGAGGTTGTTTCCAAGGGCGACGACTACTAAGCGTTTACTTTGGTTCCAAGGATTGGATTTGTTTGTACATTAGTTTTCTGTCTTGTTCCGACAACAAAGTTGAAGCATTTTATAAGCTTCAACGATATAAAGGCCGCTCCTTTGTGCTGTTATTTTGTTACAGAACATGATCAAATCATACGCACATGGATTCTGATGGTTCAATACAGATGATTCGTACCCCAAGTCGAAATCTTTCTGATTTGACCGTCCACGAAATGATAGTTCGTAGGTCAAACAAGAGAAAAAAGTCAACAACACGAACATAGAGAGGGGACTCTCTGTGTGTGTGTATGATAAGAGAAGAAGCATAACTCGTAACTCGGAGAGGGCAACAACCACATAGTGGGTTCATCAACAATGGCGGGGGCAGCGGCGGCGTTATCGGCGGGTTTCAGAGCCAAAGCTGGAATCTTCCCCGTGCAAATGCTAGTGACATCGCTTCCTCTCCGCCGTGAATTCGCTCGTCCCTTCTCCTCTTCGTTGAAGCCGACGGCGTCATCATACTCGAGAGCCGTCGTCCGCAATAACCACCGACGATGGCCTCGGATCGCTCCGCTGTGCACGGTGGCTCCGGATGCCGGAGCGGCGGTTGCGGTGGAGGAATCGGAGAGTAAGGGCGAAGCGAAGGAGGAGGAGGAGGAGAAGGATGTGAAGGAGATAGCGAACCTGTTGGAGATAAGGGTGGGTAAGGTGGTAAAGGCATGGCGGCACGAGGAGGCGGATTCGCTCTACGTGGAAGAGGTTGACGTCGGCGAGGCTGAGCCCAGAATCATCTGCAGCGGTCTCGTCAAGTATGTTCCTCTCGATCTCCTTCAGGTCAGCTTCTCACCATCATCTTTTCCTCTCTGAAGTTGGACTCTGAATTCGAAATCCGTATTTAGGATTGGGATTGTGTTGAAAGTTACATGGATTGGGATTGTGTTGAAAGTTACATGGATTGAGATTGGAATTTCGAAATTGCTACTAAGATTCATTCCATAGATGAAATTGAAAATCTCTTATGGGTTTTCAATGTCAGTTCTTGCTTACTCAATGCCTCTGGTTGGGACTTCATATCTAGAGAGAATCATGGAATCAAATCTCATGGATATGAGAAGGGAGCTCTATGGAGTATGGATGTGTTGTTGAGTAGAAGCTATGTATAGTAAGATTAGATGGGAGAGTGATGAGTGTATGTATATATGTATATGTATGTGTGTATATGCAGGATGCAGCAGTAGTGGTGCTGGCTAATCTGAAGCCAAGGAACATGAGAGGAGTGAAGTCATTTGGGATGCTTTTGGCTGCCTCAGATGCAGCCCACGAGAACGTCGAGCTTCTCGTTCCACCTGAGGGTTCTTCTCCGGGAGATCGGATATGGTTTGGCATCGAAGATGACCTCCGACAGCTTCCCGAACCCGCAAAGCCAAACCAGGTTTCTGTCGGTTTCTTCTCCTGAAAACTTGGGTCTCTCTGGATAGACTGTCTGAATTGTTACTGTCTGAATTGGACAACAGGTTCAGAAGAAGAAGATATGGGAACTGGTGCAACCACATCTGAAGACTGATGTGTCGGGCATTGCCATGCTGAAGGAGCACTTGATGAGAACATCTGCTGGTGTTGTAACTTCAAAGTCCCTCAAGAATGCCAATATCTCTTGATACCACAGCTCAATCAATAACAATAAAGATTTGATTTTTGAGTCATACATACTACTACCATCTTCTCTGTTGTATTTTGGATTTTAATTTGGAGAGCTTGAAAGAAACGTGTAAAAATCTTTATTATGAACCTTTTAGGGTACAACAGCAGAGGAGATTCTTTCAGTGAGCAGCAACAACAATGATGAGCCAATGCTTATATATATATAAATGAAAGATGTTTTTGCAAATCAAGTAACAAGAAGTAGACACAAAATCCCAAATCGTGAAAGCAAGAGTGTTGCAAAGAAACTGTCCCACTACTCAGAGATGGGCGAAGACAGAAAATATGTCACCATGGATGTAGTCGTTGTCCACCAAACTTACCAAATAGTAGCTGCTCTTCACCTGCACACCATTATTCATCAAGAAACTGGAATCAGTCTAAGTGGGGGGACAACGGGAGAAATTGAAAAGGCGGGTTTAAGCCTAAGACTCACCTCTTCCAGCAACTTTCTGGAAGGATCATCTTCTGGGTACAAGCTTGCCCAGCTTCTTGACCAGGTCTCGAAAGCTTCATCCTTCCAGATTTTGAAGCTGGCAGGGTCAACGATTGTTGGCTGGATGATCTCCTTACCTGGGAAGGCTCCCCAAGTGACGGCGTTCACATCAGATTGGCCTATGTTCGAGACCCAGTTCCCGTCTTTGTTCACTGCCATGTAGGTTATAGACGGGCATGCCTTGCATTTCTCGACCAGTGTGTCTAAATTATCCTTTGAGCAGAAGAATTCTAAGTAAGCCTTCTGGTAGACGTATCCACCAGGACCACCCCATCCTGCGAGTTTCATTCATTCGGTTAATGGGTTGTAGGCCATAACTAGGACAGAAAACTCAACAAACAAAGCTTAATTGGATTTCCCTTTTTACAAGAACAGCATTGGAAACTTCAATTGTTGGGTTAAAAATGAGCAAAAGACTGAGTACTCGTAGAGAGACATATCTAGAAATACTATTTACGAGAACGAGGTACCGATTTCTTACCAACAGCCGGGGAATCAGTTTTCTCTCCATTGACAGAGGGTTGGCTGTTGATCGTCAGGAAGCCCTTGGAGTTGATTTTGCCCAGCTCCTCGTTTATGATATTTGTCTCGGGCTGGAGTCCATCCAATTCAGACCATGGATTGCTTCTTAAGTTTCCAAGGCAGTACTCCTTGAATTTCTGATGTTTTACAGGTTTTAGAAGTATTTGTGAGCGTTCCCGAGTTGAATTAAGCTTCGATTGCGAGTGAGGAAAACAATGTTTAGTTGAGTTGATGAAGGAAAACATACCTCCTGAACATCTTCGATACTTTTCAACGGGACAACCCATTCCTGGTGAAGCCTCTTGTCACGAGCTCTTGGACGCAAGAACTGCCAAATAAAAAAAATTTAAGGTCAGGGCTATCATTAGCCATGATGAACACACAAGGAGAGTAGATTTGATAAAAAGCAGAAAGATTCGATGTCCAGCAAAGAAAGCAGCTTCCACTAATGATAGGCTGAAACCAACACAGAACTTGGGCTAATGAAATTCCACAGTAGAACATACACAATTTTTACTGAATATGCAAGTACCTGATAATCTGAGAGTGCCCCATATGATGCATTGCGTGAGTCACCCCACCGACCATGTGGGAAGTCATCCCAGCCCATGGTTCTTGATATGTAGCTCTTGGGACGGTTTGCCCTGCACAGATTAGAATGCAAAAGAAGTCTTAAACACTCTTTAAAGAAAGATTATAGATCCTTGGAGAGGCAAAGTCAGACGGCAAGGAACCAAATGCAATTTACCAGAAAATTGGACGGACATCTTCCTTAGTACGGAAAATATTTGCAGGGCGCCTCCAAGGCAAGGGGCGAGAAATCTTGGATTCCTCGATCAAACCGAGATTCTGCAACATCAACACGATAAGTTAGGCAATCCTGTATCAAGAAAGCTCTATGTAGACTTTACAACGACAAAGGGTTACAAGACATGATGAGGAGCAACCATTAATATTCCAAGAGCTGACTTATCCATGTTCAATGTGTAGAGATGAAGAGTCTTGATCCCATGAGCCAAAATCTTCTTACACATTTCTGTCCCGAGGTGAATACCGTATGATCTCACAGCTTCCTCATTATCCTTGATAGGCTCCAAGGCAGCAGTGATCTCAGCTGGAATCTGTGGCATTCAATGAAGTGTTAGAATTAACATTGAACTGCAAGCACAATATGTATTATATCAAACTAGGATTCCCCCACAAAGGCACGGCAAAAGCATTGCCCTTCAACAATCCAAATTTCATAATTGAGGCTGAAGGTCTCGAGATTCAGCTTAATATTAGCTGAAAAACAAGGAAACAAGCTCCTTGCCACTCAACTCAACCCTCAAGCCTTAAGCTTTTCCAACATAAACATTTCCAGAGGCATTAACTTAACCAGCAGAGGCAGTATCATTAGCATTAACAAGTCCAAGAAAGGTTATTCATTTGCCAAGACCAAGACACGGCATCACACAAACAAACATACCTTGGTCTTGCAGAAACCAGTCATCCTTAAGCTTTTCCAACATAAACATTTCCAGAGGCATTAACTTAACCAGCAGAGGCAGTATCATTAGCATTAACAAGTCCAAGAAAGGTTATTCATTTGCCAAGACCAAGACACGGCATCACACAAACAAACATACCTTGGTCTTGCAGAAACCAGTCATTCGCACAAAGCCCTTGTAGTTGTTAATGGGCATGATCCCAGGAACAATGGGGCAGTTTATCCCAATTTGCCGACAGTCATTCACAAACTTGAGGAAGGTATCAGTATCATAGAAAAGCTGAGTAACAATCAGATCAGCTCCAGCATCAACCTGTTCCACGAGCAAAGCAATCATCCAATCAGCTCGGGACAAACAAATTCAAACAGAAAACACCAAAAACGTGGCACAGAATCTGACCTTTCTCTTCAGGTAAGCAAGATCGCTCTGATAAGCCTCCGCCGACGCAAGGCCATCAGGTTCGATAACATCCGGATGCGCCTCTGATACAGACACAACCCGTCATTACAACCACACAACAACACCGACATCAACAGGCAAAAACAACGAAGTGAGAATTCCGGCACGTACCAGGATACCCAGCAACCGTAATGCCGAAGTAATCGCCATACTTGTTGCGAATGTGCTTCACCAGATCCAGAGCGCAAGCAAACCCGCCTTCCACCTGGACGAACTTGTCCTGCCCATGGGGAGGATCTCCCCTGAGAGCCAACACGTTCTGGATACCATTGGATCTGATGGTCTCTAAGGCGTGATCGATCTTCTCGACGGGCATGTTGGTGCAGGTGAGATGCATCATGGTCTCGACGCAGACAACGTTCTGCATCTTGTTGGAGATGTCGAGGGTGAGATCGGCGGTGGATCCACCGGCTCCCCAGGTGATGTCGCAGAAGGTTGGTCCGTAGGCTACCATACGATCCATCCTCTCGAAGAGGTTGTCGACTCCATCCTCCGTCTTGGGAGGGAAGAACTCGAAGGAGAAGACCGTCTTCCCTTGCTCCGTCAGCGACTGAATCTTCTCAATCACCTTCATTTTCCTTCGAACCGAGCTCGGAATCTCGATCCCTGTCCAGATTCAGGATGGGTATGGAGGAAGAGGTTAGCGGAGGCAAGTTGCTACTCCTTCTGCTCACACAGCTTTATACTGACCTTTGAAACTCTGAGGAGAGAGAGAGAGAGAGATCCAAAAAGTTAGGTGGTTCCGCGACCATTGAAGATTTTACATCCCATTTTAACCCATTTTTTTCATTTCTTAATAAATTATTTTCATATTTGTAACCGTATTTTTAATTTTTCTATTTAATTATAAAATCACTTCTCCAATTTATAAATGCACACACCTTTGTGGCAGTGGTTCAAATTTGTATTATTGACACTTAGTCTGGATATAAAAAATGTGTTAAGAGGTATTATTTGGTGTATTTTAATTACGCATGTTTTAAGTAAGCACATGATTATGAAGAATCTCACCAGACACAAGAGGCATGGTTTAGTTAGTGGTCACTGTCCTTCTCCAACCCCCAAATGGCTTGATTTTGGTAGGTGAGCTATGGGGCCCACTCCACCTACCCCCACGGCGACTCTCTTTAGCCGGTCACCGGCGCGTGGATGTCACTCGCTGCCACAAGCCGGCAAGGTTAACCGGACATCAGTCTCTTTGGCCACGTCATCACCGACATACATCCATAGATTCGTCCTCAACCATGGGAAAAAAAAACACGTGCTCATTCAAAGGAGTTGTGCAATGGCATTTTCAGATATTAAACCGAGTTTGTTTGAGCTTTGTTGGCACTTTCAGAACCTAAACCGGTCTCCCCTTATGGTTCACTTTAGCATATTGAAATTTTAGTGTGCCCCATGTGAATAATGATGTTCTTTTTTATTTTTTTTAATTGAAACTCCTTTTAAATTGGGTATAATGTTGGATTCCTAAATAACTATTAATTTATGAAATCAAAGTTTGAGATTGGTATAATCTCTTAACAATTTTATTGTTAAACGTATGCACATAATTTTGAGATTGGTCTCTACGTTACTAGTGGCATGCATGCATAGAAACATCACATGTCATTTTTCTTTCTTTCTTTTTTTTTTTCACTGCAATTATGATACTTTGAGGTTGTGGCATTCAAGTGGCACCAAAAAGCATATGAGCTTAATAGTAAATACTTTGGACAGACGATTATTACTGTGACAATGTAAGATATATAATCCAAACGAATATCATCTTTTATATATACCTCCAAAAAATATAAAATTTTAATCAACATATCCGTTGCAAATCCAATTTAAAATATATTCGTGTAATGGATACATGTTCCAAAAAGATTTGAAACTCTAGAACATTTATTTTTTATTCAAAAATAATATAACGATTTTTTTTTTACCCTTGCAGCTTAGGTTTTCCTATTGAGATTCATAGTTAAGGAAGAAACGAAAAGAATCTTTTAAAGATTTATAATTGAAAGTAATGTCTGAGAACCCACTTTTCTTCACGTTTTTCCTAAATAACTATTAATTTATGAAATCAAAGTTTGAGATTGGTATAATCTCTTAACAATTTTATTGTTAAACGTATGCACATAATTTTGAGATTGGTCTCTACGTTACTAGTGGCATGCATGCATAGAAACATCACATGTCATTTTTCTTTCTTTCTTTTTTTTTTCACTGCAATTATGATACTTTGAGGTTGTGGCATTCAAGTGGCACCAAAAAGGCACCGAGCTTAGCATCAAATGATTCTCCTTGTATTCTTCACATGTAGTTGACCGTTTTTTAATTTAATTTTTTTGTTTAATTTTATAATAATATCTTCATAAATATCTAGATAAAATTAATCTAATTATATATATATATATATATGTAATATACATTTCATTACTGCATACTGCATATGATTAAAAATAAATAACTTTAAAATTAAAAATTAAATAAATAAATCTATACATAAATATTTACACAAATATATATACAAACATGTATGCATATATATATATATATACATACATACGTAATATATTTTATATAAAAGAAGTTGAATATGAGTATTTTTGTTGGTTTAAACTCATGTGTTTTCATGTTGTAGATCTTTCTATGTACCATATACTTTAAATAGAATTATTTTAATCAAAGTAATAAATAAATCTATATATATAGAAATAACCATCTCGATCTCACCTTTTCATACAATTTTCGAAAATTTCATACTATTCTTGTTCATGTCCTATCCAACGACACAAAAAAAATCAAATTGAATTATTTACGAAAAATAGATAATAATTACTAATTAATATTTTTGGCTTCTGTTTTTTTTCCTAGTGGGCTAATGAATAGTTGTCCAATCGTTTGTTTTGTTTTTTCTTAAAAGTTTCTTATTTAATTACCATATATCAATGTGATTGAAGAACACATTCGGATGATCCGGGAAAATAAAAAAATAAAAAACAAAATTGAATGAGAATAACAGAGATTCCAGAGAATGCATTTATATACTTTTTCATAGCATGAATATATTACATGATGAGGATATATATACTTTTTCACAGTGCAATCATTCATTTATTACAAATATGCAATCATGTAAATTAATATTGCACATTCTGCGAAAATAAAAAATAACATGGTACAACATAATTAGGAAATGATGAATGAGAATAAAAAAATAATACAACGATTAAGTATAGATATTGAATGAAGAAAAAGACAATTGAAGTTTCCAAATAATATAATATAACAAATAATTTATCTATTGCAATGTGCTCAATTCGAAAGCAATAGATTAGCATGTAGTCTGACAAAACCAAAATTCGAAAGCAATGACCATTTACCAGGGGAATTTTCCTTTCGGGTAATGGTAAAGATAAGCCATTTACCACAGAGACGGTGAAAGCGACGTAAAGCTTTTCCTCCTCCTTTTGTGTCACCATCAAAGGAAGCTCCAACTTCTCCAAGTCTTCGCCTTACAAATCCAGTCTCATACTTAATAATAAAATCCATCGCTTTAGATGTTACCAATGATGCGATACTGAATACTGAATTCCGACTAAATGAAAATCAATGAGTTAGCTTTGCTTAGTGGTACTCTGTCAATATTCTACACTTCTTTCTCATATTATTTTCAAAAATTAAAATCAATCAAACATTATAAAAAAACTTCATTTCTAAACTTCTTCTCTTGTGTCAGTGTGTAAAAAATAAATCTAAATTTTTTCATCGAGCGGAAAAAAGAAAAAGAAAATGAGATTCAAGTCCAAAAGGTTTGGCGATGTACCTTCAATCTTCTACAATATCTTCTTGACTTTATGCTCACTTTATAAAATCTGCATGCACAAACATAAACCCATAACACAAGAATGATGATTTAAATAAGAACACAGAAAAGAGAAATAAGAAAAAAATGGTTTTTCAACAAAAAAAAAAGAAAAAAATGGCTTTGAAGAGAGAAATTTAGCAAATCGTTGATCTTCTCTGCCACCATACTCACTCCAAAAGCTTCAATCTACACAACCAAAGACCAAAAAATGCATTCATCAAAACATTCAGAACCGCACACAAAAAAATAACTTTTTCCGCATATGCATGCATACATATATATACACACACAACAAATCTATAATGACTATGTTTATATACACATACAAATAATGGGATGTAAAGGTAATTGAAAATTATAATGACTATGTTTATGACATTAAAGTCTGCCATTTATTAAGATGCAATATATATATATATATATAGATATAAGAGTAGTGTAGGTATAATTCTATTTTTATTAAATTGTATTGATATAAAAACCACGTAACAGCATTTTAAAAACTTCCAATGAAGATTATAATAATATTCACACCCTAATTTTTCACTCTTCATTTCTCCATTTTATTTTGTAATAATCTATCGACATTTTTTATTTTTTTATATCATTAATCTTATACAATATTATATTTTGTTCATTTTACTTGAATAAAATCATCAAGATAACTAATACATTTTAAATGTAAGTGTAATCAAATAAAAGTTTAAATTACCTATAAAACTAAAGTTGCATTATTTTTTTAAATCTATATATATATTTTATATTATATGTCATAGAGCAATTAAAAAGTTTATTTAACCAATTAATATAAAAAAATTTGTCACATTAATTAATCAATTAATATAAAAACATTTACCACATGGATGATGATGTGGATGATGAGGTGTCTTCACCACAATCCTTTAAACATCTTTATTAATATATATAGATTTTTTTCTTTTTTTTTTGTTATTTTATTTTTTAAAATTTTCGACGAAGGGTACCATAAAATGAAAACTTTGACTAATGTAAATTTAGTGGTTTTATTATCATACGAAAGGTTTGCTGTCAGTTTCTTCTAAAGTGGATAGACATACAAAAAAAAAAACATTTTTAAAAAGCGGAAGCTGCAATTTTCAAATTGCAAAATGGTTAATTCAAAATAAAAAATCATATCATATGGGTTTTTTCATGTTTCAAACTATGCATATATACTAACGACAATGCTGATTATATATTTACATATATACATATATTTATGTAAATAATACCAAAGATACTAAATAGTAAATTCAGAGTTAGGCTACCAAAACGTGAAGAATCTCACCTATCTATTTATTTATTTTTGTTACACCTAGAAATGATAGATGCAGTAAAGTTTGACGTATAAATAAACTTTATATTATAGATATTTTTTTGTATGGTAATCGAAATTCCATTTTTCCTTCCCTTGAAAAAGATAATTCCACTTTTGTTGCTGCCGTAAAATAAATTGAAGAGAGTTATTTAATTTCAAAATATTTATTAGAAAGAGAGTTTACATATCACTCCCAATCTTTGAAGAAGTTGGATTTTTTTACAAAACATTTGTTATTGACTTTAGTTTTGCACTAAAAACGGCCCCTAACTTGTAAATTTTTATTACTTTTCCATAAAAAAAAAATCTTAAACTCACATTTTATTTCTAAATTAATATGTTGACTTTTCATTTTTCACTCCAATTTCCGACGACTCACGTGGTGCACAGGATTATTAATTTGGCCATGGCAATCACATTTACCTACGTCAATAAAACTAAAAAAAAATATATGTATATATACACGTGCACGTATTATACATACATACATATATATAGTTTAAATTGTTCATTTATAATAGGATTGATTTAATTATTAAAATTATTAAATATAAATTCATCTAAATTAAGAGAATTTGCATGATTTCGCATCCAAAATATTCGTCTCCAAGTGGGCTTTTTATTGGGCTTTTATAGAACCATTTTGGGCTCTAATATGCTTTTAGGCCCAATTCATAAATCTGTTGGAAAAAGAAAGGAATCGTCTTCTTCTTCTCCTTGAATCATTTTTCTTGTCGAAGAAGCTCCGAGGAAAATCTCAGTGGAAACCAGAGAAGAGAGAACCGAGGAAAGAAGTGGAGATTCTCTGCCCAGGTGACATTCTCGCTCTTCATTTTACGGTAGGATCCGTTCTTGTCTTATTCTTCTTAATTCTTTTTATTTTAAATTTGATTTGTTTTTTGCCGACGAAATCTGAGCTGATAGATTCCTTTGTTCGGGAATCGTTTTTGTGAAATCCGGGAAAATCGTTGGATCCTGTTCGTTTTTCGATATTTGGCAGAGAAATCGTTGGATCCATCTCCCCCCATTCTCCTCCTCGTGAGGTTTGAGTTATCATTTTCAAGCTCTGTTCGTACTAACTTCCTTAGCTGTGTCTGGTGGGTTTTTTTTCACTGGCCAATACTTGTTTTCGTTTGCTTTGAACTCGATTTTAGTATGGTTGAAGGCGTTGAGCAGAAAACGGACTGTGATTTTGCTGTATACTTGTATAGTTGTGAAAGGAATTCAAAATTCTGGGTTCAATGTTTTGAATTCAGGCTTTCTCTCGGTTAATTTTGGCACAACAATTATTATGATTCTGAAGTTCGGATTTTGAGGTTTGTGTTTATGAAAACTTTTCATCTCTTGCTTACACAATCTGGGCATTACTCTTTTTTCACAAATGCAGTTGCAGAAAATGTCTCGGAGATACGATAGCCGGACCACCATATTCTCACCGGAAGGTCGTCTCTACCAAGTAGAGTATGCAATGGAAGCCATCGGAAATGCGGGTTCCGCCATTGGAATCTTGACAAAAGACGGAGTTGTATTGGTCGGTGAGAAGAAAGTCACCTCCAAACTTCTCCAAACCTCGACCTCCACAGAGAAGATGTACAAGATCGATGACCATGTCGCATGTGCAGTGGCTGGAATCATGTCTGATGCCAACATTCTTATCAACACGGCTCGAGTCCAGGCCCAGCGTTACACCTACATGTACCAAGAGCCTATGCCGGTTGAGCAGCTGGTTCAATCTCTCTGCGACACCAAACAAGGGTACACCCAGTTCGGCGGTCTCCGCCCGTTTGGCGTTTCTTTCCTCTTTGCGGGTTGGGACAAGAACTACGGGTTCCAACTCTACATGAGTGACCCGAGTGGAAACTACGGTGGATGGAAGGCAGCAGCCATCGGGGCAAACAACCAAGCCGCTCAGTCTATTCTCAAACAAGACTACAAGGACGAGATAACGAGGGAAGAGGGTGTCCAGCTCGCGTTGAAGGTCCTGAGCAAGACAATGGACAGCACTAGTCTTACGTCTGAGAAGCTCGAACTGGCCGAGGTTTTTCTGACACCTTCGGGGAATGTCAAGTACCATGTCCACTCGCCTGAGTCACTTACTAAGTTGTTGGTTAAGCATGGCGTGACTCAACCCGCTCCCGAGACATCCTGAGGCGTAAACGTTGTCGTTTAGCTCTCCTGGTACGGTTTTCGACTTTTGTGTTTTTCTGAATTCATCATATTCTGGTTCTCTGATGATATTTACATGTGGTGAAAACCTTCTTCTGCTCTGTTAATTTTATTAAAGAACTCGGATAATATTCTATGTTTGAGTCCTATAAATCAAAAGCTGAATCTTTTCGCTAGAAAAAAAATCTACAGATATACTTCCCTTCTTGCTCTATGTACAAAAAAAAGAAAACAGACAAAGACAGTTCAGGAACATAGTTTTGGCAGCGATCTTGTGTTTCCTCTGCGTGTACTTTTTGATATCTTCTTCATAATCTCCATCTGATTCTGCATTTTCCGACAAGCTCTCTCCAGTTCCATTACTCTCCATTGAATCCCTTGTAGATGTTCCTTCAGCTTCTCGTTTTCGCCCGAAATCTCCATTTTTTCTAACCTGAGGTTGAGTGCTTCGCCCGGTGAATCATCTGTTGATGTTTTGAGCTTCAGTTTTTGAGATATGACCCTCTCGGCTGCAGGAAACTTCCTGTTGTGGGAAATATGAGCCCGGGATTCGCTCGAGAGCTTCTCGTAGCTTAACCTTCGGATAATCTTGAGCTTTTCGCTTTCAGTTAATCCGATGTGAGCCTGAGCAAGCGTGAAGTGATGGTTATAAGAGTCAGTCAGCTGCACGATAAAGATCAAAACTTTTTTCACTGTACCTCGAGATACATATCGATGGCACGGTAGATTTCGTCGTGAGATTCACGGGCGGAATCCGGTATGGCAGTGACGAGGGCAAGAAACTTTGAAGGTTTCAGACATGGATCAGGAGCTACTTCAGCTATGTACAGATCGATCAAGTTGGAGACTTTCTTTAACCGTTCGGTCTGTGGTTGAACGTGAAATCCTCCAGTGATGCTGTCGAGAAATGATTTTGTGAATCTAAGAATGAGATTCACATTATAAGATTGGTTTGATCTGTAAGGAGATGGGACAAGAAGATTGTCCAATGTGGCTTGATCCAACTGGTTACCGATCATATTCTCCAGCTTGCTCATCATGCTGCTGCTTTCGATATTGTTCTTCAATCCAAGAGCAATGCGTAGAATCCCGAAAAGGGTCTTGCAGGAAACGCAGCTTCGATCTAGAACGTAAAGGGTATCGAGGGTTGTTTCTAGAATCTTCCGTTTCTCGTCTAAATTAGCAGAACAGAACTTCGCCTTCTGGTAATAGAGCAGGAACCTGGTTATGATGAAGTGATCGAATTTATGGGATACCATAATCTTCACTAGGGTTTCGAACAGATCTGGACCCAAGACCAGAAGCTCGTCGAACCACCATGTTCCCCTGGCTGAACTGTTCTTGAAACTCTCGGTGCTTTTACTGTCACAGGAAAACCGGAACAGGCTGCTGTCTGGGGAAGAAGCAGAAGCACTAGAGGGACTTGCTTCAACTGTTAAGTTCAGTTTTCCGACCAGAGAATCCATGAACTTTGCGGCCAGAGGGTCGGATTCTGGTGATTTCTTTAGATCTTGACACTGTTTCAGAGCGGCGAGAAGGTCCGGCCAAGTCCAGAACCGAATCTCGTCCATCGATTTCTCCGTCTGTTCCAACAAATCAGGAACTTCCATGAACTTAGCAGCGCAATGCAAGAGAACAACGTTGGACGGTGTCACGCTGAACCTGCCGTTGTTGTAACAGAATCTCGAGACAAGCTCGAAACTTTCCGCTCCACCCGGAAAATCGTTGAATATCACCTTGAGATTTCTTTCGGAACAGTTAGATTTCCCCAGAAGTTTTTTGAACTTTCCAGAATATTCACAGATGATTTTCTGCAGATATTCAAGACAAGAGAGAAACTTTTAAGTAATGAGAATGCAAAACCCATAACCGAATCAGACAACAAGTGATCTGAGCACACAGATCTAGAGTTGAATCAGAACCACTTTCCAGACATTCTTGAGGAACCCTACGAGAAAGATTGAACCTTTTTTCGTTTTCTCAACTCCAGCATGTCACATCTGATTAGATATAATCAAATAGTTAACAATTTTTATGAGGGCATATGATAAAAGCACCGAAAGCTCAATCGAATCTATTACAAGGAAAAACGAACAGGACATAACAGGGGAAAAAGAAAAATAAAAGAAAGGGAAGAATGATGAACAATTATTACAGGACAGACGAACAAATCATTGATCACAAGGAAATGGTCTTCTTATCAACAGCTAATGAACAGTTTCAGAGGAAATTGCCATGAGAGCAACTCTATCAACCTTATTAGGTGTCATCACCATGATCCAAATCTTGTGTGTTTCTCTCTCTGAATAGGCGGAGTTTGTCGATTTCCAGGAAAAGGCGACAAAACGAAAGGTAAGAAAACCAGATTGCAATAAATGGTGATGGCAACATCTGGTATTCTTCTGCAACACACTTGTACTCTCATTTATTGGGATTTTCAACTCAGAGATCTCTCTCAACTTAAACTGTAATAAAAGCTGTAAGCTTCGATTTGTAGATAAACTTAATTACATAAATGAAACACCTTAGCGATGGGATTCAATTAAGAAGCAAAAGGAAAACTTTGTGTCCCCACAACATGGGAATTCGGTGTGAGCATTTAATGCTGAAGTTAGCGGAGTCACACACAATACGTGAAGAGAAATACACTGACGGTGTCATGAAACATATGGATATATACGCATACACACACACACACACAAAATGTATGTATATGTGCAGTGAGATGAAAACAACAAAAACCCAGAACAGGAAACTCGGAATTCACGCTGAGGAACGGTTTTAAAAACTCACCTTACTGAGAAAGATAGTTTCTTCTCCATTGACGTCGACCTGAAGATCGGAGCAAGCTTCCATGGCCAAAAGGAGAAAGAAGTAAAGCACCCCCACCCCCGCAAGAAAAATATCGAGAAAACCCACCTAGGAAACAAGATTCGTTCTCGAATTTACCGAAAAAAATCAAAGGGATTCGGAGAAAATAAATGTGCTGTAAAGAGGGCACTAACAGAGAGAGGGGGGGGGGGGGTTGATATATTCGTGCAAGAAGAAGAAGACAAACAGTAAAAGAGTGGCAAACTTTTGGTGGTTTGGACCAGATTTGGACTGTCAGATTTCTGTTTTTTCCCCCTTTTGTTCTTCTTTTAGTGTACGTGAAGTCAATTGATGAAGCACCAAGAAAATGGTGGGAATTTGCAGCTGGGGGTTTATAGGGACAACACAAGGAGGAAGGAGAACAGAAACGGAGGATTTACAGAGAAAATTGACGAAAGAAAGAGCAGCAACAACGGCCTGTGGAGAACTCTTGTGCCTTGGAATAAGAGAGAGAGAGAGAGAGAGAGAGAGAGAGAGAGAGAGAGAGAGAGATTTCTGCGTTGCGTTCTGACATTCCTGCTAAAAACTATAAAAAAAAAGAAGAAAAAAAGATTAAAAAAAGCTATTTTTTAATTTTACAATTCCGTACAATATAAAAAAAAACTCTCTAATGGTTTAGATTCTAAAATATTCTTTTGGGAGAATATTGTCTAATAAAATCTTTGCGCGGATAGCATATATATGAATCGAAATTGAGTTTGGACATCGCAAATTATCGTCATGTTTCTGGCATCGATAAAAATACGAGGACCATCTTGTAAAATACTGAAAACGTGGGCCCCAAAGCCTCGTATATGCATTTTTTTTTTACTTTTCAATCAGTGGGTTAAAAGGTAATTGATGATTCAGTTTACAGCTAATTATGATTAGTATACGTCCTAATGGTGAAAGCTTTTTTGGGTTGTATTTCTTTGTCGTTAAATTACTTTCGAGAAGACCTTGCCTCTGTGGGATCTGTCGTTCTATCCATCTTTCCTTTGTACTTTTATTTTCTCCTTTTGCGACTCTATTTATTAAAATCCCTAATTAAAAACTAATTTTATTAAAGATAGTGGTACTTATCAATAAACCAAAACATCAATATTTTATATATGAAAAAAAAAGGAGTTGTTTTCATGCACAGACAGAAGCTTAACGTGGTTGACAAAAGTTAAAGAAGAGCGCCGTGAAACGGGGGTCACGTGATCTGAAGCACACGAAATGTTGTTTTTACCCCCTTGCAGAAAAAGCTATTTACGAGTATGGGTCTGTCTCGACCATTCATAGGGCCCAAGCCCAAAATGGTAGGCCCCACATATATATATATATATATCACCGTTGGGAAGGGCGGTCCATCTATATTTTTTTTTTATAATCCAGAAATTTACCGGATCTTTGGCCCGACTACATCTCCCAGATGACCGAAAAAGCCCATGTGAATGCCCCTCCCCACGCGGTTCATGTATACTTCAATTTGTATTAGAATTTTTTCGGGGAAAAAAAAGATACATAAAAGAAGAAACAAAGTGTTAGGACCATGGGAACATGTCCTTTTGATTTCAAATAGGTTTTGGAGGGATATCTATTTTTGTTTATATTTGCCGGTAATTAATTGTTGTCTAAATTAATTTTTGTGGGGGCATGGCATGATATCATGACACGAACTATATATGATCATCTCCATGTTATTCGATTACAAACCGAAGCAAAAAAAAAGCCCATTATTAAAGGCCCGTATAATAACATTACACAATTTTCCAACTACACAAAATAAAATGTTTTTGTTTTTTTATAAATCGTTTAAATTTTACTAAAATTGTGACCTGTTGTATGCAGTGGAGGAAAGCACGTGCATGCCCACGGTCCCAATCCTTTTTGGCATCATCATCGTCGTCCTGCAAAAATCCGTTTTGCTTCCCGACAAAAGACCTTGTCTCCGTTGCCGGAACCGTCAGATCCCCGACCGATCCAACGGTCCAGATTCGTTCAGAATATCTCCGGCCACCTGAACCCGCCTCTGCCAGAGGGGACAAATAGTCGACAAACACATCAGACCCTGTAACGGATCCTCCTCGTTTTTCGTTTCGCCGCCTTTTCCCTCACCCACTCATCTACTGCCACGTGTTCTCGTGGTCTTTTTCACCCCTTCCCCTCCCTCATTCCTCCTCCCTCCCGAACTCGAATCCCTCTCTCTCCTCTCCCTCTCTCTCTCTCTTCTCTGAGCCATGAAAATCGAGGCAGGTTATGAGTTGGACTCAGTGTCCGGGTTCCCGCCGATTCCGTCGGAGTTTGATGCAGTGGAGGATCCCGGCAACTATCCCTTCACCTCCGCCATTAATCCTCTCGAGGCTTTGGTTCCTTTTCCTCATTCCGATTTCTCTCCCTCCGCCTTCGCTTTCTCCGACCTCGACATTCTCCGTCTCCAACCTTGTCTCCGCGATTCCATCCTCCTCGACTCTCCTCTGTCTCTGATCAACCGCCACCTCGCCGAGTCGATTCAGCTTGACCAGCTCTTCCATGGCGCCGGCCTCCCCGACCCGGCCACGTCGCCATTTCTCCACATGCCGAACCTCCACGCCGTCGATCAGACAACGCTGTTCTCATGCTTTCCTCCGGCTTTACCAGGAGTTCATGACGAGAAACGCCGTCGTTTCACCGTGGATGTACCTCCGCCGCCGCCGCCGCCGCCGGTTGGCTTCACGATCTCGCCGTCGTCAGCCTCCGGAACTCCAGCGTCGACGACTCAGAACAATACGGCTCGGGACAGGCGGAGGAAGATCGCGGAGAAGACTCGGTCGCTGGAGAAGCTGATGCCATGGGAGAAGAAGATGGACAGAGCTACGCTGCTGGAAGAAGCTCACAAGTACATAAAGTTTCTCCAAGCTCAGATCGCCGTTCTCCGGTGGATGCCTCTTGAGGCGGTCTTCTCCGGCGCCGGCGGATTGAACCGGCAGCAGGTTCTGCAGGTGATGGCGAGCTCGTCGCGAGTTCAGACAACGCTCTACACGCGCGGCTGCTGCGTCTTCTCACGCGAGCAGTTGCTTTCGCTGAACATGACGTCTCCGTCCACCAGGAATCTCTGATCACGGCGGCGCTTGTGTCCCACGCGCCATGAACATCCGTACAGTTTTCCTTTGTTTTGTTTTTTTGTTTGGATTTTCAGTACTTACAAAAAAGGTTACATGCGGTAGGAAAATTTTAACGGTGCGGCAACTAAAATTGGATTTTGCTTACATTACGTTACATTTCATAACCACTAGCTCTATAAGCTAACCTTATACATATATATATATACATATATATGAATTATTGGATTATTTATCCATATGGTATTTGTTTTATTCTAAAATATTCTGAACTACCAACGTGTATTACTAATCAAATATGATTTCAGACACTCCTCACGAAAGTTTCATCATCTTTGGTAAAGAAAAAATACAATAAACAAACAACAAATTCATATGGAACAACACAATTCATGATTATAACAGATGGATACACTTTGAATCTAAGTGGTTTACCTTCAGATTACGAAGACGAACTACTGCTGTCGTCATCGTCATCGTCTGAGCTGTCGAAACTGTCTGGTCTCCGGTCAGCGATGGCCGGAAACAGACGTTGTCTTATGTCCGGAGACGGCTGTTTGTTGTCCGGAGCGGATGATGTCTCCTTCCTAGGAGACGCCTCATTCTTTTTCGTCGTCATCGCCTTATCTTTCACTTCTTTGCACACTTTATCCAACATGATCAAGAAATCTCGGACGATCGCAAAAAGTCGCAGCCCTTCGTTCTTGGCCGAGTTCCCGTGGAAATAATCCGCGATGCTCTTCACGAGAACCATTATCCTCTCTTCTTCTTCCTGTAACCATTTGATATCCGATTCCGCCCGTTCGATGAACCCCCCGAGAGCTCGCTCGAAATCGCAGTCTTTGTCCATCTTGTCCAGAAACTCGCTCGCTTTCGCTAGCGAGCTGCCGAGAGATGAAAGCGTCGCAGCTAACCCGTCTGCGTCTATTACTGCCGCTTTCTTGACGTCTTCGAGTTCAGTGCTTAATCCCGAGACCACCTGAAGACCGATGCTGCGGTAACGCTCGGCTGATTCAGGGCTAGAATCCGGAATTGTATCTTCTGTCTTCATGCTAGAGAAGCTTCGGCTTGACTGTGTTCTAAGGGCACGAACCCCTTCTGATCGGATGATCTCGAGGACAACAAAGTGCAATAGAGTGGTCTTTCCGTCGGTTCCTTTGACATCGGAGACTTTTAAGAGGGTGTCGAGTTTGAACGCCTGAGCGCCACCACGATATGTACCATCATTCATGCGATTTCCCGTCTTGAGGATAGCTTCAAGCAGTTTTAGGAACAATCTGCTGTTTCGGAGTTTCTTGCAAGCAACCTGGAATAAGACACTCAGATACCATGAATAGATGCGAGCCATAAAGTTTTTCCGGCTATATATACATATGTGGGGTGTCGGAATAAACCTCGAGAGTTGCAAAGGATTCTTTGAGACTGGATACTTCCTCCTGAAGCGAAACCATGAATAGAAGCGACTCGATACGGCTAAATGCAAAGGGTATGTCCACTACAATCTTGAGGAAACGCTCGGCCGGCCCGAGCTGATAAAGATCGCCATCGTATAGTCGGAGCTTCAGTTCCTCTTCAGGTGTTGGAGCCATCTTCAGCAACGTTTGTAGGAGCTCGACCGGGAGTTCATTACCTTGAAAAAAAGGACAGCACAAAGAAGAAGCCATTCAATCCCAAGACATGAAGCAGAAACAGAACAGATATGGCGAGATAGAAAGCTGAGGGGAAGAAGACCTTCTTTAATGGCATCGACAACTTCATCTATGGTGACGTTCAGAGCCCGGAAAAGGATAGATAAGTTCTGGGCTTTCCTGGTGTCGATTATCTGCACATACTGGGCAGGGGATTCGCGCGATGAATTCTTCCCCTGCTCGTTTTTGTTTTTGTTCGCGTCGTTGTAGCCAAACAACGACTGCATCATCTCTTCATTGAACCTGAAAACAGACCGTGAATTAGAAATAGAAAGAATGCAGGACATGTTCATCTATGAAATGAGTCGCTTGAGTACGATTCTTACTGGAAGGAACCAGCGCTAATCTCATGCCAAACCATTTTCTGATCAGGGTTGGCATTAACTTTATCCCAGAAGAACGGCTTTAGTTTGGCTTTCGAGGATCCAGTCTCGGAATCGATATCAGATCCATCCCCAGAGGAACTATGTCCCGGGTGTTTTTTCTTCAGACCAGCAACTGCACCTTTCGGCGGGGCAGGTGGAGGCCGAGCAACTTTAGGCGGAGGAGGGGGCTGAGGTCGGGGAGGAGGCGGCGGCATTGGTTGTGCTTGTGGAGGTGGAGGAGCTGATTTTCCGGGGGGAGGCTTCAAGGTAGGAGGCCCGACAGATGATGCATCGGCTAGTGACGATGACTCATTACCATTTAGCTTCAGAGAGAAGCTCGTAATAAAGGATCGCCTTTTCGAACTTGTACTAAAATGCTTCTTGCTCGCGCTTCTTACGGTGGGAGAGTTTTCCTCCGATCCTGCAAGATTACCAAAGTGGAAAACGCGATTTACATATCGGCAATATCTAACCAGATTAACTTGGAACAACTTGACAACCCCATAAGAAAAAAGCACATACCGGTTGAAAAATCGATAAAATCGATCAAATGGAGGAGCGGCTTTTCATCCCTCTGTCCTTCTCTAGGACCAACTGCATTGCCACCGCTGCGTCTCAAGCAATACAAGAATAACAATGCGGCAAGGATGAACGTCACTGCAGAGGTTGTAACAACGGCAATGATAAGTTCCATCACAGTAGCATTCCACTCCTTTGGAAAAGGACCTGGAACGGGTTGAGTAGGTGGATAAACAGGGGAACTCGTCCTAATCGATCCGGAAGTTGATTCATCCGGTGCCTGAGAAGGGGAATATGAAGGCGGCCGTGACTGAGAGCTTGCAGGTGCCAGACCATAACTCGATGGAACTGGCGCAGGAGCAGGATCAGGAGCAAAACTCGGAGCAGAAGCAGGAGCAGGAGCAGGAGACTGATCTGTATCACCGATCAGTTTTCTTCTCGAGTAGCCGCCCGAACTGCGACGAGACGAGAGCCAGTAGCTCAACCAAACCCTGTTGCTCGAGATCGAGTTCCGGTAGATTTTTTGACCGGTTAACACCAACGATTTCAGGTATCGAGACAATTCAAGTGGGGTATACAGGGGACAACCTTTGTTGCTCTTGTCCTTATCTTTCAATTCTTTTCTGCAGTGAATCCACGGTTGCTCCGCCTATCAGAAATGAGCTGTGCATCAAGATTCAGCAGTAAAATTTAAGGTTTAAAGAAAGTCTGAACAGCAATTTCCGTAGAATGAATCCGTATGAACATTCACAACGCAGACAGGCCAATGTACGGTACGTAAACAAGCAACATCTACGAGGATTCGGCTCAGCAACAGCAAATTTCGTTCAGCTGAAATCCAATTGCAAAAACCAGACACAAATTGAAACCCGGAATCATATTGCTTCTCAGCCGTTGAACGAAGAACGAATCAATACATAGCTTTCACACAACAGGCGAATGCATTGCGTGTTTCAATTCAACAACAGAGAAGGAAACCGAAGGCGAACGATCACGTACCGCATCGCCGCGAGATCCGCCGTAATCATTCAAAAGCCCGTCACCGGCGACGGAGGACGAAATCGAGACCGCGACGTCTTGAGCCGACTTCAGCGAGACACAAACACAGACACAAAAAACGAGAGGGATCGCCAGAAAAGTTTTTCTCATTCCCATCAACGCTCCCGTTTCTCATCTCATCGAGAAACGCTTCCGATCCCAGAATCAGCGACGGCGAACCGGCATGCACACGCAACGGCGAGCGGAGGTAGACGACGAAAATGGAAAATTCGAAATATGGAAAGCCAGATTTCAAAAACATGGATCACTCTTTTTCTCTTTAGCCTTTATTTAGGAAAACTATTTTAGGATGTTTGGATAACTGTGTCTTAATTTCGGCAAAGTTGTTGTCTGAGTCCTGACTATTGGATTCTGGATTCCTCTGATGCACAAAGCAAAGAACGTGAGGGGAAAAAAACATGGTTACAAAAGTATGACTATATTCTAAAGAAATAATATATAATCACATCTAAATAAATTAACACGTAGATAAACCAAAGTTATAAAAGAATCCATTACAGTTATCACTTATAAAGGAATCCAAATAAAAGCTTTAATTTAACAAAATTTGAAAACATCTTTAATTATTTAAAATCAACTTAAAACCTTAATCATTTGGTCTATATAAAGTATTTAAAATTTTATAAAACTATCTAAAAAATATAATTTTATTAGTTAAAATATGTTTATTATTATTATAATAATAATAATAATTTAAAGTATAAATATATGTTTTTAAATTATAATTGATAATATTTTAAATATTAGATTTTGATATTTTTATAAATATAGATATTTATTTAGATTTTCTAAGTTAAATATCCATTATGGATTTATTAATTTATTATATAAATATCTGATTAGATCTTCTTGTAAAAAATTATATCTGATTAGAGTTATAGATATTTTTAAACGTTAATAATTTCTTAGATATTATTTAAAAGATATAGGTTTATTTGAATTGGTTGATATTGAAACTTTTGAATAGATATTAAAAGTTGATTTTTTTTTTAACTTTTCTTCATTAATATATATAAATATATAATTAAATTAATTATCTATAAAACAAATAAAATTTCAAAAAACAAAATTAAAAGAAACAATTGAACTAAAAAATCACTTGAAAACTAAACCAAATACTATATAATTAACAAAATAAAAATAATCGAAATGAAAATTAGGGGTGGCTTAATCGGGTTTCGGTTCGGTTATTTTGGTTTTAGAACAACTATAACCGTGTTTGGCTCGGTTACATTCGGTTCGGATACGATTCGGTTATGATAAAAAATACTCATTTTCTTAAGAAAATTTACGATTTTTTTGTTATTTTTTATTCGGTTCGGTTGGATTCGGATTTTTTGGTTTTAGAGAAAACATAACCATTCGATTTTACATCTATTTCATTTCGGTTACTTTGGATGGGTTATTAACCAAATAAGCCAACAATAATAGAACAAAATATCGGAATATGCATACCTACTAACAGTTGATAATTTTGAAGGAAACATATCTATCTTGTAAGAAGACGGGGCATTGGCATTCCCCACAAAAAGTCTGGCAAATTTCAAGGAATGTCTAATGGTATTTTTAATCAGACGGATGACAATGCTACAACAGCAGAACTTCAAATACAAAACTTTTAAAATCAATTTAAAAAACCATCGGTAAACAATCATAAATTAGCATCCGATGTCTCTCAAAATCTATGTCCCAAAGATTTTTCAAGTCTTTTTACGTGACCTACTCCGTTTCCTGCTCTTTTTACAACTCTCCTTGTCTGTAATTTCCTACAAAACAAAACCCAAACATTTTCTCAAGACAAAGCCTTAGTTCATAAAACATCAAATTGGGATCTACGATCTGTCTGTATCCAAAATATAGAAAGAAAGCTCTCACCTTTGATGACCCGGATTTCGATTTCTCATTATCCTTCTTCTTCTTCTTGCACGAAAGTGGGTTTGGACCCTGCATAAGTCAGAGATTCACAAAGTTCTGATGTTCAGCTCCAATATTCGAGGATCTAAAACAGCAGAATCTACTTCATATGATGTTTGAATTCTCGAAAGGATATGATAACTAATCAATAGTCATCCATGGATGCATACAGCAAGCAAGGATGATGAAAGACCAAATGCACACAATACAAAAATTCTGGCAGTGAAAACATATTGCAGAAAAACTTGAAAATGCAAGAAGATGTCTTGAGAACAGTATATACCTTTGCTTTCTTTCGCTTGAACTGAACCCTATCCTTCACTCCGAGTCCATTTCTGGAAGAACCCTTTTCATGCATTATGTGCTTCCTCTCGTCCAATTGAGGCAAGATATCATCTTCTTCATTTTCAGCGTTCATGTTCAATTCTTCTGCATTAGATGCTAAAATCTTCTTTGTTCTCTTCTCCAACATCTTTCTCTCCATCTCAGTCATATGCTGCCGTTCTTCTTCAGAAGTTTTGGTGAATTGCCGTTGGAAATCTGAAGGCTGCTCAAGCTGGAGAGAATTCCTTAGGCAGAATATGAGAGGAACACCCGGCACCTGAAGGAACAGAGCATTAAAAAACATAACATGTAAGAACCCTAAACCTTAACAGAACAGAATCATACGGGGAGACAAAACCCGGATAATAACATACTGACCTGGTGAAGCTTCTTCCTCAATTCGACATCCTGACTACCAACAAAGAAGTGCTCGGGATTGTTCTTACCGATTACCTCTAATATACACGCATCTGCCGCCTTAGGCTTATCATGATTACATCTACATTCTCAAATTCCACAAATCAGTCTCTCCCAATGTGTCTAAGAAGACAATGTAACATAAATGGGTGTTTTCGTGAAAATTTCAAGATTACCCCAATCAAATCAATCTCTAGCCAAACTCAATCCAGTTAGGTTCAAACACATCCAAAGTTTCGAGATTTTCTGAAAAACAACATCTAACTGAATGCAAAGTAATGAAAGGATCATGAATTATACAAAGTAATGCTTACGTTGCTGTAGTGAGCATCTGGGCAGCCTCTAGAGATTCTGCATAGACCTTACCCATTCTCTTCAACTCCGCAAGCTGACATCTGTAGGAAAAACTAAACAATCAAAATTTCTGACAATTTCGGCTGGGGGAGAGGGGAAGAGGAAGAAAGGTGAGTGAACCTGGTAGTGAAGAGCTTGACAGGATCCCCGAGGAGGGAAGAGAGAGCTGTGTCGGCGGGAGTGATCTGATTAACGACGAGATGATGGACGAAAGTGCCGTCGCAGAGAACTTTGTACGGATGCCTGAACCCGAAGCTCACCTTGTAGAATCTCACCGTCCTCCTGTTCCGCTTCTGTCTCGTCACTCTCATCTTCTCCTCTTAACCCAGGGTGAGGGTTCCAGACGCACAGCAGAATCTAGGGTTTCCAATGTTCTGAGAAGATAGTGCGGAGGGAAGACAGAATTTCGACCGAGATGACAAAGGGTTCTCTGCAATCGAAAGAGGGTTTTACATCTAGGGGTATTTTCGTCTTCTTACATAAAAACTTTGATGCGGCAACGAGAAAAAATACTAAATAACATTTATTTATTTATTTTATGGACGAATTTTGGCAAAAAAAAAAAACAATTTCGACTTTAGAATGGAAATTTTAAATTCGAGATTAAATAAAAAAAATAACCGAAATTTTGTAAATTTCTCTAAAAAAAAAATTGTTAATAAAAAATCCAATTGAATCCGAACTATATTTGCGTTCAATATAAGAATCGAAGCTCTCCGACCGAATCGAGTTCAGTACCAGGAAAGCACTTCTATTTCAATGTTTAACTTGTTATTTCCATTTTTTTTCCAGAAAATTATGAAAACAGAAGATGTATACATTTGTTCGTTAAATGTAGATACAGACATATATACGAATTAAAAATGTTTATATTATCAATTACTGAAATATTTCTTCAGACATTCTGCTGATACAAAAAAAAGGAAATTTAGTAATTTACACACATTGTTACTTCCCAAACACAGGGAAACTCTTCGGTCTTTAACTCAAACTTCAAGAACGAGGACAAGAACAAGAAGAAAGAAAGCTTCATTTCTCAGTTTTTTTTTTGTGTGGATAAACCTCGACCATCAAAAGCTTCCAAAGAAGTGTTCTAAAGAGGGAGAACTAAAGACGTTTGGAGCCGCTGTCCGCTCAGGTTTCGCCGCAGAGACATGAAGCTGATACTTGATGAACCTCTGTGTAAAAAACACGACCAAACAAACAAACAAACAAACAAATCTGAGCAACGAGAGAGACGAAAGATGAATAACGTAAAAAAAAAAAACGGCGGAGAGAGATTAATTTACTGCTAATTGCGTGATGATTTCTGGGTTTGTGTCGATATGCCAGTCAGGTTCTAGTTGTCTGACAAACGACGTTCTTCCGAT